AGTAACCAGTATCGACAACCCAAGGGCAGAGGCAAGCACACCTGGGGCAACAAAGGGTACCAGACCACTTCGTACCCATACAACAACCAGCCATACGCGACCTGGGGACCAACCCAATTCGCCAACCCCGCCATCCCCTCGATGCCTACAACCCCAGGACCCTCGTTCAAGGGCGACACACCCAAAGGAAAGAAGGGGTCCGGGAAAGGCAAGAAAGGCACCAAATCCCACGGGAAGAACAAGGCGCGTTAGGGACAGCACGGCCCAGGGGACCAGTCCCCTGGAGCCGACCCGGCGCGTTGCCTCCATCTTACCAGACAACTCATACAACACACGCCCATTATCCTGCTCTCAGTTTTCGACGGGATCGGCACAGTGTCACTTGCCCTGCACCAACTGGGCGCCAACGTCTCCCACTGTTTCCGGTGGGAAACCGATCAGTCCTGCAATCAGCTACCTCATTCACTCTTCCCCACGACGCACATGGGCGCCGTAGAAGATTTTGACATCGAACAACTGGCTGCGATCATCCAGGACATACCCAATCACGAGAGACACATTATCCTCTTCACCGGTGGCCCACCGTGCAAGGACTACTCCAACATTAAACAACACCAACCGGGCCGGGCCGGCTCACAGGGCGGCCTCTTCGACACCGCACTCTCCATCCGCGACGACATTCAGAACAGATGGCCACATCAATCGCTCACCCTGCTAGAGAATGTCGTGCCTCACCCCGAGGTACGCGACGACTTCGACCAGCTGTCCCACTCCATGGGCCTACGCCCAGTCCTGATCGACGCGGCCGACGGACAAATCATCTCTCGTCCCAGAATCTGGTGGGCCTCGGTCGATTGGGAATCCTTGCCTGCCACATTGAGCAGGCATACACCTTGGCAACTCTCCATCGACACTCAGCTGTTCCCACCGGTGCTCTTCAATCCCATCGCAGCCGAACTACAACCAGACTGTCACATCCGGGACTTCGACCCGCCGAGTGTCCTAACACACGGACAACTCTTCCACTGCCTTACCACCCAGGCCAGTACGGACGAAGGCCGCCCACCACCACGCAGCCAACAACTACCAGACGACACATGGCAACGGTGGCAAGCCGACCACAAACAATTCGCCCCGTGGCAATACCAACAGAAATACCTGGTCCGGAAACACGGACACGACTGGCAAGTCGCAACACCCGAGCACCGCGAAGCAATGATGGGATTCCCGCGCGGCTGGACGGGACCACACAACACCGACCGGACCAGGAACACCATGCTGGGGAACTCCTGGCATGTGCCCACAGCCATGTGGATCCTATTCCTTTTGCTACTACAGCCAGCCTTCGGAATTCCCCCGCCCACGCAGCGGGTACGTCGCGGATCCCTCGGAATGATGGTCGACCTCTGGCTTCACAACCCACGACCATGGGGACCACCTCCGAGAGCATCGGAAACGCTACATATGCCACAGAACGACTGGCAGGACCACTTGACCTGGGCCAAACACCACGCTACCTCGCTGCAACAGCCCCAGCACTGCGACCCGACCATTTTGTGGGCCATCGCAATGCAAAGGACCATACCACAACTGCCACAACTACAGCACAACGTGTTACGCGACATCGCGGACCTTCGCGATGACCTGACTACGGATACAATTGCATGGTTCGAACAGCTGCCCCCACACTGCCAGCGAGCCTATCGACAACCGAAGATGATCACTCAGGTACCACTCATGACACACTTGCTACATTTGCTTAACTACCCACAGGCACAACTCCTGCACGAGGAACTCTCTCTAGGCTTCGACCTCCTGGGGCCTCTGCGACCCGGAGTCAATTGGCACATTCGCCACGACCACAAATACCTGGACCCATGTGACCTTGCAGAACTCAGGTCATTCAACAAAGCCTACATCCAGCGCAAATTACAACAACACAAGATCGACGACCACTGGACTCTTATGGCCACCGAAATCGCGGGGGAAGTGGCCCAGGGACGTATGGCCGGCCCCTTCGAGGCACCGACTCATTGGACCTCTCGCACAGTACCCCTGCACCTTTTCCCCCACACCAGCCGGCTCCTTCCTATCCCACATCGCGACCCCATTGTGGCAGTCGCATTCAGCATACAACAGACCGGATCGGACGGAAAACCCAAAGTCCGGAGAGGAGAAGACTGGCGCCGCAGCGGCCACAACCAGACGTGCTCTATGCACGATCAACCATACCATCACACACCCGACCACTACATCCAATGTGCGAGACAATATCACGACGACACACACCCGCTACATGTGTGGGGACACGACCACGACGGCGCCTACCGTCAACTGCCCCTCGCACAACCGGAGGTAGCATACGTGCTACTCATCACACCCGACGGCCCAACTCTCTGGCACCACCACGTGCTCCTGTTCGGCTCCGCTGCCAGCGTCTGGGGCTACAACCGCTTCGGCGATGCACTCACAGCACTCGCCCGCGTACTAACACTCACACCTGCCCTGCACTACGTTGACGACTACGGGGCCATACAACCCAGTCACATCGCGACCAGTTCCTTCTCCTCATTCAGCAAGCTCAACTCACTACTTGGATTTCATATGAAGACATCCAAGGAACAACCACCGGCGCCCTCTCACAAAATACAAGGGGTTTATGTCGACCTGTCGGCAACACACGCAACCCTTCGACCGTGCCCAGACCGAGTCCGTACACTGTCACACACCCTGTCTCAGTGTCTCGAACAGGGAGGTATGTCGAACGACACCGCCCGACGCACTGCCGGCAAGTGCAACTTTGTCACCGGACACCTGTTCGGTCGAGTAGGGCGATCGGCGTTAGCCGCCCTATACCACAAAGCACACAGCACTTCCGACCGGATCGACAAACCAACTCGAGCTGCCATTCTGTGCCTCCTGAATATCCTGCAGCATAGCTCACCCCGCAGCGTCCCACTGTCCACCAGGCCCAGAGACCTCTCAATCATATACACCGACGCGTTCTGCCGGCAGGGCGAGACGGTCTGGCGTGTCAAGGACGCAGGGGATCAGGATTGTCTGCCACCCGATTGGTCGCACGACAACGGATGGGCAGCGGTGCTGTTCAGCCCACAGGCACAAAGGACCCGCGTGGTCTCGGGCGCACTACCCCCTAACTTACTCCAACAAGTGAGTACTGGCACCAACGCCATTTATTTCCTCGAGGCATGGGCCGCGTTGATCGCTCCTGTGATCTTTCGACCATGGATCACTGACACATACCTCCAGTTGTGCGACAACGAAGCGGCCAAACACGCCATCAGACGGGGAGTTGGGAAACACCAACCACTAAACTGCCTGCTCGGTGCACATTGGACATGGCACAACCGACAGCAATTGCAGTTGCATATTGCCCGTGTGCCCACACATGCTAATATAGCCGACCCCTTCAGTCGACATGACATGTCCCTTGCCTCGAAGCACCACTGGCAGATTCTGGAACCCCCCATGCACGCTCTACATAAACGGACGTGCAAAATCATTGGCGATATTGAGTTCGCCCATGCCGTCGGATTTGACGACATAAAGGAACTCCAACAGTTCCACAGGAATCATTCCTCCTGAACCCGACTTGACTTCCACGTCCCGTGAGAATCTTGTCCACAGTAAGGAGACTTGATCGATGTAAGGATGCCTTCAACGTGCCTTTTGTCTAGGTCGTTCGCCTTCGGCTTCACCTTCGACGGGAGTTGACCTACGACGGGAGAACGTCCACTCCCTCTTCGAAACTCTGCTGTACAACATTTTGGGTTTGCATGCACTTGCATTTGCTTACCTTTTATTTGTTGTACTTTACTTTCGAGTCAGTGGTGTCTGAGAGACACGCACACCGACTCCAGAGATTGAAACAGATCGACCAACAGGTACGATCCCACCCACTTGAGGCAGTGCGGTGAAAATAAATCGACCGACGCTGGTTGCCGTCGTACTCTCTGGAGCGGTTTGTTGTTGCGGTTAACACTTGTGTTAAAAGTAACAACCGATAGCGGAAGGCATTTGAATCACACTCAGATTCGAACCTTGAGTGCCTGCAGGATGACACTGCTTGATTCATGCTCCGTTCGCCATTTTGGCGAATTAGCCAAATTTTTCTTTCCCACCCACCCTCACCAGTTTTCACTGCATGCCCTCAGTACCTGTCGGTCTGCATTTATAGCATCGAGTGAGAGGACGGGAGAACGTCCACTCCCTCTTCGAAACTCTGCTGTACAACATTTTGGGTTTGCATGCACTTGCATTTGCTTACCTTTTATTTGTTGTACTTTACTTTCGAGTCAGTGGTGTCTGAGAGACACGCACACCGACTCCAGAGATTGAAACAGATCGACCAACAGGTACGATCCCACCCACTTGAGGCAGTGCGGTGAAAATAAATCGACCGACGCTGGTTGCCGTCGTACTCTCTGGAGCGGTTTGTTGTTGCGACCTCACAAAGGGATTGGGTTTCCGACACACTCCCCCATGACAGAGTTTCCCTCCTTTTTGGGGGGGATCCCTTTGGAAGAGGCCGGGACGTTCCCAAAAGAGGATGTGGGCCAGTAATTCTATTTGCCGTTCTTTGTGTTGTTGTTCCAGGCTCAGGCAAAAGCGAGTACCACAGGAGAGCATGCGCAATCGGTTTTCGAATGAACACCCCTGCATGATCGGTTTTCGAATGGACACCCAACAAGGCACCATTGTTTGAAGCATATCAGCCCTGCCTTGTGTTAGGTTCATCTCAGGATTTACAGGCGGTCGGAATCCATGTGAACAGAATGCATTGACCACAGATGCATGTGTGGCATGATGAAAGCATCCTAGCGTATGATGTCCTAATCACGGCCCATGCTTCAATGGGTTCCCTATTGAAACTAATTTACATTTCAAGGTTCAGCATGGACTTGAATCGACGACATTTTGGTTAGGGCACGAGAACTGAAGGTTTCGGAGACTCAAGTCGGACGGATTTGGATGGGCAGGTTGTGGCAAGTGCTGGCAGAGGTGGGGAGGGCCTTCTGCCTATTTTCAAGTGAACTTGCCTGGAGATTTCATACTCAGAAACTGTTCAGAACCATACGGGTGTGGCTCAAAAACATGTGTACCAAAATGGCACTTGATCAATGGAAGGAAAGAACAAACTGCGACACCCTTGCTCTTTAATTTTCAGAGACACGGCAAGAGGACCCATCCCAGCTCCTTGATGAACCTTGCTATGGCGCTGAATCCCGTGATTGTGTTGTTTGTTTTTGAGTGTGAGAGGGGGGTCTCATTCGCGGAAGGGTCGTGAGCAGCATTGTGTAGGGAAGCCGATGTTTGGGATAGTTGACTACAGTGCTTTGATTCAGGAGCAACTGCCACAAAACAGGCATGGGTTCATGCATTTCACCTCTAACAGCATCATCCAACAAGGAGGCGTGTGTCTCGTTTTCAAAATCATGGGCCCTTCTGTTCAAGGAAGATCAGTAGATTCAGCTTATACACCCTGATACTCTTTTTATACGCCGTATGGAGGTTTCTCCAAATGGTGACTAGTGGTCGACCCCGAAAATGATTATAAAGTGTCTTTTTTGGCTTCCCTTGGCAAATACGATTCAACAGGGGGTCCGCCATTTTGAGAAGCACAGAGAAATCAACGTTAGCATCCTAAACTTGAGATTAGGAACCCTTTGTCGGCCAAATGTCCAGGGCTCCCCAAATTAAGGATCGTTCTTCCAGCGGGCCGGCAACAGTTCAGGGAGAAGGCTGTTTTGTGAAGAGAAAGAACAGGAACCAAGCTTTGGAGTCTTAATGTCTTTTGTTTCCTGAAGTTTTCTATGCTTTTGCCTGGTTTCCTTTGGGTTTCCTCTCCCGAGAATCCCGGGAACCACCCCCATGCCATGCCACCACTGGGTCTCAGCACAAGCCAGGCCTCCGCGGCGGGGTTCGGCCTGCCCTGCCCTTTCCTGAAGGGAAAGCAAGAGGCTCCGCTGGGTTCGGGTTGCTGATTCGCGCCGCATCGGGCGTGTCGTGTGTGTGTGTGTGTGTGTGTGTGGGTGGGTGGGTGGGTGGGTGGGTGTGGGTGTGTGGGTGTGTGGGTGTGTGGGTGTCTGCGTGTGCGGGTGTGCGGGTGTGCGGGTGTGCGGGTGTGCGGGTGTGCGGGTGTGCGGGTGTGCGGGTGTGCGGGTGTGCGTGTGCGTGCGCGTGTGCGTGCGCGTGCGCGTGTGCGTGTGCGTGTGCGTGTGCGTGGCATGTGCGTGTGTGTGTGCGTGTGTGTGTGTGTGTGTGGCTGTGGCTCAAAATTAAACAGAAGGGGTTACGCGGGTTTTGGTCCGTTCCATTTTGGTACCGGTTTTTTGAGCCACAGCCGTGTGTATGTGTGTGTGTGTGTGGTGTGTGTGGTGTGTGTGTGTGTGTGTGTGTCGTGTGTGTGTGTGTGTGGGTGGGTGGTGAAAGTGATTGCCTCTTTTGAAGCTTGGCGCAAAGGCCGATCGCTTATCACCTGAAGGGCGATACAAAGGAGTGGGAACATTATCCCTTGATAGGTCTGGAATCAAATCGTCCATGATACATCTCGACCAAGCTACGTCTAAAAAGGGAATCCGCCAACCTGCATGTTGGGTTGCATCCCTTGTCAACGGTAGCTTGAGGCTCCAGGTGTCTGGGGGGATGTCAATTGAATTGGGATGTTCTTGCAAAACCATCCCAGGGTAAATACCTTCTTTTTTAAGGGACCTGAGAAAGTAGCTGTTGTTGAGTGGGTGTGTGGGTGTGTGGGTGTGTGCGTGTGTGCGTGCGTGCGTGCGTGCGTGCGTGCGTGCGTGCGTGCGTACGTGTGCGTTTGTGCGTGCGTGCGTGCGTGCGTGCGTGTGCGTTTGTGCGTGCGTGCGTGCGCGGGCGGGCGGGCGGGCGGGCGGGCGTACGTGCGTGCTTGCGTCGGTGGGTGGGTGGGTGGGTGCGTGCGTGTGTGCGTGCGTGCATGCGTGCGTGCGTGGGTGGGTGGGTGGGTGGGTGTGTGTGTGTGTGTGTGTTGTTTGGAGTCAAAGCTCGGGATGATGATGCCCGGAGATGTTTGGAAGCCGGAGTCGGGTTGTCACGTTTTTGGCCGGTGACCTGGCTTGGGCTTTTGGAATCCGGATTGGGTTTTCACGACGGCCGTGACCTGTAGTTTGGGGTGCTTGACAAATGAGTCGCCGCTGCAGATTCCCATTTTGGGTGTACCGAACTATGGAGTCTCAAATTCAATTCATCCAGCAAACTGCAGCCAACGGGCTATTTGAACGTGGGTTGCCAAAATCAGGGATTGCCTTTCAGATTCCAGGCAAAGCCTGTCGCCCCACTCAGGGGTCCCCTACAATTCACACGGCGGGCAAGGGGGTCTGCTTAAGTAATTATGGGAGTCCTTGAATGGTTTCTAGAAGACAAAGGGCCTTCCTAAATCAGGGGTGCAACTAGATTTCGCTTTGGGGTGGGGGGGTTCGTCAAGGTGCAAGACGAGACGGTCTATAGCACCTTCCATGAGTGCATACGCACTAGCTTTGGTCATACTTCACACATCCCGTTTTTGCTTTTTTTTTGTACGTTTCCTTTGTTTTCCACTAACCAGGCAAAAAATAGATAATTTTTGGCTGGGGTCCTAATTCCAGCCAAGCATTGAGGTCCAAGTATCCATTGCGATGTGTGCCTTGTCACACGGCACATGAAATCCGGTCCTGGAAGACGTGGAAGACTTTGGGGCCCAGAGCCACGGACCGCGGACAATCTGATGACTGCGGTACGTTTCTGGGTGGTTTAACATTTGGGTCTGTCATTCAATTTGGTTTTCAAGGGAAACCAGGGAACCAAGCGTCTTTGAGGGGACCCTTAAAATGGACAGACCCATTGAACGAACAAATCAAATGCGTTGCTCATTGAGAGTTCGTCGGTAGGGTGATGTCTTTAGGGGTGACATGCAGGAAACCCTGTGATTTGTCTGTGGCCCGGGGCCAACGAGGAAAGCGTATAATAGCCGCAAAAAGGCCTGAGTGGGATTGGGGAAGTCGCCTTGAAACCAAAGGATTCCCCAAAGACACCGGAGGGGCAACGACCAACCCACTGGTGCGTACCACCTTAGGCCATTTTAAGGTGACTGTCCTTTCTGGGCAATGTTAGGGAACCTCAATTCCAAACATGTTTGGCCTATGTCCTGCACCTCGCAAAGTGGTTCTCCATTGACTCAAAGCCCTTGGAGGGGGGGTTCTACAACCATTCGTGCTATTGCGTTTTTCTTGGCTTGTCGGTCCATAGAGGCATGGGCCAGATTCCACGCGTCGGGCTGTGGTTCTTTGCTCTCTTTCTCTCGCTCTCTTGCTCTCTCTCTCTCTCTCTCTCTCTCTCTCTCTCTCTTTCTCTCACTCTTTTTCTCTTTCTCTCTTTCCCTTACTTGACCGCTGGCCAACAGGCCCATAAGGCGTTGGGCGCAAAAAATATATGAGTTTCTGAACCTCAAGTGTTTCGAGAAGATCATGTCAATCATTTTAGTGGTAATCAATAGTTTGGACTAGTTTGTGGCCAATGCAATCAGGAAGTGAGTTCTGAGTTCTCCTTTTCTCTGCCTTTTCTCCTCTGACGAGCGGCGACACCCAGATAGTTGTGGGAAATTGGGTTTACAAATGAAGACACAATGAAGTTACGGGCATCCCACTGTGGTATCCCAAAGGCAGATGATTTGAGTCTTTTCCTGTGTCTTTCTAAACTCAGGCAGGTCCCCACTGAAGATATCTGGTTTCTGTGTGGATTCCCTTTCAGGCCGCGTTTACACTAACAGCTCGCGAGGCCCAATTCAACATGGCAGGGTACCCGCTGGACGTAGTTGGGGCTATATCTAGCGAACCACAATGTTTACCTCTCGGTGGTATAAGATTGAAATCCCTTGTTAAGGATCCACGTAGATTGTTGCCAGTCAGGTCAATTTGAACATGGTAGACCCCCTTTGATTGGTAGTCAAAGGGAAACCACACTGAATTCCGTGCCGTTTTGCGGACCACTATTCTTGGTGGCTCCCAGCCATCCCCTTAGCTTCTTAGCTGTTTAGTGGGGTTTTCCATTTGGCCCACTAAAAGTTATTCACTTTAAGCGGGGGATCAGTTTGGGCCCAGAATTCTAACCCCCCTTTCGAGTTGTTTTTTGTTTCTTGTTTTTTTTTCTCGCGAAGCCGAGCGATTTTTTTCGGGAGGCAGGGGCATGGTCCTGGACGGGCGAGGAGTCTGAGGAGGAGGAGGAGGAGGACGGGGGGTCCCCGCGATGCCGCGACGTGATGTTGCGTGAAGCTCCAGGATCGCTTTTTGCGATGAAGGGAGGGGGGGGCTGGTCTGGGGGGGGGGACTAGTCTGGGGATTCGGAAAAGACATTGCCTGAAGCTCCAGGATTGATTTTTGCCTTGAAGCTCCAAAGGTTGCTAGGTTTGTTGAATGGACATTCGTGGGGTGTGCCATGGAAGAACGTCGCGGGGGGTTGGGGGGGGCCACCATCTTTTTCTCCATGGCCATCAAATGGCTCCCACAATCGCATTGGGTCACACAACAAACCTATTTGATACCCGTTTCGGGGGTCCCCTTGGAAGAATGTGGGGTTTTGCCTTGACTCGCCAGAACACCTCTCATCATATATCTGGATCTGGAGAAGATGGAACCACCCCTGAGATCTGTTGGACATTTCCGGGGTTTCGAGTGAGCTTCCAAGTGCTCGCTTGGCTGATGGCGTGAGGACGGCAACTGCGGCAATCTCAGGGCTTTGGCCTCGGTTTCGACCCTCCAAAATGGAAATCGCTCGGTTTTTCCTGTGGCGCGCGGGCGACCAACTCAAAACAAAGGACACGCCCAAGTGTTTGTTGACCGGGAGCTGCGTAACCGCTCGGGGGTTGTTCTGAAACCCGGGGGTTGTAATGAAACCCAGGGGTTAACCAGGGCTTCCGGAGCAGATCCCTAATTAGCAGGCACCATTTCAGTCAAGGCCATGTCTTTTTGTTTTATCTTTGTCAACGCAGCAGGTCAGTTTGGGATTGATGTAGAGCCCATCGGGGCCGGGAAAACCAAGTAATTAGTCAGGCGCAGCATGGGCTGACAGTCTGGCAGTCTGGCAGTCTGACAGTCTGACGATCCAGTGCTTCCGGCTACCAGTCGGGCAAGCCTCATGTGAGCGCCCTCCACCCCATATTGGCCATTTCCTAGGTTCTACTACCTGGTTTACTTCTGGTTGTAGCAAAACCTAAAATCCACCAGACTAACCATTCTGAACCAGAAGTGAATAGGTTTTGGGGGCTGCTCATGTGGCACCTAGAACAACCTTGGTTGACTATGGCTTGACTTGGATGCTCGTTAGCCAACTAAAGCATGTCAATTCCTGGCAAGGGCTTAACCATGCAGGCTTATCCCCACAAAACCCTGACCTAACCCCAACCCTGACCTTACCCTGATTTAATGTCCTATCCCCCGACCCCACCTCAATTGGGGTTGTTGGGTTCCCGGAAATGTGCCCAGATTTGCTCGGATTTGACCCAAAAAGGGCCTACATTTCCTCCTTCAACCCTATCCAGGCCTTAAGCAGCCTTAACCGTGGCTTGTCTGTTCTTATTTTTGTTCTTTACCTAGCAACAACACACCTTCTCGAACCACTCCCACTTTCATGTCCTGTTTCTTTTCCTGCAACGAAGTTTGTCAGTTTCTTACAAACCACCCTCCCCCCCCAACCCCAGTTTAGGCCACAAGCCTTTGGGCTCGACGCCTTATTTTTTACGCTACAGTCATCAGACAAAGCTGAAGGTATGTCCCTCCAAGCTTTGAAGCTGAGGCACCCTTCAGGCGGGTTGCCAAATCTGAAGTGGATAGCTGAACATGAATGGACGCGGATATGAAGTTTCCTCGACGGGAAACAAGCAAACCACCTTTGTGCAGACTGCTGCTACTGGAAAAGCCTCTCGTCTTGATTTCTTTTTCCACATTTCTGCCCTTGTGACAGAATCTTTCCACCGGGTGCTAAACAGCCCATCATGTTCAACTTACCCTAAAGGAAGCCAACAAAGGATACGTTTGTCTTTTTCCAGACCCCCATTTGCGTGTTTCTCAGACTAGGGGTCTTTTGAAATGGTTGGGTTCATTTTGACCGTAAATGGAGGAGGGTCTTTTTTGACAATTCCCATGTATCAAAAAACACGTCTGCAGGACATTCTGCAGGAAATTAGCCAAATACCCACAGAAGCAGGGTTTGGGCCAACTTCCCTGGAGATGGTTTCTTGGAATTTAGCACTCAGCACCACGCCGTAAAGTCTCTCGCGCTCGACTGCAGCGCTTGTGTGCTGAAATCCGAGGTGCGGAAGGTGTTGCGTGGCGCCTCGGGGCGCCTGCTGACAGCACGGCTGCAGCTGCGGGGAAAGGCCTTGAGCAAAAAGGCCCGGACGGAACCGGTGTTTTTTTTCTTTGAATCTACACCAGCCGTGTTTATTTCGAAAATCCTCATTTTGGATTCTCATTTTTGTGCTTTTCTCACAGACGAAGCGGGCAAGTAAGTGAGTGAGCGACAGGTGGCAAAGAAAGAAAACAAAGCCTCTGTCCCTTTTTTTTTGCAATCACGCCGGGGGGTCATCTTGTTTTTTTGAAAGCACATATTCTTGAAATCACGCCTGGGGGGGTCCAGGGGTTCATTTTTTCGATATCACACCTGGGGGTCCCAGTGCCTGTTTTCTTGCTTTCATGCCTGTGGGCCGGGGCGTTTTTTTCTTTTGAATTCACGCCTGGGGCTCTGCTTGGTTTTGTTATTCACGCCTCAGGTTGGGGGTCCTAGTGTCTTTTTTTACATCACGCCTGGGCGTGATTTCAAAGAACCACACACCGGAGCCCCGAGGGTGAATTCAAGCAAAAGCGGAGCCCCAAGGCTTGAATTCAAAAAAAAAACGCCCCAGCCCACAGGCATGAATGCAACAAACAAGCACCGGGACCCTCAGGCGTGATTTCAAAAAAAGGAACACCGAAACCCCCCAGGCGTGATCTAAACAAAAATAAAACGGAGCCCCAAGGCGTGAATTCAAAAGAAAAAGCGCTCCGGCCCACAGGCATGACCAAGCGTGACTTCAAAAAAAACACAAGCCCAGAGGCGTGAATTGAAGAAAAACGAAAGCGGAGCCCCAAGGCGTGAATTCAAAAGAAAAAACGCCCCGGCCCACAGGCATGAATACTACAAAACGAGCACCAGGACCCCCAGGTGATTTCAAAAAAAGGAACACCGAACCCCCCCAGGCGTTTAAACAAAAAAAAACTGGACCCCTCAGGCGTGATTTCAACAGAAAAAAGAAGCTGGACCCCCCCCCCGGCGTGATTTCAAGAAGAAAACAAAAACTGGACTCCCCAGGCGTGATTTAAACAACAAAAAACCTGGACCCCCCCCCCCCCTCCCGGGCGTGATTTCAAACTATTTCAAAATATGTGATTCCCCCCAAAAAATACGCCGGAGCCGGCCCGGACGTGTTGTATATGGTTTCTCGAAATGGACCCACTGTTGAAAAGAGTAAATGACTAAGAAGCCTCAAAGAAACCCTTAATTCAGAGACTCATAAGAACGCCCTAAAGAACCCCCAAAAAAGAATCCCACAAACCTCTCAGAAACCTCTGAAGGGCCAGGAATTTCCCCTTCAGGGACCCCAAAGGACCGCACCGGGTGACCGGGTGCGTCCGCAGGGCCAAGCGCCCGGTTGGCGCGGCGCCGACTTCCGGGAGGCTCTGCGCCAGGCGGTGCTGCCCCGACGAGGCCAGGGCCAGTGCCGTGAGCGATAACTCGGTGACCCGGTGACGCGGTGACTCGGTGACGCGGGGAGTTTACCAGCTTGCGCGGGAGTTGGTCCGTCCACTGTTTTATTTCTTGGACAAGGAGAACAGGATCAAGCGTGGTCCATATTTAGTTGAGCTCACAATGTCGGATGTGATCAATCGGTTTATGTTTTTTAAATCACGGCCACACGGTTCCAAAGGGAAGCCGAAGGACATAACAAAAGGCGGAAAAGGCACCACTTTGAAAGCGAATCGAACTTTTTGGAACGTTTTGGTTTGCCTGGTTTGGCTCATATTCAACCAGGTGAACCTTTGATTTCCAGGTCCTCTGGGCAAGTGAGTATATATGATCATATATGGCGGAAGCGGATCCCCCAAAATCGCACGGTGAAAAAAGTCTGTGTGTGTGAGTTGTGTTTTATTTCAGGCTCCGTACCCTTTTCAGGTTGGTTTAAAGGTAAAGCCAAGAAGACCACCATTTTGGGGTCTCCCCAGTTTTGACATGCTCAGAGGCGTGGTCAACATTACTTCGGGCCTTGAAAGGACAAGGATAGTTTTGAACCCTCCTGGAGCATAGACGACTGGTAGTTGACTGCCGAACCTTATAGGCCCAGAAAAGATCAGAATGAGGTCATCGGTTAACGCAACCTCAAAAGGCCTTACACCCCTGCTTGATTGGCTCCCGCATTTGGTGCGTTTTGAAAAGGCAACCAGAAGGAAAGCAACATGCCCATTTTGAGACGTACCCATGCGAGCAACAGACACTAACATGTCATTTCCACACACGCCCCAGAAATTGAGGATGCAATTCGGGCCATAGGTGGCCGTACTCAATCCTCGATTGCCCGAGCAAGCAACCTCAGGTAAGGCAAGTGTGGTGACCGCTGGGCAAGTTGCTCCAAGCTGAGCAGCTGTGGGTCAAATGCTGACCAGAATTCGTGCAAAGCAACCGTGCTGGACCAAAACGCTAAGCTAGATAGTAACTAGATAGTCTGGGGCACCAACCAGAACCAAGTGATCATGTCCTTGCACCCATGAAGTGATTCTGGACAGCTCAACAGATGCAAGACTCACTGAGAGCTGTGGGTTGCGTGGGGTTGGTAGGGTGGTCATGGATCCCTTACAGATTTTAGACAACCATTGTACGAAGATAACCAGGACGCAGTCTTGACCATGGACATATGAGAAGTTGGTATTGCAACATTGTTGGTAGCCCACTGTCGGTTTGGGGAGGACGTGAAGAGGTACAACGCTAGCTTTCTGCAAAAGCCAGGGAGACACCCCCAAATTTCCGCCCTCTTGAACAAAGAATATTGTGCAAGAGTCATGTGAGGCTCGGCCAAGATTCTCCGGTCTATCCAACATGGGGTCAGCCCTAAGTTTCAAACACGAAGCAGGGGACCAGCCCTTTGGCACGCCTTTCAATGCCTTCCGGGTGGCTTGGGGTGCAAATTCACTGGCTGCGTCTTTTTTGGTGAAACCCCCTTGTTTGTTTTCAAAGCAAGGCGAGCAGTTAGCAAACTTCGCTAGCAAATTTGGGGTCTTTTCTTGAGACACCAAGTCAGTCCGCGATAGGACTGTCGACCCGCTGGCCCGCGCACGGAGCCTCAGGATTTTTTGGCGTGCAACCTCCTATTTTAGACCAGACAGTAGGCTTTATTTTGAGACCAGACAGTGGGCTTCGTTTTGGAGGTGGTCAAAGAGACACAAAGAAACAACAAGCCATTGGGGTTTCCGACCTGTTTCAACCCGCTGTTTTGGGACCCCCCCCAACGACTTGTTTTTGGCCATTTCCGAAACCTCAAGTCCGCTCCACAAAGCGGTCGTTGATTTCGGGCTGCCGGTAGACCAACCGTAGCGAGCTCAAAGATCGGGGGTAAACCGAGCTCGCCGATGAAGTCTTTTGCAGGGATCCCTTATCTCCATGTCGGGAGATTGGCTGGTAAAGGTGAGTTTCAAGGAATTTCGCAGTCAATGGGCAAACCCCCTACTGTTTCAGTAAACTGAAAGGAAACTGTAAGTGCCCTTCCGCGGTAAATCCACAGATTCGGCGCGTAAGCAGACCATCCATTCCGAACCTCGAGTCACAGATTCGTCGCCGCTGCTGATTTTGTTTGCAACTTTATGCTGCACTTTACGGGTTGCCCGAAAAGGGGAAGTATGTCCTGTTTTGCTTGTTTGGTCCTGTTATTTGGCGTTTGCACACCTTTCGGCCTTCGATGTGTTGGTATGGAAGACAAGCCCGCGCCGCAGGGGAATACCCCAGATCATCGCGGACCTGGAAGTGGTGACATCGCCGGACCAGGCAATCAACCGAATTTTAACGGGCGCGGTACCCCACCAAAGGGGTCGGCCTCTTCAAGAACAGCCGACAGGAGCCACTTATGTCTTTTCTTTGGAGAGGCACCAGCTTTTCGGTTGGTTTTAAATGGAAACCAACAGAACAGAAACTAACAGGACACACATCAGTTTTGAAACAAACCCGACGGTTTTGGAGTTTTTGTTCTTTGGGGTTAATTAGTGAAAAATCGAAGCCCAGTTTGAGGCTTGCCCATGTTTGTAGACAATCCCAGAAAACACCTTCTCCGAAAGCTGTGATAATTGGTGCAAGTCTTCCCACGGGCTTCCTGAAAAGTGTTGCGGAGGGTGCTTTTGCTGCACTGGGTGCTTAGACACATATCTGAATTCTATTGACCGGTGGGAGAATAGTATTAAGAACAACCTCTCTACACCCACAGCAGGGACATGGTAACATGAGGCTCCAAGAAGTCTAGTTTACCCCTATAATCATGACTAAATTTGTTTTGTCGATAATTACCCCAATCCCCCATTCTGATTGTTAAACGGCTACAGTGCGCATGCATGAAACCCTACTCACTTGCTGAGACTTTTGAGACCATTTGGGAAGATCAGTTTGGTAAACACAAAGTTGGGAGTTTTTTCTTGGCGATCAAAAGTGACAAACCCTCTGGGATCAGCCTGGATCTTGTCCACTTGGGAAATCCCCGAAACGGGGGTGGTCCAGGTAAAACCCGTTCCCTAACCGTTCTGGAACCGTTTTTTGGGCTCCCAACTACCCCCCAGGCGCCCCGTACCTTCCCCCCCCCTTCCCCCCGCCCCATACACCCCCCTTGCCCCCGCTCCCAACTACCATCCAGGGTCCAGAAACCTCCCTAAGAAACCCGCAGCCCGGGAACCCAACCACCGGAGCCGGTCTCTGCGCTCTCAACTGCCCGCGCGCCCCGTGCCCCCCACAGTCCGCGAAGCCTCGAGGCACTCTTCGGGTCCCGGGTGGAGACCTCCGCGGGCCCCGCGGGCGGCAAGGCGCCGACTTTTTCTCGGGGGGTCGGGTTTCGGGTTTCGGTCGACCGCTTCGCCGAGAGTGGTGGCTCGGGTTTTTTGGAGTGGCTTGGGGTGGAAGAAGGCCAATCATTGCTTTCTTTGTTTTGGTGAAGTCAGCAATTTTTGATTCTTCAAACTGTGTTTTCTTTGGGATTCTAGATGACGACTCACCCCTTGCAAATTGGAAGGGTCTCGTTGAAATAATCCAACTAGGGACTTGTCATCAAAATGGTCTTACCTTGAAGCAAGAATTCCGGGGTCGTTTTGTTGGTCAAATGTTGGAAGTGTTTGTTCAGAAGAGGCTTACACGCCGTGGGACAACTCATTCCCACATGAGCAACTGACTAAGTTACTGGTTTCAAACAAAGGAGTAAACCATTACATGATTATGATTGTCCTATGATCATGACCTAGTTTGGTTGAATAGCACCCCACAACCCCAGTCTGTAGGCCCTTGCGATGGAGAGGATGAGAAGGGAGGACAGCCACTTCCCCCAAATCCAGATAGATTTTCCCGAGTTTTCCCCGAAAAATTGGGGATTTTAGTGGGTCGCAGGGTTTCTTCGATCCCCAGGTCAGGTTTATCGGGACCCGGGATCCCAACAATTGTGTTGTGGGCATCCCATGCTTTGGGGACACCATGAAGCAATCAACGGTTTGACCCTGACACATATTCTTTGCGGGTTGAAGGTGCTGGCTCGCATGACCAGACCCCTGCCGACTCTGCCTCTTGATCAAAGCAGCTGTGGTTTACTCTAAGGGCTCTTAGGATGGGATTGCGGGGTGCTTTTCAATCAACCCAACTCATGAGCATAAGATAAGCATGTGTGTGTGAACTGTTTGGCCCCTTATTGTATGATGTGAACCTCAAGGTGCAAAAGTGATTGAAGTCCCTTATTGTACTGAACACGAGGCATCGAACAGGTGCCGAGCCTCCAAAAAGACCTGCAAGTAAAGCCTCTGGCAGCCTATGAGTAAAAAAACATGATGGGAATGACATGAACAACGGGGTTGCCAGCAGACAACTATGCCACTAATCTTGACTCGATTACCCGGTGATCTGAGCAGGAAGGGCAGGCTCTGGCTTCAGCCTGTGTCGCGTGCTTCACTCCTCTTGCAGCAGTTGCTCTTGCCGTCAAAGTCAGCCTTATTGACCTCCTGCTACAAGACGAGCCTGCATTGGAGTAGCTTGTTGGTGGGGTAAAGCCCTCCCAGGCGACGCTAGCTGTCTGAGAGGATGGGACTGAGACACCTGAGAATGCCACGTGTGAAGAAGGCCTTCGGTTCGTAAAGCACTTTCTTCCCCATAGGTGCTCTGAGAGGACAGTGGGAGAATCCAACGCAATTCATGGCGTGCCTGCCGGATGGATTCTATTCAACCCATGTCTTGGCACGATTGATTACAGTAAACGTTGATTCTGAACGGGGCGTGCAATCGAGTTTTGATCCGGATGGATCCGGAATACTTTTGGCCCAGTGAATGCGCCAGGCTGAGTAATGCAGGGTCAGCATTCTGAAAGCCCAAGCTCGTCCGCCACGGTTTGTCTCTGCACTCATCAGGGTCCTTACATCCATTCTCTGAATATGTCCCTGTTGGTTTTAAACCACAGGAAAAGGACTGGTAGATTTGGGTGATTCCAAACTAGATAACCCCAAACGATATGCAGTTGCCTTTCGTTGTTTTCCTTTGACACAACTCCAACACGGGTACCCTCAAAAAAGACACGAATACATTTCTCGACTGCAAGAAACCGTGTTGCCGTGGCCCAATGGTTAAGAATAAAAGGGCGGCCGCCCTTTTAGTCTTTACATGTATTTGGGTAGCCCACTTAATACCAGGTTTTGATCATAGCTCAAATGGATGGTATGTTGCCAAGGGACAATGGGGTTCAACGTTCTTCTGTTGGCGTCCAACATGCCACTTGAAGTACGTTTGCTGGTTGTAATGGTGTTCCGAGGTCACTATGTTATTGATGAGTGGAACTAAAAGAACAAATAGAAACGGGGTGGCAAGTATCAAATGTTCATCAATGGTACCTGTTTTGAGTTGTACCAAAAGCGCAAAGCAAGTCATAGTATCAATGCTTACTATAGTTGTTGGGTGCAAATTTTGCAATAGCTTTCAACGGCAATCCTCATTTTGGTAGCACCACTGCGCCACAAAACCGATTCGGAGTGATGTTGCCGTAGCGCCTTTGTCGGAGAGTATTTTTTTGGGGTTTCTCGGCATTGAGACAGACCCATGGTATCTTTGCGGCCATCTTGCCAGGTTCTTCATTCCCAGGGCCGAGCCCCGAAGCCGGCCTTTCAACCACCCACCAGGCTGCCAAGGGGCGGGCAACGCGCGAGTGGATTTTCTGAAGGCTTCGGGCCATCAGCCCAAGTGGTTTTTTGTGTTGGGGGGATCCCCGCCTGAACCACCAAACCACTGGGCTCCAAACCGCCATTTGGGGAAGGCTCATTTAAACGCTCAGTGGCTTAGCGTTTTCCTCTCTGCTGGGTTCCTCAATTGAAATGGAATGGACCCCGTAGAGAGTTCGGTTTCCTGAATGCCCCGTTCGGGTCACTGGCAGGTTTGAAAAGGTTAAACCTTTCACCAGCAAAGATCGTCCAAGGGGGGCCTGCGCACTTTTGTATTTGGTGGGAGGGTCAACTCACTTCGGACAAGTGAGCTCAAGTTCAAGCGCCCATGCTGGTTTGGTTGGTTTGTTGTTTGTTGGTTGGTTGGCCGGTCAGTCGGTCACTCGCTTGCTTGCTTATTGGTTTGTGGACTCCTGTGTTTGCATGTGTCACGAGCTCCACTACGTGCCTGCTTTCCCTTTTGGCTTCCTTGCGAGCTCCCGGTCTAATAGGGAAGGGCATGGGGCCCGCCCAATTTCTTACGGCAAACTCAAGCAGGACTTTGTTTAGGGGAAGGATACTTTGTCCGGTGTGAGCCAAAGCCGAACCTTGAAGCTTTCAACTAATAGGGGCTCTCTTTTGGAGGGTGGTTCAAAGGCAACAAAAAGGCAACCAATCTGTTGTTCGGGTTCCCCCAAAGAAAGACGCACCTACGTGGGTGGTCCAAATTTGGGGCAATGGTTGCTGGTATCTTTTAAGGCGGCAACAAAAATAGTAGCCTCCGAAACGGGTCCAAACAGGAACCATAATTTACCCAAGCAGCCGTAATTTTGGGGGTACCCAGTTGACAACCACACCCACGCAGGAGGGCCAGGAAATTTGCCCCAGGAAGCCAGTGGCCGAGATCCCGGTGCTGCGGATCGGCCAAGAGCTGCAGCAGTGGCAGCAGCAGCAGCGCCAGCTCTGGCACGCGCAGCGCCTCGGCTGCGGCGTCGGCTTCGAACGCCCCAAAATCCAAGTCCAATTGGGTCTGGTTTTTGTAGATTCCTCTGGTTCTGCCTGGTGCAATCCTTATACATCTACAATAATAATAATAATAATGATAATGTAAAGACCGAAACTAGTAATAATACTAATACTACTACTATGAATAATAATAACAATAATGAATAAAACAATTAATAATGATAGTTGATATTAACAATAATATCAACACTAGTAATAATAAACATAGCAACAACAACAATAATAGTCATAATAATAACAGTAGTAACAACCATATTGATAATGACAATGATCATAAATGCAATGGTTTTCGAAACACACAACATGTTGGTTCTCGGGCTGGTGATGATTGTTTGGGCTGATTTGTTTCTTTTATCGTTTTTCCAATTGGGGGTTGGACATCTGCCAACCATCCATTTTGGAGTGAGCTTGCTTTCAATATTGACCCTCTGATTTCAACCAGCAAGAACACCATATGCCAAGTCAGGGGTTGCCTTTCTCAGGTCCCTGTTATATTTCAGCCCCACCAATGGCAATCACATACTTCGGAGGAAAACCACCAGTCGGGAGGAAAGCCACCGTTGCCCAGCCTGGGTTTGGTTTACACCTGAGAAAGCAGGTTCCATTTAATGTCAAGCAAAAACAAAGCTGTCCAAGCACTTTCTTGGGCACTTTGAGATCTAATATGACCCCTCAAACTACATCCTGAAATGACTGAAATTTTAGGGACAGTTGTTTCGCCAACAGCTACAGATGGGTTGTTAGTTGTTGGATACTCCTTGGACAAATGTGTGTGTGTGCGCATGTTTCGAAGGGTTTGGGGAGGGCGCCTTTAACTTCAACCAGCCAAACCATGTTTTCCGTTCTAAGATCTTTGTTGTTTGTCTCCATTTTCCGGGGGGGAAATAAGTTGAAGTTTCAATCGCTCCATTGAGGGGTTAGCACACTCCCTCAAACGTGGAAGCTCCCAGAAGGCCCTCGATGGCGCCAAGTCTTCCAAAGAGGTGGGAGCTTCCATAGCCTGGGGAAGGGTAAGAGAAAGAACTGTCATATCGGTCTGGGGCGAAACCTCTGGTGGATCAATCAGGCCACTTGCTTAAGCGGGCAGCTCTTTTTAGCTCGCCTCCACTCAGAGCTGAAATCGACAAGTGGCTGGAATGGGGCTTCAGGGTTGTCCCAGATCCAAGCTACTGCAGTAGGCAACTATCCATTTTCCGTTTGGTTTTGAAGGGTGGGTCTCTTGGTTGCCTGTGCAGGGGAATGGAGTCACTGGCTGTGCGATATTTTTGGTTTTGTCAGTGTGCCTTGGCTTTGTCTGGAGTTTCCTCCAAAACGATTTGTGACTGGGGGGTCCTTGACTTTTTTCCTTTGCAAGGGAACCGTTTGGTGGGGTCCATGTTCGCGGACGGGAGGGTCACATCTCTGGGTAGACTAAATATCAAACATATTTTGACACGTGTTTTGAGTACAGCAGATTTGGGCCAAGTTTCTCAGGGCCGCCTCGGTGAAATTGGATGGCACGATCCCCTTGTGAAGCAAAGGGCCCTTTACATGGCTATGATTCTATGCAGGGGACCACCTCACACGTGGTTGGTGGTTTTGTGAATCCCCAGCGATTTTTTGACCTGCATGGCATGTCTAGGCCGTAGGGGAATCGCTGTCGGTGAAATGTGTCAACCGGTTCCTGCCGCTTTTCTATGCAGAACAGGTCGATTCGTGGTTCGCCTTTACCACACCATCAAGTTGGGGTGTTTCCAGCAAAGACATCAAAACCAGGACCTTCGGGGCAATCGATGACGTGACAGTTGGGACCTTATAGAACACATGTTGGAGCAATCCATTTCAATAAATCACGCTCACCGAGTCGGTGAGAAAAGCATCGAACAACCATTGGAGGTTTCATCAAGAGACGCTCACCGGGTGAGAAAAAAAATGAGTGGCGTCGGAGGCAGCAGCAGATGCCGCAGTGGAAGTGGCAGGTTCAGCAGCTGCAAGTGAAAGCTCCGGCCAAGGCCCAGCCGCTTGGCTGGAAGTGACATGCTTCCATTTGGTTAAGTGTTTATTTTTTGCCCATGTTGGTTTTAAAGGAAAATCTATGACTACAGGAAATGTTTGTTTTCCAGGAGACTTGAGCAAATGGAGGAAACGCTTCCATTTCAGCTGAAACGATTTTTTCTATTTCGCCACTGGGAATCTCTATCAGTACTGGACATTATGTTTAACTGAGCCCGTTTCGGACTTCAAGAGTTTTTGGGTTTGGGCCATTTTGGTTGTTTTCTGGCCAATCTACTCAGGAAGTGAGTGTCTGGGTTTGTCTTATCCCTTTTGACGGCCGCGATTTTCGGACCTTGTAGCGGACTATCGGAGGGAACCTGGATCCACAAAGCCAGGCCCTTGGGTGACACGTGCTTATTTGACACGGGCAAAGGGGCGCTATGTACTAAACATGGGCAACCCGGGGGGCGGCAATTTTTCCATTTCGCCTCTTGGGGAAACGTGTAACTTCGTCCGGGGCTTTTGCCAGCCAGGAACGGAAGAAGTGCAGATTGTAGCTCTCATGGGCGAAAGATCTTACCTCCCGGTGCAACCATGCGGCATGTAGACGTGTCCTTTTGGGGTTGGACGGCCCCTTCTTCCAGCTTTTGTACCCCTCACAAAGGGAGTTAGCTACCTCACCTGTGCAGGAGTTTTTTCATTTTTTATAGGGGGGGGTCCTTATTTTGCAGGGTTGCTCAGAGTCTCTGAAAGATGCGCAGGGGACAATAGAGATATGTTTGGTTTCCTTTGGTTTTCCCTTGGTGGGAGTGGATCAAAAATAGGTACCCAAAATTCAACCCTGGTAAATGGGACTATGGACTAGAATCCGCCGTCCCCTGGTTGTTTCATTTTGACTCAGGGTTTCCGACGTTCCACCCACAAGACGTGCCGATTGCAACATAAAGTACAGGCCGGTTCAGGTTGAATCAGCACCCAGGTGGAGGCCCGGTCTCCAGGGGCAAAGATCATTGGAACCATCCTGTCGACATATGAATGTATATGGATAACTCTACATACATATATATATATATATCCCAAATATATTTTCTCGGGTGACACGAGTCCTAGTCTTTTTACAGGACACTCCTTGAAGCAAATCGCACACCCTGATCTTTGGCTTCTGCTCAGTTGCCCAGAGCAAATCGACCTGAAGTGACGTTTTGGTTTTCCAGTTGTGGAAAATATGTAAGGTCCAACTTGCCGGTACCAAAAGCGGCTAAATGCTAAATGTTGACCACAGTTTGCTCCTATGGTCATGACTCAATTTGGTTGTAAAGTGCCCAAGCCCCTTCTACTGATTCCTTGGCTGCAGTTGCCCAGTTTGGGTCCTTTGGGCTTTGAGCCGGGGGATCGGCACATTGAAATTTGGAGGAACGGGGGACATGTCTCTAGTTCGCGCACAAAATTCCAAACTGCTCTCGAATTGTGCCATGTCTCGGGTAATGTTAAAACGTTGACCCCGGCTCACGTGGGCACAGACAGAAATTGGCTGCGACATGTTGGCTGGGCAAAAAGTCGGTCGCTGCGACAAAGACAAGCACTGGATTCGCTAGCTACTGAGGCCAGCGTTGGACGAGGCGCATTGGAAACGGGGGGGCTGGTCGGAAGAAGGAGCACCCAGAGTTTGCAGATGCTCCCCAAACTGCAGAGCCTCCGGTCCAGTCCGACGACACCGTGCATGAACGTCCGCCCAAGCAATGTTTGGGAGCCACTTGGGGCCCTTGCGGGCCCTTCTGTTTTCGCCAAATAGGTACTGAGCCTCAAACCACGCACTTGGGGCCTTGACTAGGCCCCCCGGTAGTGCCCTTTAACCTTTTTGTGGGGAGGGTTCCCCTACTAAAATAGACTGCAGAAAAGAGGGTACCCTTATTCTAACCTCTCGACTGGAGGACCTAGTTGAGCTTGGTCTTCGCAGGCGGGGCAGTCCTTGCTGAAGCTTCAGAAAATCCAGCAGCTGGACAAGCTGCGACGTGCGGCCTCGGCCCCTCGCTCCTAAGCACGCTATTCGGCGAATTGATACGCCGGGAATCCGGCGTAGAAGAAGCTGGGGAGGGATGCAGGTGTGTTTTTGTTTCCGGGGTGAACATCAAGAAAACCAAACAATTAAATATATTGTCAATGTGACGGATACCTGGTGTCGTGTCTCTTGGTTTGAATTGTACATGCGGCCCAGCGCAACTTGCCAGAGCCCCGTGCTCTTGATATAATTTACCCAGACAAAATGGTTGGGCAGTAGGGTTCCCCGCAGGAAAGCCGAAGCCTGTTTTGGATCACCCCATTATACTTTTAATACATGCGTTTTAGGCGATTCGTCCGTGTTTCCTGTTTAAAAGGGGGTTGTCCTCTACCCTGACTCTTAGCCAGTGCCTTCCATCTGCTTCCAGCTGTTCAACAAGCTTCTATTTGATTCAGATATCTTGATTTTATCTTGTTGGTGTCACAGGAAGTTGTTGAATGGAACGCTCCTGATTTGCGGATTCACAGTAGAGACTACTCTGTTTGATCCTTGTGGGCCCCGCAAAGAAGCAGTCACTATTCCCGTTAATTCCTATGCCTACCACAATCATGACCAGGAGCGGAATTTGAGCACCCTCCGTACAGGCTATCTGTGTGACTAATTCAATATTGACCCCGGATTAGTAAACCCGTCCTATTAATAGGGTCCTGCCCTCCAACTGTGATGATGCACAACTGGGAGAGGACACCGCCGAATGGGGGGGGGGGGGGCTGGGGTTGATATATCCCCGGGATCACATGTTTGCTTTGCTTCTAAAAGAACGCAACATCAGAAGGACTTGCTTGAGTTGAAGGTGAGTCTCCGTTAATTGGGTTGATTCCCCAAAGAGACAAGTTTCCCAACAAAACATGTTTGTCCCGATGGTTTCCTTTCAAACCAACCTGAAAAGGGAACCCCAGACAAATACAAATGACATTGTGAAGAAACCGTTCCTCCCTGCCAGACTCAGGGTTTTTCGCCGCGTCATCTCCCCAGCTTCCGGTGAAGTGTTAACGTTTTCCACGTGCTCTCGGCCCGACGTTTTGCCATTGGTTGAGGCAAGGTCTTGCCTGGGGAGGCGGATTTGGCTTCGGCAAGCCAACAGGAACCGAACCATTTTGGAGACTACCCGTTTTGGAGACTACCCGTTTTGAGGCTGTTGCGAAGTGCAAGCAAAAGGAAGCCAGGCCCCCCCGATTTTGGAGACAAGGCCATGAAGTTCGAAGTTGTGTCAGAGCAGCCTAGGGCCAATTGGGGATGCGTGGCATAGCCTTTTTTTGACCCATGGCTAGGGGGTGCTTTCTTTGGGTGTTTCCCACAGGTACGATTGCAAGGACCCTCCAACCGAAAATCACAAAGGGCGAGACTTCGAGATTGCTGCTGCAACATGAAGGCAAGAGTTGGGGCCAGGGGCAGACGTATCGCAAGATTGGCATGTTTGAAACCTGAGTTGCAGGCTGTAGTGTCGACATTTAGAGGGCTGTTCGATGCACCTTGCATGCCTGTCGCAATGCGTTCCACATGCCTATCAACTAGTGACACACACACACATACTCACATGCACACACACACACACAGAATCACGGATAGACACACAGAAACTAAGGGATGCATCGAACCGTCTGTGAGGGCGATTCAGAGCAGTACCATCTGTCAAAGACATGTCTGTCGTGCTGTGAGTGATCGCATCGGGCTTCGTATTTCAGAAAAATGTTGCGTCGCCGCGCCATTCCCGGGAGCTGGTATGCAAGGAAGGCATGTTGGGTAAAAAAACTGTAGATAGGTCGGGGCTTGCTGCCCGAACAGTTAAGAATTGACGGAAGTAAGAAGAAGTCCCAGATGGATTCCAGCGAAAGTTTGAATGCAACTTAAATGAAGTTAATAGACACATATTACTATGTCACTGGCCCAAGACTTGAGTGTCCCATTGAAGGAGCCGCTGCGTGGAGTGATCGGTGCCCGAGTCGCGACTCGACAAGTGAGCGCTCAAACCCCTTGCCCATTTAAGTACGTGGCAAGTGTCCCCACCTCAACAAACATGTGTGTTTCATTTTGTTTGTTTATGTTTTTTTGGGGGGGTCGTTGTGAGGCCCAGAAAAGTCAGTGTAGCAACCTTAAAAGCCTTCTCAGAAACAACAGCTTCTGTTTGGTTAAGGTCTGGTTTTCCTAAGGCATACTTCCTGTGAAGCATGCGCCAACGTGTTCTTCGCATCAACCCTCCCTCTTGGCAAATGATGAGCCTAGACAGTTGGCTGCTTGGAACAGATCCTAATGCTTCTTGGAAGCGACCCCTTGCGCAGATGTCCACATTCCGGCGCATTTTGCTCAAAATTAGGCCGAAGGCACAGTCGGCCATTTCGAGCCATCGGCTCGCTGGCAGACTTTGACCGGGGATCACCTGCGCGCAGAATGGTCAGACGCCAAAGGATGTCTGCTGCAGCTGAGCGGTGCATCATGAGGTAAGTGCCACGTCACAGGGTTGCAGTCTTTGCAAGCCCGTGGTCCATCAGATTTAGTTTAGGGAACCCCACATAAATTAAAACAAACAACAGCTCGATGAATCTGAGGTGTCCCTTTGTTTGTCATGAATCCCTAAGCAACCCCTATGTTCCCCAGCCGCACGAGCCCAGAACGCAGTTCTGAAGACTCACGCGGGGGGGCACTTGCTTTCCTTTTTTTACAAACAATCAGCAATGAGCTGATTTGTTGCACCCCCCCAGCCCCCTGCCACAGTCGCGAGCTGCGACGCCACTTCCGCCAGCGATGGCTTCAAAGCGGACGGAGGCCGGGCTCTGCCTGCTGGTGCCTCGGTCAGATTTCAACGCGGAACGGATCAATGGCCCAATGAAAGCTTGGTCCTCCGGGTTCCATGTAAAGGGCGGTTCTGCCAAAAGAAGGCCGGTTCCATTTGGGTGTGTCTGTGTCTTTTTCTTTCTTTAACCCTTTTTGGGTGTGGTTTGAAGGGAAACCAAAAGGAAGTTCACCATTTGGGGGGTCCCCTAACACAGGACACACCCGTTTAACAAAGGGGGGTTCTGCAAAAAAGGAACGGCACCAAGAATTGGAGGTGTCAAGGGTGAGAGATCCCTTTTTGGGGTTGCTTGAAGTTCAAAAAGGGGAACCAAACGGAGGATCACGCAGTTTGGGGGGTTCCCATTTAGACACAAAAGCCATACAAGGGAACCGACCACATCCAACCACAAACCATAGGTAACTTGCGGAGAACATGTCAGTGGTGTTCCGTTTTGGTAATGTCTGGGGCATCGATCGTAGCTTGGCCTATTTGGTATTGGCTGGAAAGCCAATGGTCAACGCTCACAAGATTCAGCAGCATCCACTGCAGCAAAGGGGAAGTTGAAGGTACTCACCACATTGCCGTTCAAAAAAACGGAGGGTGGATGGCTGACAAGCCCCACATTCCGTCACATTCCCATGTCAGTCAGGGACACAAGGACTTCGCCGTGTGTGGCGGAATGTTTGTTTTTGCGGTGTGATATGGTTTGGGCCTTCCGACGTTTAAAAGAGGGGAATGCAAAGATCATTTCGCATTTGCTGAGACACTGGGGGGTTCGAAGATCTATATTGACCATTGCTCGTTTGTGCCATGGTGAAAAGACCTTCCCATTCCAACCCCTCCTCCAACCAGATTTGACTTTGGGTTTTCCTAGGGTTGCTCTTTAATTAGTCAGGGTCCTAAAGAAGACACCTTTAAGTTCCAGGTCCTTCAGGCAAGTGAGACATCCCAAGCAAACGCAACCCACCCCCTATGCGACCCGAGGCGTTGCTGGTCTTTCGCGTTCCGACAGGCGGACTTCGCTCGCGACGGGCGGGCAGGAAGCATATTTATTATCCTTGCTGAATTCAAGGGGAATCTATCACTCCTGGAAATATGTTCATTTTTTCCAGGGGCTTAAGCAAATGCAAGCAGGCTTTGCCGCTCCTTCAAGATCCCTTTTTGGATCTTGACAAATGTAGTTGAGCTGGACTTTCCAAGTTGCCACGCGCAGAGCCCGATGTGTTTTTGAATTGCTTGTGGCACATGTTGGACTTATTTGCCTCAGTGTTGGTGCCGATGTGAGGTTTCGTGTCAATGCAACGACTCATTCATGACTTGGAGCCTCTCATTCAGGAGCCACTAAGAGAAGTGGTTGTGTTTGAAGTCATAGCAGCCAATGTCGAAGTAGCGCCAGTAGCTCTAGCAGAAGCAGCAGTAGCGACTCCAAAATGTTCATGTGGAAGCAAGGCCAGGATGTGTGTTTTTTGAGGGCTTCAGTCTTTGCTTAAAGTGAGACCAAGAAGGAAGCCACCATGTTGTGGTCCAAATCTCTATTTGGACACATACCCACACGTGGGAAGGTGAAGGAATGCTTCAAGATCAGTGGACGATTTGGCCTACATGGTAGGCTGCACCAGGCACCTTTGAAATTGTCAGGCAATTCCTCAAGGTTCCCTGTATTCTCCCCTGTCGGTGGCTTGAACCATCACCTGTTTGGGGTTCCGTTCATGTTTCCTCCTGGTTGCCAGTGGCCGAGACCAGCTCCCGAAGATTTCGACCGAAGCTTCATCGGAAGGGTTTAGCAATCAAAACCACTGGGGCTCTGCGTTCGGAACGGCTCGCGCAGGTGGCTTGCGCAGCAACTCAGACTCAGGGTATCCGTAAATCACAGAGCGAAAAAGCCACTAGCTAGCAGCAGCAATAAAGCACTGCCCATGCCAGCGGCTGTGGCAGTGCAGTTCGAGGCGTTAAATAGCTACTCACATTGCAATCCTATTATCATACTTCTACTGGCGCCTCTACTGCCCCATTTAAAATGAAAGTGCGTGTAGTACCAGCAGCAGCGGTGGTATCATCAGGGTTACAAAGAGCCATGCAGGGTACGTACCCTAGAAATCAATATTTTATGGTTTATCGGTGGGGGATTTTCCCGCATTTTAAGAACCCAGCTGGAAACTAGCCACGCCCCGTTTTATGGCGGGCCTCGGTTAAATTCCAGTATCCATCCAGCTTTGGGATCTGCCCTCCATGGCAGGGCAGTAGCCTTCAGGGAATAGAGACCCAAAGTAAACCACTACCACCAAAGACCTGTCCAATTCGACCTTTCAGAATGCACCTTTCAGAATACACTGTGCTTGTTGGAGACTCTGTTCTTCCACCCCTTCAGCTTGACTCGCCAGGCGTGAGGAACCACCACGATATGGGGTGCCTTTCAGAAGGTACCCCTCTGGCAGACCCCGGTTTTATTCTGCACCTCGCTTTTCTTGCGGGTGCTCGAATGACCGAGTCCGGGTGTTGGGAATGAACCTAGGGATTGCCTTAAAGGAAACCATAGGTGATGGCTTTTCTTGGGTCGTTCGCTCATTCCCTGCTGAGAACCAGCAAGCTGTTGACTTTCTACCTGCTTCTTGGGTTTGGGGTCCCTCAAAAAAAGCGGGTCGTTTTGTTTTGTGCCTACCTCTTGGTGTTGGAGCTCCCAAAAAGATCCGTGGGTAAACGTGTCAAAGAAGGAGGCTGAGCCGGCTTTGCCTTCCGCTTGCGCTAGGCTTCACCGGCAAGGCGCGGGCGGTGGTGACCGATGTGGCCCGGAGCCGAGCGTTTTTTTCCGCTCGCTAGCAGTCAGCTTCCCCCGAATTGGTGGTTTCTTGACTGCTATTGGGTTGGATCTTTAGACTTTAACTTTTTGGGAAATAATGGTGTTTTCCACTGAACCCCCAAAAAGTGAAGCTTTTTGCAGGGGGGTCAACAGCAACCAAGGTTTGGATTGGTGGTTTGGGAATTGAACCCCTGGTTCTTGTGGAGGATAGATGGGACTCCCGGAACACGCAACCGGGCTCCAAACCACCAACCAGAGGGAAGCTGAGGATGGGTTCTATTGGGCTTGGTGCCAATCAGCTTTAGTTTCCCTTTCCTCGCCAGAGGTTGCCTTTCATCCTTTCACCCTTCCAGCAAGCAAAAAGTTTAATCTAACCACCGGCTCTGTAGCGAACCATCGTGATGTGGGGTTTGAGGCTTCCCGTCTTGTCTTGCCGGGCTCCCCCTTTTCAGGAGAGCTCTCCGGCAACGAGATTTCTTAGTCCATGTCAAACTGCTGAGCCGTGTGGTTTCAGGATTTCATGGAATTTTCGCTGAACTGAAAGCTTGACCAGACTTAGACGGCAACACGTTGATCTCTTGGCTTCAGGTTTTTGTTTCCATTTGGTCCAAACCCACAAAAGGGTATCCTCAACACACTCTGCACCTATACAATGTGCCATGATCAACACATCCCAGGATGGATCTCAACCCATCAACAGCAGCCATAAGGGTTCCCACAAATAGGCCAAGTCTTCGAGGTGAAAATGAGGGGAATGATGCGGAAGCCAAAGCAAGCCCCAAGAAATCCAATAGGGTTGTTCCACTGAAATAAATCCAATAGGAAACGCAAAGACTCACACTCCAGTTCCAATCAAATGTCCTCAAACTGTCCAATCAAATGTTCTAAATACCGGTTTAGGACCCCAAGAAGTAGTTCTGGTGAAGCCCTCAAAATGCAACCTGGTCAATGGCACCCATGTGGGTCAACCCCCAAAATAATCTATCCTATGGGTTGGTACGGGTGCACAACGCTCGTCACCCGTGAACAAGAGATTATTTTGCAAACCCGATTAAAACCAGTGCCCTAAAAAGAAGCGGCAAACTGGTTGTGACAACGAAAACATGTTCCGTTTGATTTATCTTCTACCCGGCCTTTAGCAGGGTGCCCTCCAAAAACACAGCCCCAAAAACGGTGTGCCTTGTTTGAGGGTACCCCTTTTTGGGTGGTCTCATTTGAAACAACCACTTTGAGAGGTGGGGTCCAAAGCGACGCCCAAATGACGCCCTCGTCTCCAGCCGATTGGCTGAGGACGGCACGCTGATGGACTCGCAACATCGGCTGCCGGCCGCACATCTGGCAGCGCTCCGAAGTTTGATGAGGCGATGTGGTTCCTTTAGGTGGTTAGGTTTTTTGTTGGTTCAGTTGGGATTCACCCGGGTCTCCTCGGAAAAGATGTTATATGTTAAGGTCCACGAAATGCAAAGCAGAATCATAAAAACAAATCCAAACAACATGGTTTCAAAGACTGCATGGAACCCCCAAAGAGTCTTATGTTTATGGAAGTTCCATTTGCGAGACCTCTTTTTTGGGCTCCATGAAAAAGCACTGAGGAGTAGAGCTAGGACTGAACTGGCCTTTTGTGGTTGCACGTTTTGCCTTCTTGATTTTTCCGTAGACTTGTCCTCCTTCCAACCAGCAACCAGTTGCAGCCTTGAGAGTGCTCCAGATTTTTGGGGCTGGGCTCACCTAGAGGCCAAGGAGCCCATTGGGAGACGACCAATTTGCAGATTCGGGGTTTCCCAGGCCCAAAGCCCAAGCCCGCAGATTTATCTTTTGGCTTCCCCCTTTTTGATCCATTCCCCAGTTGCCTAGTGGCATCCTTTTTTTCCCATTTGAGTGTGGCTCAAAATTAAACAGGAGGGGTTACGCAGGTGTTGATCCATGTTTCCACTTCCCAGGGTTCCATTTTGGTACCGGTTTTTTGGAGCCACAGCCATTTCTTGTGGAAGGGGGTCCATTTAAAATCAAGCAACCAAAAAGAGTGCCAATGCGTTTTTTCCCCATGGCCACCGCACAATTGGTGAACCTTTGGTTTCCAGATCCTTTGGGCGCGTGAGTGAATCTGCGAGTAAAGGCTTGTTGGGCGCATACCGCGGTGTGGATATCCTTCTTGTTGTTGGGTTTAAGAGGGTCAATCCACCAGGACCCCGCAGAAAAAGGGCTGCTGTACCTTTTGATACCCTTTTTGGGTTGAAAGTAACGGACCAATTGAAGCAAACGGGTTGCTATTCGACCCTGTGGCAGAGTTTAGAAATCATGAATTTGTACAACTTTTGTTGGCCGTCCAACCACAAGGACTTCCGAGTGTATTTTGGTGATGTTTGGGAAGAGCCATCTTCTCCTTTGTACAGGACTCCTGAACAGGGTGAGGAGGGTACTGCCAGAGTCCCAACGCAACACCTCCACTAGCCTTTTCAATCTGGCTGATTGATTTATTCGGGCGTAGACCGGCCCATTCAAGACTCCCTCTCAATCCAGCAAGGACAAAGGTCGGACTTTGAAGATCAGTGAGTGGCAAGTTGTCTTTTGATTCCTTGGCCATGCGAAGCTTGTTCGGCGCTTTTTTAGAGCCCCCCCAAAAAATAAAATAAAATGGTGGCGTTCCTTTTGTTTTCCCTTTCAATCCTCAGAAAAGGGTACCAAGACCCAAATTGGCCCTCGTGCAGCTAACCGAGTATAATTTGCAAGAGTTGGAACACCCCCTTGAAGGAAGACATGGTGACCCTGCCAAGCGAAGTGAACAGGCTCCTTGTGCTTTGAGCCAAAGAAGGGGCCTGAAAAAGAAAAGGACGGTTGGCGCCCTTAGTTCAGATTGAGAGATTGACCAGCACCGTGGTCAACGGTGTTTGTTTGAACACATAATGCTATATATATATATATATATTTATAAGAGTATGATTAATTGTTTTGTTGAGCATGGTATTGCACTGTTCATTATTGTGTTCTGGCCATGCTTGTCAAAACCGCGGTTATGATTGGATCAGTCTGGCATACGTGCAAGACACAAAAACCCTACTGGCATACCGGGTAACAATCTACAACTCCCCCCCCCACCCTCGGTATGACAGCTGCTTCCCATGCCAATCTGGTATTTGTTTAAGTCTTGTTTCAATATTTGCCAAATTGTGTTGGGTTTTGGCGCAGCTTGGACTAATTGGTATGCCAATTATTTAAATTTCTGAAATTATGGAAATTACAATTTTAATGATTTCACGAACTTCCATATTTGGAGCTATTTTCTAATTGAAATTATGGAAATTATTTCGGGGATGGGCGCAGCTGGGATGGATTAGTGTTGAAATTGTTGAAATTCGGGGAATTCTTCAAATTATAGTTTCAGTATGTTCAACAACATGGAGCTAGTTTTTTTGAAATTATGACAATACTGAAATTATTTTGGGCATGCGCGCACCGGGGATGAAATTGTAGAAATGTTACTTTCCATATTTTTCAGAATGTCCAAACAACCATAAATCATGTTTTTGTCATTATGAACATTATTGAATAATGTCACTACTTTCCAAAAGCAGCACGGTGCTTGGTCTGGCGTGTTTGTAGCCATCAACCTTCTAGGTTTGCCTTTTAGGTGTGCTCGTGTATGCGCATTGGCGTGGCGAGCAGCTTCCAACCGTCTTTGTGCCCATCAACCTTCTATGTTTGCCTCCAGCGTATGCTGAAAGAGATGGGTCAAGTCCCACTTTCACGTTTGATTACCCAACAGCTCGTTGCAGTGTTTCAGTGGGCAACAGCATGAGACATGGTGTGGCTTTTGGAGTTGATTGCGCGCTGCAGTACGGAGAGAAGGCAAGATGGCTCGTGAACATCTCGCCGAGCAGCTTTTTGGGTTCAGCTACCCCTGCCGATCCGGTGCTGCCATGCATCGAGTGAGAACACAAAGAAGCGCAGGTCCTCACGCATGCCTCCGCCGGCGCCCCAGAACACAACCATCGCCGACCACAACGGCCGTGGAGCTGCCACAGGATTCTCCTGATGCGTCTTCGGAAGTGGAGGCTTCGGACGCGGAGGTGCAGATCGTATCACCTCAAACCCCCAATGCTGAAACTGGGCCAGCGCCAGGCTTGTTGGCTGAGTTGCCGCCGCGGCTGCATCCTTTTGCCTTACCAGGATAGGGGTGGTAACATGGCTGACAGTCAGCATTTCCATGACTGCAGTTGTAAGTGCGCCGGAGTATTTATTGCTGCCATCGCTCAATGGCCAGGTTACGGTCGTTGTTCTAAGGCCTTTGTAGGAGGAACCCATGCAACTCGTCGGATTCTGCGCCTCTGGGAGCACTGGATGCTCCCAAACAAGAGTAGCAGTTGCAGCAGTGAAGCAGTTGAAGGAAGTTCCCGCTTGGATTTTGGGTGTTGGGATCAGCATCCTGGGCACGTCCGTTCATGCCAGTGGTGGAGTTGACTTGATTTCTAGATTCAAGAACACTAGAGAGCAGACGCCCGCTCCATCTCGGTTAGTGTTGGTTGCGCGCGGGGGCTGGCGGGGATTCTTGCTTTAGCTCTTCTGACGCAGGTGAAGTCAATCGGTTCTGATGGCCATGGAGCTCACGTACCTCGTGCACGTTTAGCTTGCCCTGGTGGAGCGCAACATGCCCATCTGTCTACATTCCGCTGTGCACGCCAGGCAGCGCAGGGTGCTTGCCGCGCGAGGGCGGAACATCGTACGCGTATTCGTCGCCAGGTGGGTCAATCTTTGTGCTCAGATCAGCTGCCCCATCGGTTGGATTGACCGAAAGAGTCTAGGATCTGGCCCTGCACCACTTGAAGAGCGTGAGGGCCACTGAACCTGAGGCCGTCATGCGGCGCCGTGGTGGTGCTGCGATTTTCGTGAACAAGTTCGGCCCCAATATGAGGACTGCTGGTAATGGAGGGCCACCAAGCGACTATGGCGCATTGGCAGGCAATGGCGCCAGGGAGTGAGAGACCAGGTGAGGTCAGGTGATCTCAGCTTCGACCAGTACTGAGGCCTTGGTGTACGACCGTTTCTTTTGTCGTAGCTGTGTGACGTGTTTGCCAGCCTCAGCGCGTTTAATTATCGATAACAGTAAATGCCGAGCTTAGGATCTGTAGCATCTGGAGCTTTGCTTTGGTGCAAAATGTTCACCGCCGCTTGTAGGCGCTGTGCTCGTCTGGGTTCATCAGTGAATTTGGAGTAGAGCCTGGGTTCGCGTGCGTAGGAAGTGCATCTGGCTGTACTCCTGATTGTTTTCATGGCTCTGTTGCAAGGCAGTGCGGCCTGACTGGGCTTGTCGCCGTCGTCTCAGTCGGAAGCTTGGGAGTATTCTTCAGAGTTTGCCGTTACAGTGCTTAGCTAGGTCGGACTGTTAATGCTGTCTGCATTTCTCAGTCTGAGAATAGGCTTGTCTAGCTGAGTGGAGGGTTTGTGTCAGAACCAACTCACTGTGGCAAGCCTCCAGCTGTTTGCATTGGTCCATGCGCTGCACCAACATGTTTCTCTGCTTTTGCTTTCAATTGTCGTCATGCCGGCGACTCCTTCTGCTCGGGCTATCTTTGAGAAGGACCTCAACATTTGGACCGCCTGTTGGACCTCAAGCTCGAGTCCCTCAATGACAAGAAGGTGAACCTCAAGGAGAAGCTGGAAGAGCTCAAGCTTCTGAAGCCACCAGTCTTTCTCCAGCCAAATGGCCCAGCGACCGTCTTTGGAGTCGCCTCTGGAAGGCCTCAAGCGCAACATGGAAGTCCAGCTTGTCGGTGGTTCAGTCTCTCCTGTTCCAGAAGACCACTTTGGCCAGGATGCGCAAGGTTGGGAATGGGTTGTACCTCCACGAGGTGGAGGATGAGCAGACTTCTGAGGGTGGCTCACCTGGACTTGGAAGAACGTGGCGACTGGTCCCAGTGGTAGGCCACCAATGGGCCAAATCATTTTGGAGGCGGACTGTTGTGCCGACAGCTTCGCTTGGAGCAAGATCATGACTGCACTGAGAGATTGAACTCCTTTGTGTGCAGCCTTCAACGCTGCTGGCACCGCGGTCACGAATGTGACCAAGGTGCGCATCGCTGTGGCCATATCCTGCGGGGAGGCAGGGTGTGTCGGCAAGGCTTGATAAAAGGGCGGGTCGCTGACTGCGGCCAGGTCGGGCTTCATCGGATCTTGCGCCTGCTTTGCTCAGGGCCTTTGACCTGGTGCGTGGTCTTCTTCATCTTCAGCCACAGCGGGTCTTTGCTTTAGAGCCATCTCAGCAGCGGCGCTTCTTGGTGGCAACGGATGCAACCCAAGAGGGCTCTGCCGGAGCCTTGGTGGTCACTCCCTCCAAGCAGCCTAAAGCCATGGTGTTGATGGTGGATCCACGGCTCTTTCAAGTTTGGGATGACAAGGAGGACAAGATTTCTCAGCTGGAGCTATGCGTCATCATGATGACTTTGGCTACTTTCTCTTCTGCTTTTCGAGGATACCACGGCATCTGGTGGGTGGACAATATATGTGGCCGTAGCATTGAGGAGCTGGATATCATGAGTGGCGCCGGCCATGCTATGCTATGTGGATTGCAATGTAACATCTAGTTCGAGTGGATTGCCAGCAAGGGCAACTGGAGCGACGGAGTTTCGAGGCTGGGTCCGTCTGACCCCTGGTTGATTTCTCACAATTTTGACATCTTCTTTGCTGAGCCCCTGATGTTGCTCTTCCACCTGCCGCCCATCATCCTTGTGAGGATCTTCTCGTTTGTGCAAGTGATTTGGGAGGACTGCGTTGGGAGAACCAGCGGAAGGCTGGGGTATGTAGGATACATACCTGGGTCAGATTCCACAACCTGTAGGCAACACAGTCTGTGGAAAACCCAAAGCACTTTGGCGACAGCAGAGCTATCTGTGAACAAATCTCTCAAGTCCGATATCGTGATGAAAACAAGATGCTGCGGCTCGGTCCTGTGATGAGTGCCATCTGAAAACATTATGTCACTTTTCAGGTTGGCAGGCACGGTCGGCTCAAGAATCAAAATGGCGTGTCTGGCCAAGGTATAGGATTGGTGATCTGGGTCATATTTCAAGTATCCTCCCCTGCCTAGAAGCTGTGGGATCTCAGTTTGTATGGGACCGAGTACCCATCCTCCGTGTCAATGGAGGCGGTGGAACGAGGACGGATAGCCCCATACATTTGTCAGGTTTACTTGGAGTCGCCGAGAACCGGTGGTATGCTGGCCAGCAGAAGGCTGGTCAGATCCCACAGTGCCTGTAGGCAACACAGTCTGTGGAAACGTCAGACCTAAACCCAAAGCACTTTGGCGACAGCAGAGCTGTCTGTGAACGAATCTCTCAAGTCCGATATCGTGATGAAAACAAGATGCTGCGGATCGGTTTTGTGAAGAGTGTGATCTGAAAACATTTCCTGCTCTGGGACGCAGAGGCGCGGTGTATATTTGCATTTGTTTAGCCGGCCTAGAAGTATTATTCGAAAGTTCAGCCAGGCTTGGCTTTGCGGGTTGCTTTCAGGAATGCTGTGGTGTTTGATTCAATCTGGGCTCTTCTTGTGTGGCGTAGACCACACCGCCGGCCGACCAATCACGCGCGTGATCGAAAAATGCGCCATCATGAGGCAGATTGGCGCATGCCTATCTTCAAAGTCAAATTCTACTTCGTTTGACATGTGTTTGCGATTGGCTGCTGAGTCTGAGAGAGCACGCGCGAATTCAATTAGGCCGTAATATTCCCAACCACACCGCCCCCCCTTTTTGAGATTAACACGCCCAGCCGGCTCGTGGTTGTAAACATCGCTTTAGGCCCATTGAAGGTGATGGGAAGCCTGATTTTTGGGGGAAATGTAGGGCTCGAGAGGCGCAACGTGCCGGTGGTGCTGGCAACGGGCAAGCACCGGGGTCCCTGGACGCAGCGACTCATTCAGGAGGCGGGTGGGAGGATCTTGAAGGAGTTTCCTTGTATCAAACTTCCCCCAATTGGTGGCTTGCATTGGTGGTGGGCTTTGAAGCCCCCTCCTCAACCACCAAATCACCAATCCAACCCACCAATAAGAGGAAAACTGGGAGTGGACATGTGTCACGTTGGTGGAAAGGCAACCATGGTTTAACTGCTGGGCTGTCAATTGAACTGATGTGCCCGCCCCAGCTGTGAGCTATGATAGCGGTGTGGGGCATTTGCCGTTTTTTGGTTCTGTTCATTTACATATGGAGGGGAGAGGTTCGCTAAGGCTCCCTAAGGAACCTAAAAACCCTAGGCACACCTAGAAAGACCACAAAACCCTAGGGCTGTCAACACCCACCCCCTTGTACCTACCCCTCCGATCCTTGCTTTTACTCAGGCCCTTTGCTTGTCCAAAAGTAACCACCCTCTGAGTGGGGTTAGAAGACCTGCTAACCCGTCGCACACATATCCTTTTTGGGAGTTTTGGTTTTAATAGGAAACATTTGTTGGGGTCTCCTATTTTGAGACAATCCCATTTTGTAGGGAAGTAACTCGTTAGCTTCTGAACAACTATGTTTGCTTCAAAGCTACTTTCCAGCAGGAACGTCTGTCCAGCACTTGCATTTGCACGAAATTTGTGAATTGGGCGCTTGGTCCATGCGAGACGGCCAGGTGGTCGACCATGACATCCAGGCCTGCAAAGAGTGACCAGCCCCGTCCTTCGGAAGCCGCCTGGCTCTTACCTGTTGATTGAATGTAGTTTGGTTGGTTGGTTCTTCTGATTGCTTGTGAAAGGCCCAACGAGTGTTAGCCTGTTAACGCATTCCAGCCAGCTAGACACGTGTTGTTCCTCTCTTTCCGCAGGTCCCGCGGGTTAGCTTAAAAACTCGCTTTGGGCGCCCGCTTTTCCGTCCAAGTCCAACCTCACCGTTTCTGGGAATCCTGGGCAGACGGCTTGAGTCGGAAAGTTAAAACACTAAAAATCATTCCCAGGGACTTTCAGGCAGTTTCGGCTTAGGCGAAGTGAATTGACGTTTTGTTTGGCAAGCGCCAAATGCTCGGAGAGAGCCAACTTGATGGCGCAGTTAAGCTTGTCTCTCCTTGGGCTCCTGGACTTTGGTCACTTTTTGGAACCATTTGAGTGGCAAACAGACAGTTTAGACCTGCTCATCTCGATCGATCCGAACATGTCTCGGCTGTAAGAAACATGCAGCCATGGGTTCCTTCGATGGGGTTTTGTCAAGGTTTGATGCCTTCAGAACTGTGCAATCTGGCGCGGCTTCCGCGACAAACGCCGGGGGGCGGGGGTGTCAAAAGGCCGGTTTTGTTTCCAGCAACGAAAAATTGGGACCAAAGGTGCACAGCGTCTTTCTGATTTCCCTTCAACCACCATCCAAGAAAAGGTCCTTTTCCAATCCGTGCACCCCCACCGAAGTGTCCTTGAAAGCAATGCGACTACATCAGGGTGAAAGTAGATAGCACAACTCCCATTATTTGCAGATGTAACGGGGATGACCAAACCCAAATGGGGGAATTGTGCTATCTGCTGCCGCCCACCTGTCATTCTGATTTTGCAAGACTTTTGGTTTGCGACCTCGTGAAGGTTGGTCCTGGGCCAAGGTAGAAGCCACCTTTTCTCCGACGTGGGTATACAGATATATACATATTTCTTGCCGTACCCTCCCGTTCCTTTGGAAGTGTTCTTGGCAACATGGGCCAAAGCCAAGGGTAAAATTTGTGGTTTTTCTGAACAGGATAGAGGTGAAGAGAGTGGGGAACCAACCTTCGAAATCACTTCACATTTCCAGGCCATGTTTTTTTAGCGAGTTCCCTTCTTTGGTCGGTTGGTAGGAGACCCTGTCAATTCGGACGGGGTTGATGGTGTGAGACTGACAACATGTGTGATGTTGGTATTTGGGGCAGGACATGTTGGAGGGTTGGACTTATGGGTGTGACTTTGTTGGATACCACTTCGGCGATCATGCAATTGAAGGGACACCGGACCCATGTAGGGTTTTCTGTATCTATAGACCAACCCATAGTTTGCTTCTCAAATGAATCACCCATGTTACATTCAGGTGCCTCCCCCCACCCTCCCCACCAACCCAAGCCCGAACGTTTTCGCCTGCTGTGGTGTTTCTTCATCCCATTCAGCCACTCTGTTGCGCAAAGGGCCGACCTCTTAGCCTTTTGTTGTCCCAGATTCGGTCCCTTTCTGGTTGCCCCAAAAGATCCGCCTTATGTTTCCAGGGTGCTTTGGGGGCAAGCGAGCAGCGCTTGCTAAGTTTGGGCCCTAACCTCTCAACCTCGCCTGAGTTCTTGGACTTTCAACTTTTTGTTAGGACCATTTTAGTGGTAAACTTGCGCACAGTCTGTTGGCACTGGTGACAGACTTGTTAATTAGAGGTAATTTTGAGGATCACTTTAGCAAGCCATGAGGTGATCAAGAAAAGTTTGGACTCTTTGTTGGCCATCTCGGGGAGTGAGCAACTGAACCCATGGACGTTGGCCGGAAGGCGGCATCTCCATGGACGCTGAACGCGCCGGGGGTCTTCGTCCAGGGCCTCCGGGTCTGCGATGCCTCGGGCGAGGCGCGGGCCGGGATGCGTAGGTCCACCAAACCCAGAAAAAGCTTCCGCTTGCAATATGGCTGTGGGTCAAAACCAATGGCATCCCATCTTGGGGTAGGTGAATTCACCACCCATTTTAGAACCTATTTTAGTGGGGATTGGGATGTTCACTGGGGGTACGAGATTTTGACCCATGGCCATATGTTCTCTCCTGGTAGCTTTAGAGGGAATCTATCACTGGACATGTCTTCCATTTGCTTAAGAATATATGTTTCCCCCCTACTTTCAAAGGGAATCTGGACATATGCTTTCTTTTTCTCCAGGACTCAGGAAAATTGAGGCAATCAACAAAATTAGCTATATAAATCAACGAGGCCAAATAAACGAGCAAGTAAAACAAATCGACCAAACAAACGATGCCGGAGGAGGCCTGTTTGTTGAGGATTTGAAGCAGGGATGCCTGGAACTGGAGCAATTGAAGTGTGAAATCGGAACTGAATCTCATTTGATGGAGTAGAGGAATTGGACCGTTGCAATAAAGATCTTGTGGGTTCCCTCGTTGCTTTTTGCGGGTGAACTGCCGTTCGATTTACCTCAACCCTTTAACTGGACGACCGGTTGGGCCTCACGACCAACCCACACAAAATGGGCTCGGATTCCTTTGGTTTCCCTGTAAGCCAAACGGGTTTCCCACCAAAAGGACGTCCAAAAGCTGGTCAGTTCCATTTTGAATGGCGCTTTTCCAGTTTGAACCCAGCGGTATGTACCTCCCGGTTTGAGGTCGGACAAAACACGGTTGCGTGGAGGACTCGCTGCGCCTCAAGTTTTTTGCCCAAAACGTGGCTTCATACTTGGGAGATGTGTGAATCAGGGACTCCAAACAGTGTGACCTTCATTTGAACACCGCTCCCGAAAAGGGGACATGTTAAGAACTTCCCCCCTTCCCCAGAAGGTCAAGCCTGAGATGAAACGGGGGTCCGGGAGAGAAGGTGGTCTGCGGGAGAAGATCGTAGATGGCCGCTCTGCAGGATTGAGGATGCACGCGGAAATTGGAAATTAGATAGAGTTTAATTGGGCCGGTATTGAACTCAATTGTGTTTTGCGCGGAAAAGTTGTTCTTCCCAACGCACCATACCTATTAAGAGTGGTCCCGGAACGGAGTATAGGATTGTTTCATTTTGGATCTCAAACGTGCGCCTTGTATTTTTAATCCAATGTTAACATTCCCCTCAAGAAGCAAGCACCCATTTGGGCGTGTCCTTTTCCCGGCTGTCTGGGTGAACTATAACGACCTCACACGACCTCACCCCTCATGGTGGTTTATGTGGGGAATAGCCCGCCACCCCACACACACACACACAAGTTGTTGCTGTGCATTTTTTTTGGCCACCCCCAAACTCCCTAAAGGTCGGGCACTCAGTGCTCAGAGACCCGGATTCAGGTGGTCGCTGCCCGAACGCTCGCACCTGAGCTCCTGAGACGCTGCGCACGCCTGGCGGAGCGCGAAGCGTGGACGCTGCTGTCCTACACGGACCGGGCCAGAGGGCTGGTGAATCAGTCTCTTCCATTTGCTTAAGAATGTGATTGATTTCCCCTGCTGGTGTTAAAGGGAATCTATCACTACTGGAAATATTTGTTTTCAGTGGACTTGAGCAAATGGAAGGTCTGCTGCACAACAATTGTTGGGAGCACAAGTTGTTGCAGCCTCGTTTGCTTTGTTTCGGGGCCGTCCACTCGCTTCGGAAGCGAGCAAAACCGCAGGTTTTGCTGCCTTGAATTGTGCCCCGGGGTGCGGGAAAATTTTCGGGGCAGCTTTCTGTACCGATCCGCTTGAAGTACGTAAGTCCCTATGGCTGTCAAGCGCCCCCCGTAGGTCTCTGCAATTCCATGGGGCCTTTCTGCAAGGCCCAGGGCCCCTGTTTTTGGGGCGCCCTGCAAGCAAGGCCCCCTGGCAATGGGAGAAGTCGTCATGGGAATCCACTTTAGGTATCACTGACAAAGGGCCATGCGAATCAACCACTTGGTACGACACTGGGTACACGGTACAAGAGGAAAGCCATCTTCCAGGTAGAGGCGCTATGTTTGTTGGAGGCTCCGAGGGTATCACTGAGCGCCAGTGGTTGTCGCTCCTGGAAGTCTCCAAAATGCACGTTGACCCAGGACGCGGATACCATCGCCAGCGGCTTAGCTGCAAACGGCCAGCCGTGAAGGGTTTTTAAGGTTTTTTGGAGTGTTCAAAGGAGGTGCCAAAGAATGGATGATGCTTTCCCAAATCGGATTTGTTTTTAATTTTCCACACATTCCTTGCGTGCAGCGTCCATCCTTTTGATCTGGCGAAAGCCAGTTTGGACTTTGTGATGGCAACCTGCTACCTATTGATTTTCCGTTTCCGCATGAGACTGACGGCACCTTGGCTCTCTGAAGAAGCAATAGTTTCGAACCGGGATGGGGTACCTTCCTTGGCCGGATCCGCGGTCAGGCAGTAGCGCTTCCAGGGCTGGTTGCACATGTGCCATGGGCCAAAAAAACAACATTTACTTTGGGTTTGATGGATGCTCGTCAACCCTAGTAGGATTTTTAGACTAAAGAGTCCTGATCACGGCTCGAATATTGCCGGCAGCGGTCCCTATAACTTCCGTTTTTGAAGGATGAATCTGCCGTCGTATGGCGATTTGAAAGGGTGTTTCCCTGAGTGCTGCGATGTTTCGGTGGGAAAACCGTGCCCCCATTGTCATGGCCTGCAGGTATTTGATTCTTTTATGGCACCAGATTCAAATAGAAAGTCATGTTGACTCATGTCGTGGGCGGCAGTTCGGATGGTTTTGCGACATAATTTCTCGACAGAGAGTGTCTTTGTTTGAAGGTACAATGGGTACCTGTTTTTTGGTGGTTTTGAAGGGAAACGAAAGTCAACAACACCATTTTGGAGGACCCCTAACAAAAAGACGCACTCAAATGTGTTCAATGTTCCCAAAGGAAGCCCACGGAAAGATGGTTGTTTTTTCGGGTGACTTAATTTTGACCCGTACCCAGGAGTTGGACATCGGGGTGCTTTGCTGCACTGATTCGGTCGGCCCAGGCAACCGACCGGATCCGGAAACGGCGAAGATCGACGCGCTGGGCGAGCCGCCAGCAGCTCGGTTGACTGGTAGCTGAGTCAAAGAAAGGGAACCCCACGTTGGATGGTTTAAACCTTGAGTGCTATTGGGTTGGATCTTTAGACTTTAACTTTTTGGCAAATCAAGTTTTTTTGTTAAACCCGCAAAAAGAGGGGTCAACAGCAACTAAGAAACGGGAATCCAAGAGGACATCCATCGTTGGAACATCGTACTCTGTAACGTGCGTTGCTTTTCGTTTGATTGCAGGGTTCTCTTGTGAGAAAGCTCCGCAAATAGTTACGTCTTGTTTTTGGGGTACCCCTTGTTTGTTGTTTTTCAAAGAAACCCAAAAGGAAAGTCAAACTCCAGTTTGGGGTGTTCTCGTATTTTCAGACAGCCCCGCACATCAAGAGTCCTTCCTGGGAGATTTCTAGATCTTCGGCGCCCGGTGTTTGGATTGGAATGAGGGTGTTCCCCCTCCAAAGTGACGAGCCTCCTAGTAAAAAGCCGGGGACACCTCCACATATTTTTTCTTCATCCTGGGTTGGCTGAAACATTTGCCTGGAACACATGGATCCCTGTAACGAGGAGCCTATAAGGAAGGTGGTTGATCACATGTCGGGGTTGTCCTTTGAGACCAGGCTTGTCCGTTTGAAAAGTCTACCTCAATGCAAAGATGCCTGGGCCTCTCAAAGCGGTTGTTGATTCTGTTGGCGGTTTCAACTCCCCTGCTGCATAACAAAGACAAGGGGGCGTCTACCCGTCTTGCTTTTCAAGACATGCCCAAAAATGCCTGCAGTATTTGAAGGAAAATGTACAGTGGATGGAGCTCCAGCTGGGACGATGCAATGAAAACTGGCACAAACCAGCTAGGATAAGTTGTGGTTTTAGTTGTTGGTGTTGTCTTGTTGTGTCAGGTTCCCACTCTCATTTGACATCCTTCTTGCACAGTCGGATGATGGTACACGGGGATCGGGATGCCTGGCCTGTTCAGAACCAACGTCAAGCATCGTCAAGCCTTGAAGACTTGTTTGGTTGTTCTCATTCCGTGGTGGCTGGAACTAAGCTGAGTATATATTTTAAATTTTGTGAGTCCAGGGTTTTGAAAGAGAAAGGTTATATTTTGGGCAGTTGAAACACTCGACCTGGCCACCACTAGTCAAAGGTTATATGGGTTTATCTTTTTCGAGAGTACCTCTTGGGGTGGCTCAAAAAGGAACCATGTGGAACACATCCATTTGTGGCTTTTAGCTACGCCCATCTACGATTACGGTTGTTTGTTTTGGGCCTCTTGACTTTGGTGCAGAACTGTAATTATTTGTTCATAGGCCCATAACCCAGGAAGATCATGCTGGCTTATGATATGGGTTGCATTAGCGACATTCGCTGAAGGACGAGGAGAATGAATCTGAGGAGCGCGGCGACCACTCGAGCGGCCCAGACTCTTTTGGCCGTCACGAGGTGAGCCGCACACAGCCCCCAAGTGGCTTAAGCTCACGGAGGAGATCCAGTGGTCCGCATATTCTAGCATGGCCGGGAGCAAGAACAGGAGGGGATGCTAGAAGAAGAACAAAAACGCAGCGTGCCAGGCGCGATGTTTCAAAAAGCAGAATGATGATGGGCTTGCGACGGAAAACTGGAGTTTTGGCAACTGGAACTGTGCTTTTTGGCAATATTTTTGAACAAAACCAAGCTTGACCGCTATACAGCATGATGTATCAACACGATACAGTGTGTTGACCCCTGAAAATGGTGGGCATGATTTCTCTTGAAGCCGACCTCTAGTTGGGTCCAGCTCGTTTTGATTCAGACATTTAAAGCTTACTTGAACATTGCATTGCAGCACATAGTGTATGAACAATCTGGAGCTCGTGACGCACTTACCGAAGTCCAAGCACTCATTTGTCCACATCCATTGCGGGCAGCGTCATGTTTACAGCCTGTTGGTGGTATGGTCATCAACCCTTAATAGGGGCCTTAGTCAAACATTACCTTACCTGTTGCTTTGTCCATCTTTGTTTGGCAGGTGTTTGGTCCATGTTTGTTAAGGCCCGAAAAGGTCTACTTTGGACATTCAGGAATCTATGCTCCTGGCAATCACAAATTGTGATCCTGGCACTGGTCTTCGCAATCCCACTATCTTTAAGGTTCACCGCAGGACTGGCGTGAAACATCTGCCGTTTCGCTTGGCCAACCTCTGGCCGCGGTTCTCGATCCAATCGGAGCGAAACCTTCGGCCGCTTCGAAACTTCGAGGTAGAAGTGGCGAGTTGCGAAGGCGCGAAGGTGCACAAGCTGCTCTTCCTCGGGCGTCCGGCGGATGAGCAGGCGCCCGATGCGGCGCTCGAACTAATTCGTTGCGCCAGAAGTTCAGAAGAAATGTTGATCCTCAGCTCCCAGAATGATTCGGTGGTCCCTTGAGTTTTTGTTTGAGTGGAACCACCCCAAAACGGGGTCCTCAACAAAGACACGCCCAAATGGAACCAGAGCAAGCTAGTGAAACCAGCTGGGGGAGGAGGCCAAAAAGAGCGACCGTCGCGTTGTTGGCACGACAGCAACACCAGGAATCAAAGCCCACACATAGAACAGAGTTTGCTTTGTGGGGTATAACGTTGTCAGCCGTGACTAATCTAGGGGTACCTTCCCCATTCTTTCCAGGGATCCTTCTTTTCAGGAAACCCAGGGGAAACAGCCGAACAATGGTTGAAAAGAATGGGGAATCAACCCCTAGAACTAATGTTAACTTTGGATGAATCCGGTGGACCACACCAAGTACTTGCCAGCGACCCTGAAATGCATTGGGTTCTGCGCAGGCCATCCGGAAAGCCGTGGAGGCGGAGGTGGGTGAAGAGGCAAGGGAGAGCAAGACCTGAAGCGGTGAGCTTCAAGGTTTGCTTTGGAAGCTCCCATGGGAAGTTCATGAAGCAGGGGTGCGTTGGATATGTTTCATGGGCTGCTTCTGATGGCAAGGAACCCTTTAGGGTACTTCCTAAGAGCACCGTAAGCCCGTAAGGAGCTTACGCTGGGGTCTTCCGTGCTGAAGGCATGGGTGATGTTTCGGATTGCCCTGTTGCGACGCAACTTGAGGAGCCAAACCTGGGCGACCGACAACTTTGGGGCCTCATGATGCAGGATACAACTTGGCTATCGATGCTTTAACCAAACTGACCTACAAGGACACCTATTGTTCCAAGCACTGGAATGTCCCTTGTCCATGTACAGGTGCCCCTGCAATATATTACGTTCAAGAACACAACCGTATTTAATCACAATGTTGATATATCCAACAATCATATGCAACCCTTTGGCTATATCATGTTTGCCCCGGTTTTAAAGAGGGGGTAGGTGACTATCTTTAATAACAACATTCCAGGAGACCCCAGGAATACGTGACTGGAACACTGGACACCATCATGTCAACTGGGTCGTTGGTGGAACCCCTGCTTTACCCTAGGTGTCCTTTTGTCGGGTGACATAGAGTCGTGATTCGGAAAGCTAGTTGCGGCTACTATCGACCCGGTGCATTTCAGCTATGCTGTCAACAAGAAACAAAGAAACAGTTGCCAGCGGACTTGTGTGAAGCTTCGTTGGTAAAGCGCCCAATGTTAAAAGCGAGTCCTGATTTTCGTTGAGTCCTGTGCCCTTGCAACCCACGAAGGGGTTTCCATGTTGCCGGAATTGTCGGCCCCCGAGAAGGCTCCCCCTGGTTGTTTTTTGCTTTTCGGGGGGTTCACTGGTTGGGACAGAAGCTTGAACAACATCTTGACAGGTTCGCCTAGGTCGGCACTTCATATCCTTTTCATCCTTTTTGAACATCATCCTTTTGACTTTTTTGGTTCTCGTCCAAGAAGTCCCCCACGCAGGCTTCGATCACGGTGGCCATCGCGGGTATGGTGGAGGTCCTGCCAAAGAACTCGTCCAAAGCAGACGGCGTGAGGCGCGCGAAATCGCGGTGGTCGAGCTGGCGCTTGATGCCCCCGCAACAACTACTTTTTCCCAAGTCCAAAATCCCAAGTACTGTCCAAAATGCAGTAGTTCGAGATGCTGGGAGCTTTGTCATTTTCCTTTGGCTGCAAGGGTAATCCTGTATGGAGCGGGCCACGTTTTTTCCCAGCGGATCGTAGGGCCAATACCAAGCCTACCTTGCACAGACCACCCTACCCTGCCCCAAGCCACGAACCCTCGGATTTCAACGGAGTTTTTTACTTGACCTCACTTGGCCTTAAGGCTATTGACCCATTGACCCTTGACCCATCATAACTTTTGGGAGTCCTAGGTTTGACATGCATGTAGGCATTTGGCATTGTGTTCCTCAATGACGATGGTCCTCATCCCACAAAACCCTTAGCTTTGTGGGTTCAGAGAAACCCGAGGTTTTCCGGCTACGTCCAACCTGTGCATTTCGTGCATCCAAACCGGCCCGAGTCTGGACGCGAATTCGGGGTTGTCTCCTCTGAGGCAGGCGCTGGAGATTTTGGGCATCCAGCCAAGGGAAGTGCTGGCGCTGGGGGACGGGGAGAATGATGTGGAGATGATGGAGTTCATCCGCCCCTCGGATGGGGAGCGGTACTCCCCAAAGCCCCAAAAGGAGTATGTTTTTTGCTTTGTGGTACTACCCTTGGAAATCAGCGGAAGGAGCCAGGTCCCCTGCAAATTGAATGAGAGGTCTTGGTTTCGTGCGCCCAAACAATGGGGGTGAGCCCCAAACAGAATCCGCCGCTAGGAAGTGTCAGAATGGCACGGTCGATCCCGGATTCGCAAGTCTAGCAGACTGATGGGGTGGTTGCCCCAACAGCAAAGGAGTTCGTCTTAAATGGGCAGGGGTTACTGTAGTTACTAGTTCATCCTGGGTTCCCATTGACCGCCAAAAGGGTGATTTCCCTAAAAAGCAACCCAACCAGAAGAGTGGGCTCGACAGACGTGGGCGCCCTCACAAAACTCCGTCACCGCCAAGCGCTCTGGACTGAAGGCGCAGAACCCGTGGAGGGTCTGGGTACCCGCAGAGGCGCAATCAATGGGTTTGAGCGTTACGCGAGGCCACACCTCTCAAAGCAAAAACCAGACTTAGCTTGCCTTTTTAACGTTTGGTCCTCTAGTGCTCCTTCATTTCGCACTTCAACCAGCAAACAGTTCATCCAATCTTTGCAGGTCTGAGGCCGGCCCAGGAAAGAACGCCTTGGGGAACAGCCGGAAGCTTTCGCAGACCAATTTGACACATTGTTCTCTTGTTAGACCTCCCTCCTTGGGTGAATCACTCAGATCATCCTGGGTTAACGTTGACCGGCTATGACCAGCTGGCGGTGTCAATATTCTTCACAGAGCCTTGAAGCCACCGCACCTAAATGAGTCCAAAGGCTTGGAAGATGCCGATGAAGGCGTGGGGTTCCTCTTCCTTCAAACGGAGGTGCCAGGGGATGATGGACCCCTAGAAGGTTTCTACACGCATCAGCCTATACTGAAAATCATGGGGACGAAAGTGGCCGTGAAAGGCGGGTGAGCAAATGGTCTCAGCGGCACTTGTCTCTGGGTTCCAGAATCCTCAAGGAGGCAATGATGCGAATGAAGTTTGCAGGTAGCTCTGGTGCTCGGCTGGGATCATTCTTTTGAGGGTTTGGGAGGTCAAAGTCAGAGAATGGTTTCTGGCGGTTTCCCTTTCACCCACCACTGAACCTTTCTGGTGGTTTCTGGTGGTTTCCCTTCCCTTTCCTTTCAGAGAATGGTTTCCCTTTCTGGGGTGACCGGGGGTGACCTGGCTCCACCGGCCGCCACCGGCTCAAAGGCGGCGCCGGGGGCCTCACAGCGGCGGTGGCCAACGCCCGGCCGCAGCTGAGACGTGCGGCGGAGTTCGAGGTGCCCTCCTGCGACGAGGACAGCTCGAGCCTCGAGCGGTCGCCGGATGGGCTTCCAATGGAGGCAGGAAAACCAGGTCCCCCAGTAGCTGGGTCGGGCAAAAGATGGTTTCAACGCCACTTTTACGAGGGAAGAATCATCAGTGGTTTAGGTGCCCTTTCTTTTACCCCTTTTTTGGTTGGGAGGGTTCCCCTACTAAAAATGACTACAGAAAAAAGTTGGTACCCTTATTCTAACCTCTCGACTGGAGGATCTAGAAAATGGTCGCCCATTGTTTTAGCCCTTTTCCACTTGAGTTGTTTGGGATGAAAGGGTTTAGATGGTTGCGTACACGGGAAAATGGAAGCACTGGGCCAGACGGTTTGGCTGTTGTTTTACGTATTGCAGGGCAACTACGCAAAGAAGCGTGTCATTTTTTCCCATGCCCACTAGGAGTCTGGGATCTAGAAATCTAGATCCAGCTTCTTTTGAACTTGAGCCAGCTCAGGGAATCAGCTTGAATGGACAAGAGTTGAGTGCCCTTAGATCGAAGCCAACTTGTCTTGTTCGGAGCATGAGGCGATGAGGCAACAAATAGGGACCTAGCATGAAGCTAAAGTTTGCTGCTTGTCGGACCAAGTGTTTCGGCCCTCTCTTCTCCAACAAGTAATGCCGTCCACTTGTGGCTGTTTAATCGCCAATCTTTTGATCTACCCAGAAGGAGGTCAAACAGGGCCTAATTGGCAACTCTTCTGATTTTTTTCCGACTTATCGACCAAGCCAACGTGGCCGCAGGACGGGTGGTCGCACGCCGTGGAGCGATGGATTTTGACCGCGCGGGGTGTGACACCCGCGCGAGCCCAAAAGCAAGAGCTGCGGGAACGAGGGCATGAGGGATTTTGTTTATATGACTTGACACTTGCAGTTTCAATAAATATGGATATGGTTAAAAACTAAACCACCAGGGGACCGCAGGTTTTGGTCCATGTTTCCATCTACCAGGATTCCATTTGGGTACCTATTTTTGACCAACAGCCAAATATAGACCAGATTCTAGGGGAAAGGGAAGGGAGTGAGGTCAGGGTGTATGAGTGCGGATTTCTTGGGGTGACTAGCCTGCCTGTTCTGGGAAAGATGGAAGCCCTTCAGGACAAATTCTTCCCTTAGAAGGCTTGCAGAACAACAGTGAGCCGCATATCTTGGTGGTCTGCTCTTGGACACTAAAAAAAACAACTAGAAGCAAGGAGACCACCCAATTTTCAACCCAATGTACGGAAAAGGGATGGCTCGGGCCGCCGGTGTGGGGGCACCACCCCTCATGATGACAAAAGTAGTTGAATGGGCTGACCCCAAGCGGGACAGAAACGTGGACCGCACATTCTCACGTGTCCCTTTGAGAGACATTTATATCTGGAGGGGGATTTGTCCACTTAGCAAGCTACGAAATAGACAAGCAACAAGAGGGAGGCGTGTTGCGAATAGGCCGTGGGGTTTTGCACGTTTCCGCCCTTCTTGAACCTGAAGGCATAAAATGCAAAATGCCGCAAAACCAGGTGCGTTTGCAGGGCTGGAGCCACGAAGCCCGCTGTTTTTTGGAGCCTTTCAGCAGAGTGCGCCGGCGTTTTGCCCTGTAAAAAAATAGTAGGGGATCAGACGCTTTTACAAAACACGTGACCAACAATGGAACTATCCCGAATCCCAAACATGAACCCTTCGCAATTTTGACCTTAGCTTCTTGAACTTCGCCGTTGAGATCCCACGGGCCTTTCTTTGCACCTTCCGTGCTTGCGTGTGCCTTTCGCTCAAAGGAACGGGGCGGCGGGGCTCAGAAAGCATGCCTCAATTTAGATTGATTGCCAGATTTGGTTTCTGCTTTGACACATCTTGGGTCAGGGTGAAGAAGGATTCAATCCCGGCCAGCCAGGTAGCAACAATTGCATCCCAGAAACCAGAAAGGCTTTGGTTCTCCCCCTTGTTTCTTCCGAGCCGTTCCTGCTGAGCCATTGGTTTCCTGCGTCGCTGGCTGATGCCAGTGCTATGGCTGGCGCTTTTGGCCGGCGCTCACGCTGAGGAGAACTGGGGGCTTTACAGGTGACTGGCCTTCTGGCGTTTTGTGGGCGACTCAAAGCTGCGCTCGAGTTTCCCCATGAAACCCTATCTCACACTTGTCCCAAGGCAGGGACTAGGAGACACCAGGCAGTCAGATGCTCGCATTGACGGTTTTTTGTGGGGTGGCCCCCAAGCCCAAACCTGCAAAACACACCCCGGCCTTTGTCCCTACGGTGACGACTTTTAAATATGTGGGGGCCGGGCCTGGGCTTCAGGGCTGGGAGGTAGTGTAAGACATCTGTTTATATCGGATAATTAAAGTGGCTGGCCGGGCCACCCTCACGGGCCCTGGAGGTAGTATGAAATACCAATTAGGATATTTAAATGGCAACACCGAGACAGACCCCTTCCCCGTAAAAACAGGGCGTAACACAATTCAATCCCTTGCTAGCAGCTGCGTTGCGCTAGCTCCTGCCAAGCCAGGTCAGATTGCACAGGTCCAACCTAAGGCGCCATGTCGGTGCAGACCTATGCTTGCGTAACTCCATGCTTCATAAACGCCTGGAATTGCGGAGCTAAGTGCGCTGAATTGAGCTGCCCAAGCCCTGTGTACGTGGCTCGTGGAGAAAGAAAGCAAGAAGAACACGAATGCCCCTTGTCTCGGACGGGACTCCCAGAATTCCCTGAATTCTTGAAACTCCTGGCGTCTTGGGATGGGAGCTGCTTTTAAGCAAATCTCAGAATGAAAAGAATTGGAAGAGAGAGAGAGAGAGAGAGAGAGAGAGAGAGAGAGAGAATGCCTGGATCTGTCATTGGGCCCTGTTTCAGACCTGTTTCAGACCTGTTTCAGACCCCTGCAAAAGCACCATCTCAAATTCGCAAAACTTTGCCCCGAATCCCCAGCACCAGTATAGCGGTGCAGCGGCTCGCGGGCCGTGGAGGTAGTATGAAACACCAATTGAGACATGGTGCAACACTGATGCCTGCAATTGCAGAACAATGCTTTCGTAATTCCATGCTACATAAACGCCTGGAATTGCGGAGCTAAGTGCGCTGAATTGAGCTGCCTAAGCCCTGTCTACGTGGCTCGTGGAGACAGAAAGCAAGAAGGACATGAATTCCCCTGTCGCTGACGGGACTCTCAGATTTCCTTGAATTCTTGAAACTCCTGGCGTCTGGGGATGGGACCTGTTTTTTAACAAATCTCAGAATGAAAAGAATTGAAAGAAAAGAAAGAGAAGCAAGAAAGAGAGAGAGAGAGAGAGAGAGAGAGAGAGGGAGAGAGAGAGAGAGACTGCTTGGATCTGGCATTGGGCCCTGTGTCAGACCTGTTTCAGGCCTGTTTCAGACCCCTGCAAAAGGACCGTCTCATATTCGCAAAGCCCCGCCCCGAATCCGTAGCACACACGCCTCAGCTCCTGCCAAGCCACATAGGTCCAACCTACGGCGCCATGTCGGCGCAACACTGATGCCTCTTTTTGTAATTCCATGTTACATAAACGCCTGGAATTGCGGAGCCAATTGCGCTGACTTGAGCTGCCTAAGCCCTGTCTACGTGGCTCGTGGAGAAAGAAAGCAAGAAGGAGCTTATTTTTAAACCCACAGAATGAAAAGAATTGGAAGAGCAGAAAGAGACAGAGAGAGAGAGGGAGAGAGAGAGAGAGATAATGCATGTGGCAGCGGGCCCTGTGTCAGACCCGTTTCAGACCCCTGCAAAAGGACCATCTCATATTAACCCTGCCCCGAATCTATAGCACAAGCGCTGGCCCTTGCCAAGCCGGTCCAACCTAAGGCGCCATCGGCGCCTAATGCTTCTAATTGCAGACCAACGCTTTCGTATTCGCACGCAACATAAATGCCTGGAATTGCGGAGCTAAGTGCGCTGAATTGAGCTGCCTAAGCCTTGTCTACATGGCTCGTGGAGAAAGAAAGCGAGAAAGACATGAATGCCCCTTGTCTCGGACGGGGCACACACACTTGCCTTAAACTCGTGAATCTGCCGGTTTCTTGGCAACAAACAGCAAGCAAATTGACAAGGCGGGCCGGGCCAGAGGCAGGCTTTCAAGACGTAACGCGAAATACCTATCTAAATCGGGTATTTTAGTTGGTCGGCCGGGCTGGCGGTAACGCTGGCGGAGGTAGTGTAAAATCTTTGTTGACCTATTTAAGTGTCCGGGTGTTTAAGTGGCGACACCGTACCAGTCCTTTGGTTCCCTGTGTATATACCATGGGCGGGGCCGGGAATGGGAACACCCCAGGTGTTGCCACCATTGGCACAATGTGCCAGACCTGATACTCGCATGCATTGGAATGCGTGTGCGTTTTGTGGGCGTGGTACATGCCAAATATTTCAACAGAAATCACACCCATTTGAAGAGGAGGCCAGGAAAGCATGTGGGGGGTGTGGTCAACGATGGACAGCGCCTGGGTTCATCCCTGGCACCTCGCAATTTCGACATGGTTGCCAACATGGATACATGTCGGCCACGTTGGAAAACCGACTCACCGGCGGATTTGGGATTCTTGCAAGCCCTCTTGGAGACATGGTGCCACCAGAAAAGCCCCAGCGACCCAGTGCCTGAAAGGCCAAGCTGGGACGACCCCCCCCAAAGCCCAGCGACTCAAAATGACTCCCTCGATCCCTGTTAAGGAAGGGTTCCTGTAATCCATATGGGTCTCTTTTTGTGAGGATACGAATCTTCGGGTTGTTTTTGAGGTGGCAAGGACTCACCCATTTGTTTGATCCCTTTTCTATTTGAAGGCGCGCCCTTGCCCAAGCTTATCAACCAGGTTGTCGGTCGCCGCAATCGGCAGCTTGAAACCCGGCAGGAGCTTTGCGACGACTCCTCCCTGCTTCAGCTGCCAAAGCCGCCAGGCGTTTGGGGGGGGGGGGGGGAGCGTTTTGGGGGTCCGCTGACGCGAGTCGATTTTGAAAGCAACAAACCCAACAACAGCAATTTCCCGCACACCCAGACGTGTTGCCCGTTGTTCAATTTTTTCCCATGGGAATCCACTGGCGGTTTGGGATTACACTAAAATAGACCCCAAGTGTCCATCAGGGGGTCCCTTTGCATTTGATCAGGTGTCCAGTTTCCCCTCGGCCCATGAAAGCTACCTGGACTTCCAACCAATTCCTGGGCTCCTAAATGTGTAGAAACCTTTCAAGGGATCAGCTGGTGATGGATGAAGTTTGGGTGCGCCATTGCCAAGCCAGGACCCCTGAAAAGCACAGCTACCAACTTGATCATGTTGAAACAAGCTGAAGCTTCAACAAAACCCACCGCATTCATGGGGACTGCTGCCTTTTTCCAGAACCCTGAAAATTGTGTTTTTGGGTGAGGTGATATTAGGAGGAATACCTGGGGGGGGGGGGGGGGGGGGGGGGGGGGGGGGTCATGGTGGGTCCCCTTTTGCTACGTAAAAAGAGGCAAACTTGTGCTGGACATAATTATTTTGCAGGGGACTTAAGCAAATGGAGGTCTAGGATCCTCTTGCGGAATCCCCTTTGAAGTGGCAACGTGATAGGATCGGGATCAGCAACTCTTCGCTTCCCCGCAGAAAGCAAATGGAAGCAAAAGGACATGGGCTCCTTGGGAAATGGAATCAACTCACCATTTTGGGAATACACCCCTTATGAAAGCCAAAGGACACCAACCATTTTGGGAATAAAGCCGTTACAGAAGCACAAGGACAGCAACCCATTTTGGGAATGAACCTCTTATGGAATGAACATAGGAAAACAATTGTCTACCCCTTGAGAGCCTTTGAAACTGAACCTCTTGTGGAATTTAATATGGCAATGGGTCAAAACCCCGCACCCCCAGTGAACATCCCAATCCCCAGTAAAATAGGTTCTAAAATGGGTGGTGAATTCACCTACCCCAAAATAGTACCATTGGTGTTGACCTACGGCCATATAGGAAACAACTTCTTTTGGGACATGGACCCCTTGAGAGCCGCCCGCGCCTACCAGGCGGCTTGGCCGCTCGCCGTGCCGGAGCTTTCGGCGTTCCATGGGCACGGATCGCTTGGCAGGCGGGGGCTGTGGTGAAACCCTCAAAGTGGGAAGTGGCTGTGGCTGTCAAAACCGTTATGGGATCCCATTTTGGGTAGGTGACTTCACCACCCAGTTTAGAACCTATTTTAGTGGTTGGATTGGGATGTTCACTGGGGGTACGATTTGGATTTGGACCGGCCAAAGGGGTTCCAAAAGGTCAACCACTTCCGGGTCCTTCGGGCATGCGAGGGAGGTTGGAGGAGCGAAAAATATGAGGTTTCAAGATATGGGCCGTAGGCGTGTCCTTTTTTTAGATGATGGTTAAACATGGATGGGTTCCACTGGATTAGATGGGATTTGTTTTACTATTTACCAGGGTCAGCTAGTTTTCCACAAGGCCACCTATGGCGGGCTGTCTTAAAAGGGAGCCTTAGGAAAGGAAAGTGAGCCAACACAAAGGCAGGTCTAGGCTCATAGGATCTCATTCCAGGATCAAAAGACCAGTATGGGGGTTGGTCAAAAATGGTCCTTTACATGCAATAAATGATATTTCAACAGAAAAGTTACCCATGGTCATTTGGGGGCCGAAGGGAATATCAGGCCCCTATTTTTAGGGAACCCTGTTTGGGAGTTATTTTAAAGGGAAACCAACAGGAAGCACGCATTTTGGTGTTCGCCGGTTTTAAGACAAACTAAAATTGGTCATGGGGATGGTCTGTGTTGGCTTAGAAAGGAACATTCCCCTCAATGTACTGGGGTCGTTGTTTTGACTGTTTCTGATGTGGCCAATGTGCAGTCAAGGCAAAGCGAAGGTTTGAGACTTGAGCCAACAAACGCTCGTTCTTGGTTGCTCTTTTGCTTGTCCTCGCACCTTCTGACCTTGTGGAGGAAGACAGGTTCCACTCGAAGTAGTGCACAGTTCGACTTGGCTAAGTGTCAGCTTGGCTAACACTGTGTTTCACATGACAGCTCAAGTAAAAGGGTACCCAAGAGCAACCAAACATTTTGGGGGATCCAATTGGTGCTTCCCAAAATCGAGCACACCCTAAGTTTGGAACCCCCCAAAACCTACTTTGGAGACGCCCTGAGTTCGTTTTTTCCCGTGAGGTTCGCCCCGACATTCTCCTGGCAGTACCTGGCCTTTTGCTCGCCCTGGTGCTCCTGCTCGCCTTGGCGCCACGATGGCACGGTTTGCCCTTTTCTATGGACACCCACTCCTTCTGAGTTTCTGGACTTGTTGACTGTTTGGCCACTCTGTGTGTGTTGTGCGTGTGCGGGTTGCCTTTGTGTGTGTTGTGTGTGGTGTGTGTGTGTGTGTTGCTTGTGTGTGTGTGTTGTTTGTGTGTGTGTGTTGTTTGTGTGTGTGTGTGGGTGGGTGTTTGTGTTGTGTGTAGGTGTGTGTGTGTGTGTGTGTGGCCCCCCTGTTTCTAAGGGGCTTCCGCTGTCCTTTTGTGTTTGGAGTCGGGTGCCACCATGCGGATTGCTGATTCAAGAGTACCTCGAGATTGGCGATGGCACCCCTGATGAGGACGCCTCTCACGAGCGAAATTGTCTCAGGATAAGCATGCCGAAACTCCACTTTTCACCTTTCAGTTGCTTGGGGGTGCGCCTTGGCAGTTTCGCCGTCTCATATCAAGTGTGTTTAGGCACTGCGTCCGGGCTTCGGTCAGTGTCTTGATCCCTGTTGTGGGCATCTGTTCCGACTCATGCAATGACATTTTCTACAGACATTTACCGGACCTTGTCGCTCGTGACGCTGACGTTTCGGCACCCCTGACTGTTTCCGTGGACCTCTTTCAGTCAGACAAACTGTTTGACTAACCACCAGACCACCCGACACATCAGGCAAGAACTCATGACGCCGTCAGCTTGCTCTTGGCTCGCAATTGTCGGCAACAGATGCCACGCCCCAACGCAGGTCCGATGTCGAACTCAGCAGGCCCTATGTCGAAGGCCACCAATCACACAGCGGGTCCTACGCCACCCAGATCACCAGTGAGCCAGACAGCATCACCGAGCAGGAGTACACTTGTGGCACCGACCTTCAGCACTACTGGCACGTCGTCCGGCATCTCGATGGCCGCAAAACCTTCGGCTCCATCCCCTGCTCCTCGTGTCGCAACGGTGCCTATTTCTGCTTCTCCCACCCGGCCTGGATCGGCTGCTGGCCCACTGCCGCAAATCCTGGTGAAGGCGCGCCCAGCAACCCCAACTACCCCAACTACCCCAACGGCTCCAGCTACAGCATGTCCGACTCCGGCTACCGCACCGACCTCTACGGCAACCCTGCGGACTCCCACGGTCTCTCAGCAAGCGGCAGTATCAGGTCCTACACCTCCACAGCCAGCTACAACGCCCTCGGCTCCCAACCAGGCCACCCCAGTGCCAAAGCCAGTGACCACCACGACTAAAGCACCGACTCCGACACCTACATCGTCGGCATCTCATCCATCCAGTCAGATGCTGCCACCGGCCAACCCACCGGCAAGACCACGCCGCACAACGGAGGGCGAACGATCACGTTCCCACAAAGCTTCCCCCTACTCCAAGTCAGTGCCCCCACAACGCCGAAGTCGAGCTCGCTCCAGGACGCCACCACCGATCTCCCGAAGGGACGCACGGTCGGATCGCTCATCCACGGCAGCAGCAGCTCTCGCCACTCCCGCGACCTCAGCGACTACAGCTTCATCCCAGCGACCAAGAAGCAACAGGTCCTCACTTCCGCGCAGCAGAAACAGTGCTCCATCGGCTCCAGCTCCTAAGACCACCGGTGCTTATCCAGTTACAGAGTCGTCCTTGAGAAGCACTCAACTACGTCCGAATCCACAGGCATACCCACCGCTGGTCCCAAAACCCTGCAAAACAGCCGAATTCTCCATCCTGCTGAACGTTTGTTCCGATGTCACCGGCTTTGTCACCGCTCCGTTTTTGGTGCAAAAAGTGCTCAAAACGGCCAACTCCGAAAAGTTCGTTTTTTCGCACCCACAGTCAGACCCGTGGAGGAGAGAACTTCAGGTACTTGCCTCGCAGCACGTCCGCGACGGGATCCCGGTTAATCAGGAGCAGCTGGACTATGTGGCCGCTACCCTAAATGCAGCAGGCACTCCACCTTGGCCTATGCAAAGGTCAATTCGGACCATCACTACTCCAAGATCACTCCACACTGGTTCATGCTGACCGTCCCCTACCTCGGCGCCACAGTTAGGCTCAAAGAACCGACGAAGACGCGACCCATGCTGCTCTGGACTCACGCTTCCAGTATTGGCGGTACTCGAGGCATACTGCGAAGCCGGCAGATCCATCCTTCCAGGCAGCACAGCTCGGAGTGCCCAGCCTTTTACGCCCAAGGATGGAAGATCACAGGACACGCCGACTATGACGCTGAAGAAATAGCCCGGATGATGTCTCAGAACTGGAGTATGTCTTTCAACATGGCCCAACTATTGCTGTTCGGGCGCGCTGTCGGTACCTGTCAGCCGATTCGTGGAGGGGGAGAACGAGCTTGCATCGAGGCGTTGGATTCCAGTGAGCGTCCTGACGTCATACACTATGTTGCAGGCAAGTGTTGGCTGGTGATTCCAGAAGCCAGCCAGATCGTTGGACTCGCATGGCCTACCGACGCGAAACCACCCACAGGTATTCTCCGCTCGTGAACCTGCATCAGGCAATGATCCAGATGACCAGTCTACCACTTCGGCAGTCATGCTTGCCATGAGCTTTATCGATGCGCTGGTCTTGCTACACCGGCAACCCGATCAGACGAACTGCTGCACCTGATGACATTTAATGATGTTTCATTGCAATACCACATTGCCGTCTCCGCCCGCCGACAGCATTTTGCGACAAAAAGTGCATGCCGGGGCCTTCTGACGCAAGCACGACTTTATTTTGCTGGCCTTCTTGACGTGGTTTCCTTGGTCTTGTGTTCATCCGCATGTGTTGATCGCTTTTTCTTAACGACAAGGAAGTTTCCGGCCTCTGTTTGAAAACCTTTTGTAAACGTGTCAACCCGTGCCGCATGCCCAGCGTTTGGTCAATCAATCAGCAAGTGCCAGAGATAAACGACCATCCCTTGATGGCCTCTCAGTGGCCCTACTCATGGCCGGCGACTTCGGCAACCCCTTCTTCGCAACCGATGTCTTCGCATCTTCCATCATGGTCGGTCCCGCAGTCCCAGACAGCAGCCTACTCAAGCTCCAACCGGATGGAAGCCATGCAGCACCAACCTCAAGAGGAAGCAGTACCCCGGGTCAATCCTCCTCGGCCTCCACATATGGCCTACCAGTTCCCACCGCAGCCTCCTGGCCAGTTCTGGCGGTGGCACGACCCACATACAGACAGGTTCTCGGCCCCCACCACCAGCACCACCAGTTCAACTTCAGCCCCGTGCACCCCTAGGCCAAGGCGATACAACGCAGTATACTCAGCCTCGCTACGCGCAACTTCTTCCCGGCACCTTTCAATCTGATGACATCTTTCTCGACAAAACGGAAGTCCGTGGCCTGCAACTATACCGTCATATTCAACCCACTCAGTGGTCTCGCGCTCCGAGCGCTATCGAACGGGCGATACAGCACACCGGTAATGGCTCAGACAATTGCCGAGGCGGTGCTATTGACATCAATCCTCAAAGCCTTGCGAGGCAGGGAAGTCGACATCGATCGGACAGCCCGCTCCCTTCACCCGGACAATGCGCCAGACAAGCGCAATGAGGCTATGCAGTTCATGGAGCCGCTCGCGCTCAAAATCGTGGACCTCATGGACCTGCAGCCCGCCAAGCAGGAGAACCTCACCCGCCACAAAATTGCCGAATTGGAACATCAGCTTGAGCGCTACAAGAGCAAAGGCATCACTCTCACACCGGACAAGAAGCAGCCATCTTCGCCTCCTTCCAATACCACTTCCTGGACTCCTACACCTGGCCGTTTTGACCAGTCCCTCTATATCAACAAAGCGATGTCGGATGCTCATTGGGCCCCCCTACCAGTCCCTTCTCCGGAGGCTGATCCAGCTCCCAAACGACGCCCGGCCAAGCGCAAGACTCCAGAGGCCGCCCGGACATCACCCAGAGCTTTTACGTCAGGGCAATCCCAAGGGCCAGCAGGTCCCACTTCCCACCAGTCTCACGGACAAAGTCTTCAAAGCGAAAGCGTGGCTGCAGGAACGCACGCTGTCCAACCAAGCGACTTATCTCGACCTCGTCAAGCAGGAGCTGGCATCGGACACGGTGGAGCAGTTGAAAACCATTGCAGTCAAGTGAGCCTACAGTTCATCACGGTACTGTACATGTACGGCAAGTGAGAGAAGCGATGCTCGCGCTCACGATGGAGGACGTTAGCAAACTATGAACCGGCTGGCACAAAAGGCCCCACTGCTAGGCGCGCGGTCCAAATCAAACTGCTCCCCTGTGGGTCGATGCCTTTTTCGCTAGGACGTTGTGGTTCCCTCTGGTCTGACTTTTCAGGTGTGCCCGGAACCTGCCCTGTTTTCTTCCTTTGCTTTTTCTCCTTTTCTCGTTCTAGGTTCTCGGGGGTTTGCAAGCCTGTGTAGTTCTAAGTTGACCCCAACTAACACATCGGTGCTCAAGCCTGCTACATATGGCCAAGCCATGCCGGTCATCCGGAAACGGTGTTTCTCCTGCAGCTCTTCGGCAAGTATGCAAGTTCAGAACTATGCGGCGCTGCCAAACACTATGGCATCGCTGAACCCATGTGGCCAGTTAGCTTGCAACACGGCACCGACCACTTCCTTCCCTACCTCACTGCGCTCATTGCACTAAGACTCGGTGATCCACTCGATGTCAACGCATCCTACCAATATTATCAGGTTCTCTACCGGATCATCATTACGTGTCGCACAGTTCTCAACATGCCGATGGTCAACAAGCAGCTGTCCATGTGGGCCGAGTCCCTAGCCACACTGCTCATGGTTCATCACTACGGTCGTCCCACACATGCACTTACAGAACTCAGGCGCCGACTACGACGCTTGCACATCCACCCGAACATGTACACCTTCACCCACTTCTCGCAGACCAATGCGGTGTACTGGAAGCAGCGAGTAGAACTCCGCCCTGACCTTCCGCGCTCAGTCAACCCGCAGTCCGATGTATACATTGGCAGTACCAGCATCACTTATTCCAGCCGAGAGCACAATCGTACAGCCAAGTTGCTGGGCATTCAACATGGGCAATTCAGTAATGCTGAACCAGCACTCAGATGGTGGCATCACTTCGGTAACTATGATGAATTTGCCACCTGGGTCATCCTGACCGACCCCGACCACACAGTCACCTGGACTCAAGAGCATGCCCTAATCAGCATTTATCAGCCGTCCCTCAATTGGCCCTACATTCATCGGCGATACAAGCGTATCTCCACCGGATACACAGCTACCAGGTTTCTTGCTGAACAACCCTGGTCCAGATTCGGCAAACGCCTCTTCCTTCGGCTCCGAAGAAGGAGCTGCACAGTCTATGGCCGAAATTTTGATCGAGTGGCCCTCAAACACAGTCAGGCGTGGTCCATCATTGCCCGCCTCACCTCGGAGCACATTGAATCCTGGGAAGAAGAAAAACGACTTCGCAGCGGACAGCACTCGGACCTGGACATCTACGCCATCTACAGGTTGTCTGGCAATGTGGAACAGCCTCATCGGCATCGAGTTCGCAACATTCTTCGTCGAGTTCTTGATTTTCGACAACTACAGCAACCCAAGCTCAACCTGCTATTGCGATTACCGTGGCTGTCTCACCCAGATTATCAACGGACCACCAGAGAAGTTCTTCGTCGTCTCGTCATCGACCACCGCAACTAGGCCCTTCCCTTCCACTTACCGAGCACGAAGCTCGCTGAGACTCCTCATCCCCGAGTCCACACAGTCATGTGGAACTACTCGCCATTTCAAGACTGCTATCCCTTGACGTCTTCTGGGCCATCATCGTGCCAGTGCGACACCTGGCTCAAAAGTCAGTCCTGGCTATCCCATGTTCAAGGTCATGTGGCAGCAGGATTAGATGAGTTCCGGTTTCCTGGTACGCCCCATCACGTTCACTACACCTCAGTGCTGGCGTCGTATTATGTGGACTTCGCGGTCTACGAAGTGCAAGTTCACGAACGCCTACGGAAATGGTGCTTGCATCACGGACTCCCGCTGGACCAGTTCCACGCCCCTCTCATGGAGCACCTTCGCAGCCAATTCCAGCAACATCGGAAACATGCATGCACTCACCAGCTCCTTACCAAGCATCAGCTCAACATCCTTCATCGACACCTTGGTCAAGACTTTGTATGCCACAACGAGGATCATGACAACCACCACCTCATGTTCTTCTGCCCTCAACTCTACTTCAAGGGCCTCCACAATACCTGGCTTCAGTCCAGCACCTTCGAAGCCACTACACTGAAGCCCGATCAAGCAGCGGCCATTATTCTTGAGGCAATTCCAAAGCACCTGCGGCAGAGGTACAAATGGGCATAAGAAGACCACCTCCATCCCGGTTGGAAAAGTCTTTCTCAAACGGAAAAAGCAGTGGAAGTCGGGTCGCACCATTATAGCATATCACAAGGTGGTGCACCGGCTACTTTTTCAAAGCAGTCGCCATCCTTCTCGGCGAGATTGCCGCAGACACATGGAAACGCTCATGGGGGATACAACCCACACCACGCATATGGCAGAACATCAAGCAATACTTTGACAACACAGACGACACAGTCACCCTTGCCTTCCACAATGACAACTTAGTCGGCTTCTTCAACAGTGTTCCTCAGGACCAGGTGTGTGCGGCGGTTGCGCAACTACTCGCCGAGCACCAACGAGACCGGCCCAGTTCCGTGTACTCAGTGGAAACACAGGCAACTGCCCACCACAATCGGGTGTTTGCGGGCAAGCAATCCTACGGACGCACACCGACCACGCGCATCATCCACATGGAGGACATCATGACCATCGTCAAGTCCAGCTTCCAAGGCATGTACGTTCAAGTGGGGACCCTCATCATGCCCCAAGTCCATGGTACAGCAATTGGCTCCCAGCTCAGCCAGGTACTTAGCCACATATGCGTAGCAAGGCACGAAGTCATCTGGCAGCGTATCTATGGACAATGGTACACCAGTCACAACGTCTTCTTGGAGATATGTGGACAACCGGTTTGTCATCTTCCCTTCTCCATCCTCAGGTCATCCGGCGCCCCCACTGGAGGCACTGCTCCAGGCTGACTTCTACGGTGCCCCCATCGTGCTGGAACAAGTGAGGTCTTCACAGTTCCTCGCTTCGTCATCGATGTCGGCGACCGGTCTATTTACTACAAAACCCCTACAAAAATCTGGCAGATAAGAGGACCACGCACTGCTGGAAGCCTCTCCATCCTCCTCTCAGGAGCTAGGTCACGGTCAGCCTTGCCACCAAGTACGCGCATCCGGCCAGGGCAGTACAGATGGCACTGGATCAGCTTCGCAGCATCTATTTTGTCCGCCGGCTTCAAGTCAGCTGACCTGCAACACTTGTTTCACCTACCGGCGACTCCAACACGAAAGAATCCTCAAGCGCCTGCCTTTTTGGTTCTTTACCTTCATGTGTCCGCGTTTGTTTTTCTTGTTTTTCTTGGTTTTCTTGGTTCTTGATGTCCGTGTTGACCCTGGTGCTCATACACTGGTTCAAACAGTGCTGCACTTCCTGCGGACCTCCGCGAGCTGTCGCCATGCTCGGCCGCATGATAGCGCTTCATCACCGATGACACAGAACGCTGGTGACATGATGCAGCTCATTCAGGAGACGTTGAACCAAGCTGACGAGGCACGCAGTCGCCGGCACCATGACGGGCAAGGTCGCTGGCAACAACAATATGTCCACAGCCGGTCGCTGGCCGAGCCATCACGGCTACACGCACCTGCTCCTGTTGGAGCCGATGAGGTAAACCCACCTGGCCCCCCGATGTCGACTCCAGTCAACCCAGCATCTCCGACCGACCCTCCACCACATGTCGGATTCCAATCAATTCAGTCACACGCAGACCACAGGCGGAATGTGGCGGTCAACCCCAAGTCGTTTATATTGCATCATCGCTGCGGACACCAACGACCCTACAGATCTGCGTTCGAAGAGCCCCATGGTGCACGATTACGTTGGTTAGCCGGGCTTCAAGAAGGCCAATGTTCCTCGCTCTATAATGGACATGCAAGGGTGAGGCCGATCGACGCAGAACCAAGCGAAAGCGATGCCGCGCTACATCCTCCGAGAAGACGGACTCGCCGGAACCTCCAGCACGTCCAGCACCTCGTGCTCCAGCTCCAGCTCCGGTCTCTCCCTGCGCTGGCCTGGTATCCTCTCCTGAATCCCTTCCTGAACCTCCGGCTCATGCTCATTGAACTCCCCCGGAAGCACCTCGTGCCTGGACAGAGGATGACCAGCAGCTTTGCAGCCTGAAAGCGTACAAATCGCTGGCCAAGGAGCTCAACAGGTCCACGCAGCGCTGGAAGAGCCTGGAACGCCTCAGGAAAGCTCGGGAGCAGCATCAGAAGACTACCTGAACGTGTCCAACACAGCCTGTCCAGTCGTCTCCGGTGATACAAGTGCAGCTCTACCACGGATTTGGGGCATCGACTTTTTGAACTCCAGATGGGAGCAATGCGTCCCTTCGGCCACAATCAAAAAGTCCGCAAACAGTCGCCGCCGGTGTATGTCTTGGCATGGTTTTGGTTTTCTGTTTTGCTTCTGTCTCTGGGGGCCCCTGCTGTCTGGGTTCCTGGTTGGCCCTTGTTTAAGAAACTTGGCTTTTTAATACTGTGGGATACATGCGCGTCCAGACGCACAGGCAGGATTTAAAAAGTGACCAAATCTCCCATCGAGCATCATGATGGAGGCGGCCTTTCGGTTTCCTGCGTTCTCCCCCTGCGGGGGCTGTGTGTGTGGCCCCCCTGTTTCTAAGGGGCTTCCGCTGTCCTTTTGTGTTTGGAGTCGGGTGCCACCATGCGGATTGCTGATTCAAGAGTACCTCGACATTGGCGATGGCACCCCTGATGAGGACGCCTCTCACGAGCAAAATTGTCTCAGGATAAGCATGCCGAAACTCCACTTTTCACCTTTCAGTTGCTTGGGGGTGCGCCTTGGCAGTTTCGCCGTCTCATATCAAGTGTGTGTGTGTGTGTTCTTGTGTGTTCTTGTGTGTTCTTGTGTGTTCTTGTGTGCTCTTGTGTGCTCTTGTGTGTTCTTGTGTGTTCTTGTGTGTGTGTGTTGTGCTTGTTTTGTTGTGCGTGTATGTGTTGGTTTGTGTGTGTGTGTGGGTTTCGTGTTTGTGTTGTGTGTCCTTGTTTGACCTCTGGCAACTTGCTAGAAGCCTGGCCTCTAGGTTCCTGAGCAGCCGGCAATAGTGGGTGTGTTTTTTCTTTGGCAGGCTACTCTTGTTGAGATTGAAGGGAACCACCAATTTCTTCGGGTTACACTTGAGAGAAGCCAATTTCCGGGCGTGTCTGCTTTGAAGATTTTTGGTGCCAAATGGCGCGTAATTGTTGGCTTCCCCCAAGGAAACCAATCAACGATGGACAGTTTGGTCCTTTTTTTTCAGGCCCCTACTTGGGTGTGGGTCTAAGTAGGGACCCCACGGAAGAAAAAGTGGGGCCTTTTTTTCCTTTGAATCCTCTTTAATCCGCGGCTAAAAGAGTAGCCTCAAGAAAACGTGGCGGGTCATCCCAGGAGCGAGCGCGCCCGCGGTTCCGCGCGGCGAGCAGTGCATTGGTGGCGGCGGGGAGCTTGGTAGCAGCAAATGGCCTGGTGGCGCAGAACCCGGAGCTGGCAGTGCTGGAGAGGGTTGATTGAGGTTTGGGGTAGGGCCATGTGGGGTTGGGGGACCTTGAGGGTGTGGAGAGGGAGTGGGGAGGGTGTGGGGGGTTATTGGGGATCGCAAACGTGACGCAAACTGGTCGATCGGAGGTGTCCAGAATTTCCATGCCCGCAAACGCCGCAACTTCCGCGCCAACGCCTTTTATCTTGGTGTTTCCTAGCCCATCTATAGTTCTTTTGAGCATTTGGGTTGGTTTGGTGGTTGGATTTCCCCCGTTGAACCCATGAAAAGCTCTTCAAACCCCCATGGATCGTATATCTAACCCCCCATTTTAGCCGGGGATTAGCCAAAAAACGGCCCTGGGAAGTGCCAAAGGCCGCGCGTGGCAAATCGCGTCGGGCCGTTCCAAGCGGAGGACCTCTTCTTCGCCCGGTGCTTGGCGCTGGGCTTCCTGGGCCTGGCCTTTCTGAAGCTCCACCCGGCGCCTCCGGCCCCCGAAACCGAAACGCGCGCGCGCGCTCGCCGAGGGGCGGGGGGCGGGGTTTGGGACATTTCGGCCGCTCGAGGTTGCGGCACCTCGCAGGCGGAGCGGTGGGACCTTTTTTGGGTTTTGGCAATGGCAACCAGTTTTGGTCATGGCTTTTTGTTTTCTTCCCTATGGGCTCCAAACTGGGCTGAGAGGTGCAGAGGTCACTCCTTTCGGAGTTGCGCAATCGCAGGGAGTTCCTTGGCACTTCCAGTGGTGCTGGTTACAACTACCAGTGGTATGCCGGAATTGATATGTTTGACAGTATGCGTGGTATATGTGATTATCCACCGCGCTCACTTCGCACAATGGTTGGCCCGGACATAGCGAACTCCCTGGTGATGTGTTTTAACCCAGCCAGCCAAAAGCCGGGAGCCCATTTTGGGTGCATTAGACATTTGGTTTGAACTTTGTTTTCCCTTTCATCAAACCCTAAGTTTCTGCCCAGCCAGAGTCTTTGGAACAACGTTTTCAATGTGTTGATAGCGACCTTTGGGCCCTGACCACTGGGGATGCAGATGCCGGTGGAGAAACCTCCATGATCTTGCATTTCCATCGCGGTTGATTTTTTCGGTTGCATGGGGTTGCTGCACGGCAGGGTTCTGGCTGTTTGGGAGCTTGGGAGTTCTGAGTTTCACAGTTGCCAAGGCTGTTTTGTGTTTTTGTTATGCTGGTTAGGAAGCATAGCCCCAAGCTACGTTGCCCCAAACTCGGCAAAAAGAGCCATCGGCCAACCCCAAGCTGGCAGCAAATCCCGCTACCGTAACCAACACAGTACCAACCCACAACTATCAACGAGCGTCTCATACATAAGGATATGCTTTTTGTTTTCTTGTTTTCCCCAGTGTTCATCATTTTCTGCAGGCAAGAAGCAACCTTCTGCCAGTAGCCGAGCTCTGCCAGGGTTAAGCCCGCTGCCCACCTGGTTGACTTCATCAGCTCTTCCCGGGTTACGAAAACTACTGCCCTCTGGACCGGACCCGTAGTTGCACTGAAAATAGGCTGGATGCTGAATTTGGATCTGTGTTGTTTCAGGGTGCCCTTCTCATGGTTTGAAGGGAAACCCAAAAGACAGCAACCATTCCCAATCCAAAGAATCCATTCCTCGCACTTCCCCAAACAAATGGCAATCAATTCCATTTCGGATGTCCCTCTCAGGATCGACCCAACGTGGTCCCCGGCTCCGCAGTGGAGGTGACATCGATCCGCATGGGGATCGATCAATGTTCCCTTCGGCCCCAAAATGACCATGGGTAACTGTTTCCCATGTGGTGAAAGTCATCTTTTTGGTGGTTTTCCCAAATGGTCCCCAGGTAAAGGACCTTTTGATCGACCCCACATGGTGACTTCCAAAACACGCAGAAGTCATTTTAAGCTGCTCACTTCAATGGCCCAGGTACTGCGCCTGGACAAAACCAACTTCACCAGTTAGGATGGATGAAGCCCGACATTTTGCCCATCCACGGTGTTTTTGGGGGTGCTGTTGGATGGGGGAAGACAGGCGGCGGTTGCTTTGTCACTTCTGACTTTCCTTTGCAGTCTGGTTCAGGCCCAGTCCCCGTAGGCGGCTAGCTGGCTGCCTTGTTGATCAGCTTTGGGCCCCAGTTCCCGGAGCCGGTGCTCCGGGCCCCGCTTTTGGTTGGAAGCCGACTGGACTTATGCATGGAACAAGCACAGGGGTTGGCGAGACATGCGGGTGATACCTCTGCATCCCCAACCATCTAAAGGGTCTAAAGGGCAAAGGCTCCCCAGATGTCTCCTGCACATATCACCAAGACGAAGCTCGACGAGCACTGGTTCGTGTTCTGGCTTTATATGTGGGTGTGTCACAAAACAGGGGAACTCAAGGACCCGTTTCGATGTCTCGTAGGTGACCAGTGCACACCCCCAAGACACCTCGCCAAGCAAGCCTCGCTACTTCAAAACCACTGCACAAAGGCTTACGCCATTTGGGAGCTTCGTAAAATGGACCCCATTATGGTAACAAAGCCAACCATTTCAGGGCACAGACCCCTACTTTGCAGTTGGCTTGAATAAAGGCACACATCTGCGTTGTTGACAATGCATCACCTGTGCATCACCTGTGCTGATTGTCGCTTCAGAGCGCCTCCACTGTTGACCTTGAACTTTTCAAGACCATGGCGTTTCGACCGAAAGGGGCAAAGCAATTAGGTTCGCCATGACTTCCTCGTGATCCTGGGCTGAATTTTTGGTTTTTAAGTCCCCACAAGGCCATTTTCAACAAAAATCGGGCCTGATGCTCGCTGTACTGCCTGGCGCCTTCGGGCCTTCGGGCCTCCGGGTCTCCGGGCTTCCGGGTCTCCGAGCCCGCAGGCGGCGCAGATTCTGGCTGTGAGCTTTTTCTTTAGCCCCGCGGCTGGTGATTAAAGGGGGGCCGGTGGTCCGTTGCGATGGGGCAACTGGTCTAGGTCCCCCAGTAGTGCCCTTTTACCGTTTCTTTTGGGGGAGGGTTCCCCTACTGAAATAGACTACAGAAAGAAGGGCACCCTTATTCGAACCTCTCTACTGGAGGAGCTAGTGGTCCATTCCGAACCGGATCCGAATCTTAGGAAAGCCTCGGAGCTGACGAACTGACGAAGCTGCGCCCTTTTAATGAAGGCCTGTTGGGAATGAAGGGCTCCTACTGGCGAAAGTTTCTTTCAACTTTCAACTTGTCGGTGTATAAGAGAAGATGGCAAATGACAGCAGTTTGCCGACTAGCCAGCCAAAAGTGGACCCGGAAGAATGTTGTCCTTGTTTTTGCAGTCAACCCAATTTTCTGGTAACCCGAGGTTGGCGGTTTGGATTTGACCCCCAGTTTTCACGTGCCTGCAGGCTTTGGCGCCTTCGCGCAGCATTCGGCGAAGACACCGCACACACACACACATGAATCTCCTCCACAGACCTTCTTGCACACCTAAACTCACCTTGCAAATGTTCACATGGGGAATGAACCTCGAACATCCTAGAACCACAAGGGACGGCTCAGTATGAGAATATTCCCTCTGCTGAGAGCTGAGAGCCAGCAAGTGAATGCATTGGTGTTGAGGATAGATATGTGCCAATTAAAAGATCACCCAAATGCCACTGATTTGGAGGGTCTGTTTGTAAGTTCGGTGGTTTTGCAACACAGGTATATTTTTCCCGAGGGTACCCATTTTGGGGGTGTAACGGAGAAACAAACGAACAGCCACCATTTTGGGGCAGTTACTCCTATTTTGACCCATACCCATATACTCTGAGTTTCAATGGGGAGCTCAAAAGTGGTAGCCATCGAAGGGTCCCCAATTAGTTGAACTTCATACCCAAATGGGGAGCTAAAATTGGGGGGACATAGGAGGACCCTAAAAACATGGCGGTGTTCCTTTTAGATTTTCGTTGAACCAAGCACCCCCTATTTTGACACGTACGTATGCCTCAGGAGGCGATCGGCATACCAACGATCTGAATACAGTCGTGTGGTTGGATGATATTGAGCTTGACTAGGAACAGTTTTCATATGTGTTAATACAAAGCAAATGTATACATCAGATGTTGATTCTATATTCCAACAACGAGCATTCCAAACGACAACTTGCTTTCATCCACATTCCGCGAGCCAGGCGCCGGGACCTTGCTGCAGGTGATGGCGATGCACTTCAGCCCGGGCAGCACGGTGCTGCTGGCGGCTTCGGCGCAGTTCTGCGCCTGCGCGGTGCTCAAGGGCCTCCTTCAGGCGCGCCTGGCGCATGGCGCATGGCGATTTGGCGATTTGGCGATGTCACGTAGCCAAGTGAGTTCCGTAAGTGGGTTCCGTACAAGGGACGTTAGCCACTTTCTGGGCTTGGGTCATTTTAGTGGTCAATGACAAGGTTGCACGTTCTTTGGGTCATCCACTCAAGTGAGAAGCGATGCCCTGGCGACGGCTGGGCCACCAGTTAATTACCAGGAAAGCCCCCGCTGTGTTTGCCCAAACAGAACTTATTTGATCAACCACATTATAACCGCTGATGCCAAGCAACTGAACAAGCATCACAGTACCTTCCCCCCAACAATTATGGAAGACAGTGGTTTTTTCAAGAGGACTGTAGACTGTAGTCCTCCATTTCCCTGGACTGTAGAAAGAGGATCATCCCAAGTCATCCACCAAAACAGAACACCGGCTCAAACCCTAAATCCAACAAGAGAGACACAACACACGCACACATGGGTGTGGCTGGAGAATGAACCATGGGTTGCGCAGCTTCCAATTTTGTTTGGTGCCATTTGGGGCATTTGTCCGCCGATCTCGGAATCTCGGAACTCAGGGCCTGGAGTGGGATGAGACCTGGGCGGCACTGCTGCTTGCGGTGGTGGTGCTGGTGACCTTGACCGGATGCCAGGCGTGTCCGGGCGTCTCAAATTTTGGAACCAAGGGCCGGCAGGGAAGGAGCCAGGTTGAAAGAAATCACCTGCTTGGCCACCAACCACCTGGTAGGTTTTTTTTTTTTTTTTAACCGGTCCCGGTTTTCAACTCATGCTCAGACCATTTGGGCATCCCCCAGAAGACAAACCCGCGTCTCTCAAAAACCCTGGAAGACTTAGGCCCGTTTGACCAGACTCCTGCGCCACGCAGAACTTCCCCAGACACCCCGAGTTGACGCGGGTAAACAGGACTGAAAATTCGCTTGGTTTCTTCACCATTGTGCTGCAATCTAGGACCAAAATGTTGACAGCGGTTTCTAGTGCTCAATTTAGCAGGTCGCCTTTGGTATCGTGGCTGCTTTTTGTTTGTCCCTGTGCCTGGTTGGACGTGGTTCCTTTTTGCTTTGACCGTTCACGGTGCCAACTACTTTTAGGATTTTGCACTTCCGCTCAGGGAAATCACGTTTTAAAACTTTGAGGGGCAAGTTTCAAGGGAATCCTCCCTGTGCCCTGGGTTTTGCGCGCATTTGAGGAAATGGACCCGTTTTCTGAAAATAGCATCAGGGAGCCTGAAATTGTTCTTCATGTGCACATGTTGGTATTGGGTTTTGACCTTTCTGCGGTTTGCAGCTGTTGTGCTGTGACTTATTTGTGGGCCGCAATCAAATCCTGGGTAGGTGCAGGTTTGAAGTGAACATTCTCCTTAGCGTGACTATGTAGGTGCGGATTCTTGCCCCAATGGTTCTGTGCGATCTGTTTTGGGGAGAGCTTTTTTTTGCCTAGTTGAATACAAACAACGTCACCTTGTTTGCCATGTTAAGAGTGCCTTGTTTTTGGTGGGACCCCTGCAACAGCGTAGCTGTTCCTTTTGGCCCCCTTTAAACGTAGCTGTTCCTTTTGGCCCCCTTTAAAAACCATCTAAAAGGGGGTCCACGTTCTTGAGAACCCCCCCCTTTGTGGCTCGGCACGCCCTTTTGGCGGCTTTAAATTGGACACACCCGCCGGACTCCACGGGCCCCATGACGTTTGCGCTGCCGATCGCTCCCTGGCGCAGGGCAGCTGGCAGTGGGGCTGCGGCCTCGGCTTGCTGAGCGCCGTGGCGACCGGCACGGCGTGCTTGGTCCAAAGGCACCTCTCTGGCAAGGCGAAAGCGGGCGGGCCGGGGGGGGGGGGGGGGGCGGGGGCTGATTTTCTGGGTTCGGATGCCCTCGCTCGGAGTTCCTGGACTTCAAACAGTTTGGGATTATTTTAGTGGTAGACCTGGCAATCGAACCATCTGGGAGCTTTTTTTGGGCAAAACTGCTTGGGTTTGGATGCCCGAAGAGTGGGATTGCAGCTGTTCGCCTTGGTGTTCTAGTTTTCCGCCGGAAATGAAGTCTGCACAGAGAGAAGGGTGGTGTAAGAAAGATACTATGAGCCTTGCAGGCAAGAACATCACCCAAGGCAAGTCAGTGACCTGAGCCATGTGCCAACCACTCCTTTGCCTTGGCCTTGGTAGGGACAGTCATGGGCTCCTTTCCAGGGCATTCAGATGACCATTGTATGGTGTCGTGTTAAAGGAAGTATGACCATGGTATAAGGTCAGCATACCTCGTTTATGTCCCCCCCAAACCCAGACCCCGGCCCCGACCCCGAGCCTCAGGATCCTCACACAGCGCTAAGTACACGGTCCCCAGCCGCCCACTGGAGCGCGCCCCAAAACTCGCACAGCAGCACCCCGAACCAGGACAAGGCAACCCGCAGCCAAACCTAAACACGCTGAACCAAGCCATACCCTAAACCAACCCTGAACAGCCCTGAACCCACCCACCTAAAGACTTAAAAGACCCTTCGCCAACCCCAAGCCAACCTTAAACCTACACCACCACAATCCCACCACAGGACCTCAGGACCAAAGGAGGAGGGGTTACTTGATTGACCCATGACCATGGGGATGCTGTGTGTGTGTGTGTGCCCAAAATATCAAGTTTCCTCTTGTTGAACTCATTTGGATTTGCTTCCACTTCCACAGGGCCGAGGCAAAGCAACTGGGTGTTGCTAAAAATTAAAGAGCTCGGGGCAAACCGCAGGATTTCGTCTTTTTCCCTATTTTTCCATTGGGCGCCATTTTGGGGTTAAGGATTCCATCGAGCTGGCCATTTTGGGGATTCCATTCCCTGCAGTTTGTCTTTTCCATCCTGGCGCCAGCTGGGGGATTCCTTTCTGGCCAATTCCGGCCATGTCGGTTCCAGATGCACCACCTGGTCTTGCTGACCTACTCCGGCGCCATGGGGCTCTTGATGATCAGCCCAGCGGTGGCCGCGTTCCCGGACGGCAGCACGTTGCCGCTTCGGCTGTGGAGACAAGCGCAGAAAGGTGAACAAAAGAATTCAACAAAGACCTCAACCAGGGTTCCCCACACGCAAGTGCAAAAATATGTTGATATATTCAATTCACAAATGCAGCATATCCTCGTGTAAAAACAAATAAGAAAATGTGGACCTGCGATTGGGCCAACAGGTGATCACAAAACTCGACTTCCAAGAGTTGGCCCTTTCTAGACTTGCAGCAAGCCCAAGGGAAGACGACGTTAGGTCCAAAGAGACTGCTTGCAGCAGGGTTCAGAGACCGTGCGCCCTCCATTTCTTGACAGAGTTCAACGGAGCCCACAGGACAAAGCCATGCTTTGGTTTCCCATGTTCCAATTTCATCCATTTGCAAAGCGATTTTCCTCGAATTGTCTTACTACCCGAGTTCACGGACTTTAAAAATTGGGAAGACCATTTAACTGGTGAACAATTAGTTTAGACTTTTTCGGCCAGTCCACTCAGGAAGCGAGTTGTTCAAGTCTTCTGGAGTGAGGATCTTGGGCAACCCAAACTTCACGACCGTCCCAAACAATGTTTGTATTTTCAGTTTGCCTAACCAACCTGAAAAGTATAGCCTCGCATGCACCCATGCAAGCCCACTGCATCCAAGAGATTTGTGCTACCCCATTTTTCTGGGTCAGCTTAGTCTAGGGTCAGGGGGCAAAGATGGGCCAAGGGCCCGTTGGCTGTGCGGTGTAGCCTGGTGAAAAGGGACGGGTCATGGTTGAATATATTTTACTGCGCAAGTCTCGGCGACTTTCAGGGGGTTGCAATCTCATGATGTAGCATCTGAAAGCAATCGGCACAATTATAGTCCTGCGCCGCCTCGCCTGAATCACATTCCCGGGATGCGAACAACCATATACTTTGCGTGATCGTTCAGTGGCCCATCTGAATCCCTTCGTGTTGGCTGATTTACCAATGGAATTAACCAAACACACTTCCTGTTTTCTACCAGGGTCACTAGCTACTGTTTTTTGCCACCATGCCACCACGTTTTCTCATGTAAATGTCCCTTGACTAGTTCCCTTGGGCAGGCAACCCTGATTTAAGCAGCCTTAGGGAAGGGCAAGCGGGGCTTCACTGAATCCTGTGCAGAGACTTGGGTGAGGGGCATTTATATGGGTGTGTCATTTTTGAGGGCGACTCCCCAAAATGGTGACGTTCCTTTTGGTTGTCCTTTTCAAGCCACAAAATTGGGGGTGCCCTAAACAAAAAGACACGCCCATATTGGTTTTTGTGCAATCGTGTTTGCTCGATTCTTTTCAATTCACCGGGAAAAAACACCCAAATGGGTTTTTGTGCAATGGTTTTACTCGGGGTTTTCAATTCACACCCGAAGAGAAACAACAAAAGGAGAAGGGGGGTATCCCCAGGGGCAGTGGGTCGCTTAGGCGTCGCGCGAATGGTTCGCTTAGGGATCGCGCAAATGGATCGCTCCGGGATCGCTTTTTGCAGAAGGCTTGTCGCGCATGCATGCGTGTTGATATGTTTGCTCGCGCTGTATGTTTATATGCTCGCATGCGCGAGCATGTATGCGCTTGTTTGTGCTTGTCGGCGTGTATATCGCATGACATATGTGACGTGTATGTTTCATGACATATGTTACTATGTATGCTGGCGAGTCCATGTATGTGGTTGTGTGCATGCGTGTTGACATGTATGCCCTGCGGCGTATGCCCCAGAACCCGATGAATTTGCACATTAGGTTACAGAGCAGGCTGGGCTGGTTCAGTTGAGCGGGTGTGCTTATCATCCCCCCCACCCCACCCTCCACCCCCAGAAAGAGATGCATTTGCTGGGATGAAGCAGTTCAGCGGTTGTGCTTATCATGCCCCCATTTCGTTACAGAGCAGGCTGGGCTGGTTCAGTTGAGCGGGTGTGCTTATCATCCCCCCCACCCCACCCCCCACCCCCAGAAAGAGATGAATTTGCTGGGATGAAGCAGTTCATTATCATGCCCCCCCCCAAACCCCCCCCCCCCAGAACCATGCTATTTTGTAATCCGGTAAAAGAGCAGGCTGGTCTGCAGCAGTTGAGCGGGTGTGCTTACCATGCCCCCCCCACCCCCACCCCCCAGAACCATGTTATTTTGTATTCCGGAAAACGACAGATGTGCCATGCCCCCGAAACCCCAAACCCCCATGTTGTTTTGTAATCCGGTTTGTAATTACCCCCCCCCACCCCCTCCCCAGAGCCATGTTACTTTGTAATCCGGTCACAGAGCAGGCTGGTCTGCAGCAGTTGAGCGGGTGTGCTTACCATGCACCCCCCCCCAGAGCCATGTTACTTTGTAATCCGGGAACAGAGCAGGCTGGTCTGCGGCAGTTGAGCGGGTGTGCTTACCATGCCCCCCCCAATTCCCCCCCCCCCCCAGAGCCATGTTACTTTGTAATCCGGTAACAGGGCTTATCATCCCCCACCCCCCCCTCCCCAGAGCCATGTTACTTTGTAATCCGGTAAAGGAGCAGGCTGGTCTGCAGCTGTTGAGCGGGTGTGCTTATCATCCCCCCCCCCTCCCCACCCCCATCTATCCCCAGGGCCGCACTGGACGTGGGGCAGCTTCTGCGCGTGGCCGTCTTCGGGCTGCTGCACTTCTCCTTCGCGCTAAACTGTCTGCGCGCGGCCGGGGGGCCGAGGGCCGACGCAAAGCAAACCTTTAGCAGTGCCACCTTGTCTTGACTGCTATTGGGTTGGATCTTTAGACTTGTTAACTTTTTGGGAAATCAAGAAAGTTAAGCCTGTTGCAGGGGGGTCAACAGCAACCGAGTTGTTCCCAATGGGTGTGGTTCCGTTTGCTTCGGCACCGTTGGTTTGCGGGTTTTAAAGGAAACCACCGGGAGAGCCGAAATCCATTTTGGAGGTCCCCTGAAGTAGAGAGCTTCCTGAGATCTTGGACTTGGTACTTTTTGGAAAGATCGTTCAGTGGACTTTGCTTGGCCAAATCCACTCAGGAAGTGTTTTGTTTTTTTTGAAGGGGGTATCCTTTAAAGACAACTGGGTGTGGTCTCGTTTTTTGAATTGGTACATGTTGGACGAGTGTAACAGGAAGCCAAACAAAAATACGACCCATTTGAGGGGTTCGCCTCTTTTGAGACAAGCCCACAACGATAAGAAAAGGCGATGGCCGCTGCGGGTTTGGGACACTCTTGGCTCTTGCCAACAACAATGTACGAGCACAGCGAGATTCCCTAAGAGGAACAACAAATCTCCAGGTTCCAATAAGCGTGCACCAAAGGGCAGCCGTGTGTGTATATCATCCCAGAATCCATTTCTTAGAACCCTGGGGTCACCCAACTTCACTGAATACGACTGACATGGAGCTTGAGGCAAATGGCGCGATGGGGCTGAAGGCTGAGTCTAGTTACGTCTTGGTCTCTCTCTTGAGCCTTGGCTTCCAGTTCCCTGTGGACTTGCGGCCCGGCAGCAACAGAACACGATTTTTGATTTGTTTTTTCCCCGAGTTGCTGCAGCTGTTTTGTTTGTACACGTGTTTTTTCTGTTCCGTCTTTTTGGTTTGAGGCCCAATTGGAAATATGTGTAATTGTGTTGCTAGCGGTTGTTGTGTTTCTTGCTTGTCCTTTTTGTTGGGTTCGAACAGTTGCTTGTTTGTTGCCTTGGATGGCTTTCCATCGTGCAAGATCAAACACCATCACCAACATGAAATTGTTTTCACCCGTTGGAAGTCAGCGGCAAGTAAGGTTCGTCTTTCGGATGGACACTTGGCGGACTTGGCGAGTGGGCTCCGGGTGGGTGTGGCCGGTGTGGGCTGGATCGATCGGGTCGGTGGGTTTGGCGGCACTACCCTCCAAGCTAGCTTTGAACGCAAAAATGGGATCGCCCAAAAGAAGATCTATCGACATTTTGGGTGTCACGTTAATCTACATTGACTAGGTCCCCCAGTAGTGCCCTTTTACCTTTTTTTGGGGGAGGGTTCCCCTACTAAAATAGACTACGAAAAAAAGGGTACCCTTGTTCTAACCTCTCTACTGGACGACTTAGTTGACATGGGAATGACATGTTTGACCGCGTGGACAGGGCGTTGACCCTTTTTTACCTTTTGGAACAGGATAAAATGGGCGATTTGGTCTGCCCCGATTTAGGGGACCCCTGTCGTTTTGTTTTTGCACCCGCCTGTGTTTCGCCCAGGTAAAATTGGGGTCACGAGACGCACGGTTTGGGGTAGCCCCGTAGGTCCAAGGCGTTGTCAATGGCGGCCTTGACCCCGGCCGTCCGTCTGAAGGGACATCAGGGGCCGGGGTCCCGTAGTAGCCCTTAAAAGATCACCTGCCGGGGGAAACCTTTGAAGTGGTTAGTAAGCCTGGTTATGACCCACAACGGAGACTTATAGCCATGGTAAGTACTGTTAGACCCCCAATTGGAATTGGGGCCTCTGTTTTCCATAAGGGTCCAGCTTACCGGTTCCACTGTTTTGGGGGGGGAACTGTGTAAAGAGGTGGGTCACTTAGTGAGTGCTTCGGACTGGTTCTGACCCGAACGGAGACTCATAGCCCTCCATTTGCTTAATAATATTAGTTATTTTCTCTGTTGGTTTTAAAGGGAATCTATCACTGGAAATATTTGCTCATTCCTTCCAGGGGCCTTAACCAAATGGAAGTAGCCATGATATCTAGGGGTTGATTCCCCATTCTGTTCAACCATCGTTCTTTTCAAAAGCTGTTTCCCCAGGCTGCTGGGTGGTTTTTAGGAAAGAAGGATGCCTGGAAAGAATGTAAATGGAAGGTACCCCTAGATCATAGCCATGGTAACTCGGGATTGGGGTCGGAGGATGTGCTGCTCCCGATGTCGCCATACCTGGCAGCGGTGGCCGCCTGCCTGGTCTTCGCCTACCTCACCTCCTACAAGTGCATCATCCGCGCGGAGGAGTGCCTGACCCTGGCGAGGACGGATGCGTAGACTTGTCAATTTGTGCGGTGTGTGTTGTAGGGAAGTGAAAGGGACCGCCGTACTAAGGGCGTTCCTTTCGTTGATACCTGGTTTGCCGCAAAATGGTTGGTTGGACCCCTCTTTGCATTTGTTTGTAAAGAAGGAAGCCAGCCGGCTTCAATTGGGGAAGGGAAACATTTCCAAGTTTCCGGATTTTATTTGTACCGCTTGGGTATGGCTTGCTTTTGGGTTGGGGTTCTGGGACTGGCGAGTATTGAGTCTGACTCCCTCCCCCGTCCCCGAGTTCCTGCGTTTGAGTGACTGGTTTGGTTTGCCTTGTGTTGGCAGCAAAGAGTTTTCGGTCTCCACGGGCAAGAATACAGTGTTCGGTCCTTTCGGTCTCCTTTGGCAAAACAAAAATAATCAGTTTTCGGCATCCAATTTGCTCATGCCCTGGGCCAATCCGGAGCGCTTCCGCTGGGTTGCCATGGGCTGCGTGAGGAGCCTGCACTTGGAGCCCCAGAACTTCAGCTGAAGCTCTAGCAGCCCAACAAAAAAATCCGAGCTGAGGTGAGGACTTTTCAACAGGGGTGAGCCAAATACGGTTTGCCCCCGGTGGAAGATTTCAACCATCCAACTGGTTGAAATTCCAGGTGATGGTTCTGAGTTGGCAAAATTGTTGAACTGCCAACTTGCTGGCAGGATTTTGCGTCATGTCATTCAAAGCTTGCAGGGCCTTTTCTGGCCAGCACACTCAGCAGGTCAGTATGTATGTTATGATTGGGTCCAACTCATACGGGTATGGGTCAGTCCTAAACCACCAGGAGAGGACCGCAGGTTTTAGTCCTTGTTTCCATTTGCCAGGGCTTGCGTCATTTTGGGGGTACCCTATATTGGACCACCACAGCCATGTTTTTACAAGGGCCATGTGAGCTCGCTTTGACGGCGAGCTGCTTCACTGGCGCCGAAGCCCCGGAGGCGCGGAGGAATGAGCCGAAGTTGATCTCGGAAGACCCACCAAGAAGCTCTGACAAACGGGGTGGGGGTCAGCTCCTTTTTCGTCGGCCAAAAAACGCTCGAAGGCGCCTGAAAAAGTCAGCGTTCTCGCAAGTCGAAGCACGTCCGGGTCCGAAGAGTGGCCCAAGTTTGTTGGACTGTGGGGGTTTCTGCAAAGCAAGATAGGCTGAACGGGGCTGCTTAAACTGCGTATTTTCTGAGGCACGGGCTTGCCAGCGGGTTGTCCTTTCTTTGCGCCAGGGCGCTATCCGGGAAGGGACAACGCGATGCAATTGGGCTTGGTGAAAAGGTGACGTGTTCCCATGCTAGTTTTGGGTTCCCTTTCAATTTTCCATACGCAGGGGCTTGGATCCATCAAACATGGGGAAACCAAAGTTAAGCTCCTCTCGCCCCAAGATCATCCACCAAGTTAGCAAACTTTTCCGGGCTGTTCAAACGCACTCCTTAATCCTTACCTTGGGTTAAGGGGTCCCCTCAGTGGTTTCACATTGGACAACCCTCAGCTAGCTTTTCGCAGGTCCGGCTCAGTCTTACCCAGCTGGCTTCGTGCTGCGCCGCGCGGCGTACCGAGTTCAAGTCGATCAGGGTGGCTCCGACGCGAAAGACCCCCAAAGGAAAGGAACAACTGATTTCATCTATTTGGCTGTGGGTCAAAACCAATGGGATCCCATTTTGGGGTAGGTGCAACACGCATTGTAGTCTATTTTAGTTGGGGATTGGGATGTTCACTGGGGTACAGGATTTTGACCCATGGCCATGTGGGTGTGTCTTTGGTGGACCCCCAACACAATGTGGTGTTCCTTCTCGAGGCCTTCTTTGGGCTTCCTAAGCTGCAAAATATGCTCCTTGCAGGTGTTGGCCTTCTGATCCATTTCCGCTTGGGGGGAGCCGCTTGGGGAGCCACCCTGTGTTTAGAGGCGCCAAAAACCGAGGCGTTTGGGTTATGGCCCGAGGGGCACTACAAACACGCCAGTGATTCCGGTGGACAACAAGAATCGAGCAAATGTCCAGCCCGATTCCATTTTCCTGAAGGTAACGAAGGGAACCAATGAAAATACAACAACATGGGTAGGAGAGTGATGCCTTTTCAAAACGAGCGCTCCTGCACGTGTGTGTGTGTGTGTGTGTGTTTGGAAAGAAGAGTCTGCGGAAAGAAACGGGAAATTAGACACTTCTGCAGGCTCACTAAACCTTAGCCACAAACAAGCAGGAGCACTTTCCAGCACTTTCCATCATGTTTTCTGCCATGGCTCAAGACTTTGCACTCCGCGGCCCCGAAAAATGGCCCGGCCTTGGGAGGTCTTCGCAGGTCCCAACCCACGGAGTCTCAGGCGAGCTTCTGGGGTCTGCCGGTCAATAGATGGGGGTTGATCAAAAGGTCCGAGATACATGGGATGACCATTGGGGCAAAAGAGCAAATTTTGCAAGCACTGAATGGGACAAGTGACCCATGGTCATTGCTAAATGAGGCAGGTTCCCATTGGACAACTAAATGGGACAAGTTACTAAGTGGGACAAGTTACCATTTGGACAAGTTCTGTGCTATTGGGGGCCAGGATTAAATATAGATCAACCCCCAGATTTCAGACCTTGCTAAAAGGCTGGGTCTCGCCTGTCGCTAGCTGAGCCTTCAGCTGAGTTCACACTCGGATTTGCGACCCCCCGATTCTGCACGTGGCGTTTTGGGTCTACCATTAGGTCCCCCAGTAGTGCGCTTTTACCTTTTTTGGGGGAGGGTTCCCCTACTAAAATAGACTACAGAACAAGGGTACCCTTATTCTAACCTCTCTACTGGAGGACCTCGACCAATGTGTTGCTAGGTTTGGATTGTGACTCAGTTGGGGGCAGGGTTGTACCTTTGGAGACCTTAGAGATACATGGTTTCCTCTCAGGATCCTCGCGTACGGCAAACTGGTAGGTGACAAAAGGACCACCTGCCTTGTGAAGGTCCAAGGGCTTGGGCACAGGTCTGTTTGAAGATGAAGCAATTGCTGAAGCTGTCTCATGTCCAAAGGCCGTGGCCCAAGCCCAGACCATGGACGCACGCTCGGAAGGCCGGAAGTGGTCTCTCATGATGGCAAGTGGGTCTTTCTCAAAGTGGTCCTCCAAAACCCCTAATGTCCCTTTGGTTTCCCGGAAAAAATATACCAGCCAGAAAGTTCCCCAATCCACCAAGCCATTTTGGAAGATTTGTTTCATTCACAAACCGAAGATGTGGGACCACGAAGATCTTCCGACCACTGAATCTGCCGGTTGGTTTTCCCAGATTCAAGAACTGGAATGTGCGGGTTCCTGGCAGAGACAATGCCACTTTGGCAGGAAGTTGGGCTCCTGAAGGAGAGGAGCTGCTGCACATGGTTGTGAGAAAAGTGGCTTGTGATGGATTTTGGGTGATGGAATGATCCATGTTAGTACGCCAGATTTCGCGTGATTTCCCAGATCCATGCTGCAATGGATGCCTCGGCTTGCCCTCGTCTGGCGGCCGAGAATTAAAACCCTTTTGCGTTGCTTCAGAGGAAGTCTACAGAGTTTCCCTGGACACACCCGAAAGCAAGGTTGTGCATCGGAGGTGGGAATTGGGCGGGCTGGAGCCAGCACTGCTGTGAAGGGAAGAAGTACCACCCTACAAGACAAACCAATCACTTAAACATTTGCCGGAGATGGCTTCAGCCCACTTTTGTTTGTGCTTTGTCGGACTTGTCAGGAGCGGCCCAAACTGAGAAATATATTAAATATGTTCTTTCTTCAGCGCCTGGAAATGGAAGACGGGGGCAACTTGTGGTTTATCTGAAAAAGGCTGAGGGGTTTCAGTGGGCCGTTTGGCCTGTTCCATTGGAATGGCCCATGGTTCAGCTTTAGCGCTGGGAAGCCAGGGGAAACAGCCCCCATTGCTTTGTTCGAGGGACCCAACAAAAGAGAAAGAGCAAGAGAAAGAGCAAGAGAGAGAGAGAGAGAGAGATCTGTCACGGAACAAATTGGCTCACTCTCTGAAAGAACTGTCACCTATCAGCTACATTGTTTAGCAACGGCTACCCAAGACAGGCAGACGCCCACCCTATCAATGCCTTCTGTTTTTTTTTTTTTACTGACTGTTTCACGGATCCACAGGAGTCACCTGAGCTGAACTTAACGCAACTGCCGTTCACCACATGTGCAAGGTGTGGACCTGCCCAACGCTCGTGCAAAAGGCTCAGTGAGGTTGAGCCACTGGAATATCAGGCAAAGTGCCCTGAATAATTCTCCTGTCCTTTGGTACCCTTCTTGCGGGATGGAACTTGAAGGGAAAGCACCCATTGTGGGAGTCCCACTGTTTCGAGAGAAACCCGCCTACGTTTTTCAAGGGGCATTCTCAAGGTTGGTGCCTAGCAATTCATACTCCCACCGAAGCTTTTGGTGCTAGCCACAACTTCCCCAAGACCTCGGATCCTCGGAACCGTGTTCCAGTTCTCTCCTTCCGGGTATTCTGAAACCAAACACGACGGCTTTCAGTATCCGCATGCTTGTTTTCTTATGGATTAGGCACAAGTCCTGCACTTCCATGAGAGCCTTGGCAAATTCGGATCAAAATAATTATCCAACTTCACAGGACGTTTGGGGCTTTTTTCTTCGGCGCGCAAGCACGAAATGCGTGCGCGCCGGCCGCCCCATGGCTGCAGTCCTGAGCCTGAGATCGTCGCCTTCGCTCCCGCAATGTCCGGCGCCTTGACGGAATCGGTGCGGGAGGATGCAGTTGAGTTGGCTCAGAGCGTTCTTTGGACATAGATTGTTTGGGACCCTTTAGAAGTTTCAGAGGGGCGCAATTCTGGGCGAGGAACCGAGCTTGAGTGATTTTGTCGCTGGTCGAGGGCCCGGGGGTTCTAAACCCCAGTCCCCGGGAAAGCGCTCAGAGTCTTCGGGAGGGTTCCTGGAGCCTGGAGATCTGGCTTAACCCTTAGCCGGAGGGGTTTGTTCGCGCGGGTTGCCAGGTCCCAACCTTGGGTCGAAGCATTTGGAACGAACGCGATGGGAAGGCACCTGCATCAAGTCAGCTTGAGCCTCGGTTGCTCGGTGCGCCGCCTTTTGCAAGGCACCCATTTTTTGAGACACCCTTGACATGCAAAGGCTCCTGCTATCTTCAGAAGCTCTGGGTTTCTGATTGTTGACTCGAAACAGGCCAGATGTGTTGCTGCAGCATTCAGCCGCATTAGATGAATAGGCCATTCACCAATCTGGCAGCATGGCTTCCTTCAAAAAGTGTCACATAGTGGGGTCTGCTTCAAAATTTGAGGATTTGAACCCCTCAAATAAGATGGACTTTGGATTTCGTGTCCTTTTGAACCAGGGCAAAGAAAAGGGGTACCAACTCAAAACGATGAGTTGTGCATTCTGCTTGGAGACGTCTGAGATATCTCCGCACCGGGTGGGCTTGGAACACCCGGTCGGAGATTTGATTTTGTTTTGCTCAAGTCTTGAGAGATAATGAAGCATCTCCCTAGTCTAGTTGGATGTGAAGAGGGATGGTAAAGTCCCTGGATTCCTGATGCCACCATTCTTGAAGAAGCTCGGACCAAGTCTTCGCGCCACTTTTTTGTAGCAACCCCACAACACGAATAAGAAACCGTGGGGGTGTCCCAAAACAGGTAGCCACCGCTTGCCTGCCATCTGAACAAGCTAGATAAATTGTGCCCGGTGTGGTGTTGATTTTGTTTTTGTTTGGGCTTGTTTTCTAGGGCAGTTCCTGCCCCCTTTCAGCTTACCCTTCATTGGTGATTGGTGGCGGGGTTTCAAGCCCTTTTTCTGAGAGTCGGTGCGGCCGCATAACCTCCAAAACGTCCGGGCCGCCAACTATACGCCCAGTCGATGGGTGCCAAAGGGCACGTATATGTTGATTCCCATCGAAAGGAATCTGAAAATGATGGGCATGCGGTTGTTCTTTCTCCAGACCGCACTCGGTTGCAACTGCAGTAGGCAACCATAGTTTAGATGTTCTCATCTCTAGGTTCAAAATGGTTGCGCCTGCTTGCCTATTGCTATCCGAAAGCGCTGGGACCAAGATCTCCAGCGGTCTTTGTGTATTCCGTTTGTTAGGGGGTTCTTTTTTTAAGTCATCCAAGCAAAGGGTGCCCTTGGTTGCCCAAAATCCACCGGAGGTGTGGGGGGGGAGGGGGGGCAGAGTGTTCTCACTTCCGTTGCTTTCCCGTCCGGCCCAGGCCCAGGTAGTTTTCCCTCCCACGCCTCGTGAGGAGCGAGCCTTGAGCGAGTGAGTCTTTGGGATGTTCGGGTCCGAGTGAGAAGACATCTTCCCATCCCGGACGATTGTTTAGTGTTTCACATATTTGTGTGCACAACATCATATTATGTACTATGTGCACACCTTGACTTATCAATCCACAATTACGCAAGTATTTGCATTTGAAAGGTACAAAGGGTGGTTCCTTTGATCACTGGCTTCCATCACCGACATGGAATCACTGGCTTCCATGCACTTCCCTCGCTTCAGTTGGGCTTACATCGGGCTTGGATGCCCGTGGCTGGTTTCCCAATTCCCTTGCCAACACTCCATGTCATGTCCCAGAAGGACTCGCTTGGCTTTCAATTTACTTGGGGAACCACCTCAAGGGTGCTTGGCGGGCATGAACCCCTGCGTAAATCACCGAAGTGTCCCTAATTAAAACTCATGCCCACTCAGTTTTTCCATTTCTGGACAACGCCAGAGGGTGGGTTGCCTACGGGATACCTTTCAAAGCCAAAAAATGTGTTGTTGTTTTTTTTGAACCTTGAACACCAACCAAAAGATGGTTCGCCTAAATAAAGACAGGGGCAAGGCAACTTTGGCCGAGCCCTTGACAACTAGCACGGTGTGGGTGTGGGTCAAACACAGGGCAACCCCAAGATGGAACCCGGGTAAATGGACACAACGCAAATCTGCGGTCTAATGTTGACCCCGCATTAATAAACCCATGTTTGCTAATATGGGGGTGTTTTTGGGTATAGTCGGGATTTATCGCTTTTGGAGGTGCTAAAACCCGCCCCCATATTAATAAACAGGGGTTTGTCAATCCGGGGTCAACATGATATCTGACCACCCGTCTCAGGACTTGCCTCTTGGGCGCACCTTGGCCCTCAGCGCCTTTGCCGCGGCTCACGGCTCTTGCAAAGCGGCGAAGCGAGCTGCAAGGCTTCGGCGTGCTGCGATGTGGCTCGGCTGCTTGTGGCTCGGCTGCTTGTTGGGCCCCATGAAGGTCGCTTGGAGATTCGCTCGAGAGTCTGGTATAGTCTGGTATCTGTATTTTCAAGTTTTTTTTCTTTGCGGTGGAAATCTACAAAATCATTCACCAACCCTTCGATTTGAATGGTACCCCATCAGCACAAGACTTTGGCTCCTTGCGAACATCACTTACCAACTTTTCCACCAATTGATGACCACCCAAGAGGTGTTCCTTTTTGAGTGGGGTTCCTTCTTCCAGAAAAAAAGAGGGGACGGCTCCCCTACCTAGACCTCCATTGGCCCCTTTTTCGACCGGTTTGCCTTCCAATTCAACCAGCCCCACACAAGGCCTTCTCTCCCAAAAAATCCACTGGAGTAAAAGGGTCCAAATTTCTACACTGCCAGAGATGTTTCCCAGATGTGTTTTTCCGTCTTTGTTTCGTACTTTCGCTGAAAACGGTCAACCAACTCAAAAGGGATGACTTTTCTGTTCACTGCCATGGAACCTGACTGAGGGGTCCAAGACGATTTTCCTTTAAAGGGACCCCTAGTCAGTTCCATGTTAGTGGACCGGAGGGTACCTTTTCTGCCCAGTCACTCGACTTCCAGGCACGGGCTTGCCGAGCGGCTGCCGCAGCACTCGACAGTGTACCTCACAGGCGGGAGAACCATGGCATGGGCCCAACCACTCGAGCCTCACCGGGGAACTCAACTTGAAGAAACCCTCAGACTTGGGATCTGCATCGAACAGTTGACATGTTAATGCTCACTCAATATGGACCAGAATCAATCATAGCATTTGACTGCTATTGGCATGGAAGCGTCGTTTTCACTGCTCTTGGCATCTTTTAGTGTGTACATGTCTTGCTGTATCACTTGCCTTGTTTAGTTTGAGTTTCTACGAAGTTGTGCAAAGCAACAGCCGGCATATTTGTTGCTCCAGGAGCGGGGCCCTGTTGGCTCGCGTTTGAACCCTTTTGGTTGGATGAAGGAAGGGACCGCAACATGACTCACCAGGCAGGTCCCAAGCGTCCATTGTATCCTGAAGTTGCTAGCTGGCACCATGCATGTAGAAGTGGCATGCACCAACAACGTAAATGGAATTTTGCCAAAATAGGGATTCATGGCCCGCAAATGGCAACGGTTTCCTTTCGGCTTCCCCTTACCCCAAGAAAGGTACCAACTCAAAAAGGTCCAAGCTCGAAAAGGATATGTCCAGGAACTCGGGGAGTGAGAACTGGCATACGACACCTTTGACTTCTGTCTTTTCGGCAAGCAGTTTTTGCTCCTAGAACAGCGCATCTGCCAACCTGAGGCTTGGCAATCCAAACTGTCGTTTGGCATGTCATTTGGCATGTGGCTGTGGCTCAAAATTAAACAGGAGGGGTTACGCGGGTTTTGGTTCCTGTTTCCACTTACCAGAGTTCCATTTTGGCACCGGTTTTTGGAGCCGCGGCCATGTCAGCCTTGCCCAAAAAGTGGTTCTATCCTCGAACTTGGATCATTTCGGTCTTGCCCAACAGTCTGGTTGAGCTCGCTTGACCCACCGCAGCTCACGGGTCGGATCCGCCCGGTTTGGCCAAAACGCCAGGTCTGTCGCCGGACCTGGAGGGCGAGCCCTGCGAGGTGCTGGGCTTTGACCCCAGCGCCAAGAGGCGCGGGGTGGCGGGTAATTCCCAAAGATCGGCGCAAAACAAATTCCTTGAATTCGCGAGTGACCGCTCAAAAATAGGTCCAAAAGTGGCAGTTTCAATGGAACCCCCCAAAAAATCGGCGCAAGCACCCTGCAAATGGTGAGTGACCGCTCAAACACAATTGGAAGTTGTGAGTGTAGTTGCTGGCAGCACTTGAAGGACAAGTGTCTTGGGAAGACAACAGTTTCTATTCATGTTTTGTCAGTGCTTCCGAGCCATTTCCTTCTTTGGAACTCCAAGAGTGGCAGTTTCAATGGAAACCACCAGGACCGGCAAATGGCAACTTTTGAATGGGAAATCCAGCGACCCCTGTCCTGAGTTTGGACCTTTGTTGCTTTTCCGGTTTGGACCATTTAAACAAACCATCATGATATCATGTTTGCTGTGTTGGGCCGTCCACTCAGGAAGTGACTGGGCCCCTTTTGGGATAAGGGTGAACCATAAGGAAGCCACCTGTCGGAATTGGTCAGAGTTTATTTCTTGGGGGGATTGGCGCCAGTTTTGGTGGTTTAGAGCCCTTGCGGAGAACCACCAGGTAGCAGGGCCCATTTTTTTTGATTTTTAGATGGGTGGTTTGGAAGTTACGTGGTTGCGTAGCTTCCCATTTGCCCTGATGAGCCAGGGCTTCAAGTCCAAATCCAATCCAAGCCACAGGGCTAGGGCTTGGGGTTGGCCCACACGGGCTAGAAACTGACTCCATAGGCTTGGACGCCTGTGGCTCGGAAGCCAACATCCCTTGGGAACTTTTGGTTGGATATTCAAGGGTGTTCTGCATTTTGGCCAAAGTGAATCGACCTGACATGACCATTTGGATGTCCCTTGTTGATCCATGTTTAGTCAAGGCCTCAAGAGGTGAACCTTGTTTCTCCAGGCCCATCATCCATTCGACCCGGGCAAGTTGTAATGTACATGTGCGAATGCTCTCAACATGGGATAACTATCGATGAACCGTGTGAAGGTCCAGTGAAGGTTCCCTGTTGACTAGGGCAACTTTCGCCATACGACTGGGGCGCTATGGGATCCGGAGTGGAGCTAAAAGATACTCTACTTCCGTTTGCTTAAGAACATGTGTTGTATTCCCCTGTTGATTTTCAGGGAATCTATCACTACTGGATTGTTTTTTTCCCGGGGGTCTTAACCAAATGGAAGTCTAATGGGGAGCCACCTCGTTGAGGCGTGGTGGACATGACCCAACCGAAACGATGTGCACAGGGTGCCCTATCAAAACTCTCACCCGTGCAGGTCACGCGCTGTGTATTCCTTATGTGGGACCACCGCCCTCATAAGGCAATATCACTTCTTCCAAATCCCAAATCCCACTCCGACTCACAATATCCAAAACCCCAGCTCCCATCCCCCTGCCTCCTCTTTTTCCCCAAAGTAAGATCCCAATAAGGTCTTGTCAAGGCCTTACTTTCTATGATGATGACAACCCCCAAACCACTACCAAGGGAAACATAGAATATAGAACAACAATACCACCACTATATATATATATATATATGTACAGGGCTCCTTAAAAGATACATGTTGCCCATTTGAAACATGGCTTTTTCCACTAAAATAAAGGGAAGCCAACATTTACAAGGCAATGTTCAGGTGTATAATGTAAGGTAATATACCTATAGGGAAAAGGTATACCTGACTTCCCTCCATCTTAGATCGCCGGAAATCGAGCCAGGTGGCTTTTGCGCTTCCTCCACCCTCGCTTTGAGAACCAGAGCTGCCAGGCACGTGGACCGTGGGCTTGGTGAAGCCACTAGAAACCAGTAAGAAGGGAAATTTGTGTAGGATGTTGGCTTTGCCCAACACCCACCCAAAAAATAGGGACTGTCTGTAGAATGCCCCTTTTGGTTGGTCTTCTTGAGGTCACTTTCTGTACCAAGCTGGAAGCCTTGAAAAGTGAGGCACGGCAATGACCTACTGTGGATGGACAAAGTCCTGCACCACTTCGAAGCCATGGGAAACCATTGTTTGTTGGTATTTGCGGGGGAATCATCATTCCAGCGATTCTCAGGGGGTGCGAAATGGATTTCGCAACCATGCACAGTATGCTGGTATCAAGCGATTTTCCACCATGCCCAAAGCCCAGGTACCGGAGCAGTGTTTCACCTTCGGCTACTGCGTGCAGCGCCTTGGATTGACTGCGGATCCCCATCGGGGGGGGATTTCGACGCCTGGGGGCCTGGAGATCTCAAAAAAACGGCAACCCAGTTTCCCTTTTTTGGGGAATACTGGATAAATGGACTTGGGGAACCGCCGCCCCCTTTCGTAGAAAACCAGTGCTTCCCATAGAAACGGGGAGTGAGTCCTATGGCCTTTACATGGACCATTCCCACAACCCTGGTTCTGTTCAACTATTTGTTGGGCCGTGCCTTATGATGGTACCCTTTGGGGTTTGGTTTCAAAAGGAAACTTCAACAGGAAGCCCCATTTTTGGGAAGGTCCCCGGTGCCCAGACACTCATCTGGGCAATTAGCATGAGCCTCACCAATCTGGGTGTACAGCAAGCCATTCCAACCAAATGCTCTCGGGCTGACTGGAGCCATGGATCTGCCGAGTGAGCCGACGGTTGCAACCCGCAGATGCTCCCATTTTGGTGAAACCAAACGCCTTGGGGTGGGACATTGCGCTCTCCAGCCCTCAGGCACCCCTAAAAAATCAGACTCCGGCGCCAGGAAGATGCATTGATTTGAGCTGCGGTTTTGTTGTGTTTTTACCCCGGAGTCACAAAGAGAGTTGATGCGGACGGAATTCTCATGAGCACGTGGGACTGGAATCGGGGAAGTCCGGCAACGAGGGGTGCGGATTCTGAACACGGACACGGTGTCATTTGTGTGCATGGTAAGAGCGAAGAAACCTTTCTATGAGCAGGTTCACCCCCTCAATGGAATTGGGCGAGCGAGGTGATCCCTGGAGATCTCCAATTCTAGTTCCATTTTCCCCAGTGGATCCATATAACTGTACAGGTGACCAAGCTAACCGCCCTTTCAAAACAGCAATACAAAACCGCAGGTAACCTGCTAGGGTATTTCTGGGATCCACTGGGTTCCCTTGCTGTGATTACCCCTGGAATTCCATTTGAACTCCGACGTTTTCCGGGAAGACGAGCTCATTTTTTCCTCACTGTCCGCCTGGTGGGGATATGGCTGCTCAAAACAGTGGCACCAGAATGGCACCTTGGAACCAGAGACCCAAAGAAGAGCACCGCGGCCTCCGCCTCCGCGGCGCCGAGGCCCGGCGCGGCCGCTCTTGGCGGGTCCGCAGCGCCGGGCGGTGCGGCGCGGGAGGCGAAGCGGCGCCCGGGGCTGGGCCGCGGCTTGGAGGCGGCGGAGCAGCTGGAGCAGGGCCAGGTAATCTTTGAGGCGACCGCAAGGGGGGGGGGTTGGGGGATTGGAGGGGTTGGGGCAGGGGATTGGGGGGGGGGGGGGGCGGGTGTGGTGCTTCTTTTTTTTTGTAAAGGGGTACCCTCCAAAAGCGGAAGCCAAAGGAAAAGGAACACAAACCCATTTGGGAGTGTTTGTGTTTTTGAAGGGGTACTCAAAGGGTGGTTATTTTAAGATGGAAACCAAAGAAGAGAAGCGTTTGTATTTGTTTCATATATGGGGGGGGGCTTTTTTGAAGGTACGTCTTATTTGGAGTGCTTTTCAAGGGAAACCAACAGGAAACCACTGTTTGCTGAGGTTGTGCATTTTCGAAGGTACCCTCAAAAGGCGGAAGCCAAAGGCAAAGGAACACAAACCCATTTCGGAGTTTTTGCTTTTTTGAAGGTACCCCCAAAAGGCGAGTTTACAATGGAAACCAAAGGAACATCTACAAATAAATAAATAAATATATTTTGTAGATCCCCTCTTTGTGTATGTTTATTTTTTGTCCTTCGGGACCCTCCAACTATTTGGTTTGGAGGGTATTCCGTATTGAAATTCATAGCCAGTTGGGAGTTTACTTTTTTGAGAGCACCCTGTTTGGGGTTAAAGGGCAACCAAAAGGGAGACTGCCAGTTTTGGGGCCTCCTTATGGTCCCTTTGAAAAGGACCTTTCGTGAGTGTGCGCTTTTGTGTTGTGTGTTGTAAATCATCAACATGCTTGATCACACAACATCCGTTCTTCATGCGAAGCGTGCTACATTCCAGCGAGGAGTGCCCTTTCCTCATCACCGCGGACGACGTGAACGAAGTCTGCCGTGCCTACTTCAAGATGCGCGCGGCCAGTGGTGATTCCCCAGGCGTGGCAGAAATACGCAAGGAATCTGCTCAGTTGGTGGGTTCCCCATGAATTTTGTTTTAGTCGAGAAACAAGGTACCCCTTGACCAAGATCACGGAATGGGGCTGAGGCGCCCAATGAAGGCCTATATAGGTTGTTTGTTTAATTAATCTGTTTTTTGTTTGAAGGGAAACCGAAGGGAAACCGGGCATCCTATTTTGGGATAACCCCAAAGAGTGCCTGTGAAAGTGTTTGTGGGCAAAAAGAGTGCCATCGCCGAAAAGTGGGTTAGGTATTGTACTAGCTCGATGTCCTTTTGTCGCGTTGTAGATTTCACCGTGGTCTGTGGAGCAAGCGGCTTGTAAAGAAGACGAGGCAGAGCTTCAAAGTGTGTTTTGTTTGAAACAGGATCCTTTTTTGGGATGGTTTCGAAACATGAGCCCAAAGGACGCCCGTCATTGGAACAGTGGCCGGATATTTTGAGCTAAAGATACTTGTGAAGATGATATGCGTGTTTCCTTCACTCGCCACAAAATAGCCAGTCCGACCATTTTTTGGAGCAAGCCGATTTTGGTTTCGGGTCAACGGGCTGTGGGAATTGGCCGTGTTCCTGAATCAGGCTCTGTAAAGATGCTTGGTGGACACCCCCCCGTCACTTTTGAGGCTTCCCTCAAACGGGGTTTCGTTCGTTTCCTCTTAAAGGGTGGGTTGAGCATCACCTGGTCGGATTTGATGTCAGTTTGCCCTTGGTGAGGTGATGTTCAAAGGGGAACATTAGAGACAAACACCACAGCCACAACAGGCCGCCCTTTTTGAGGTCTCGAGGTCGGGCATTGCATCACGATCTCACTGATTCAGTGCTTGTCACGAGCCCCGGCCTCATGAAGGTCAGTTACCTGAAGAATCCTGATGTCCGGCCTGTGAAGCGTACTGATGTGGCCAGATGAATCCTCTCTGAAATGATGTCCAAAGGGTTCCCGACTAAATGTCATAGCCAACCACTTATACTTACTTTCGTGATATTCGTGGCAGAAAGGTCCTAATAAAGGTTGCTACATTCATTTCGGGCTGTGCAAATGGGCAACCACCCCGTAACCTCCAACAACTGGCCATCAAATCACCGAGGCGCCTTGGACGCCTTCAACCGTCTCTCTGCTGGGGAGCACTTCTCCCAGGAGGCCGTGCAGCGCTGCGAGGCGCGGCCAAGACGGCAGGACCTTTCGATTCAAGTGAAGTGTCGGGTATCCCACCCGAAAAATTGGGCACTTCTCAAGACTCAGGGGTTTCTTGGAGGTTTCTTACGAGTTTCTTGGGTTCTGTAGGAGTTGCCCATGGTCCAAGTTACATCAATATCCACAGCGCTGTCTAAAAATCGGCTGGTCGAGACCCAGGTGGGCTCAATTTCTGAACGCCAGGAGTGTGTAAAATAGGGCTTGTTTGTACCACTCTGGGGCCAACGGGGAGGAATGTAGTAGAAATGTCTTAACCTTGTCTTGATTTGCCAAGATGCATTTTTGCCTTTGTTTGCAGGCAGAGTTCGAGTTCCTAGGCCCTTTATGCATTGAGCTGCATCAGAACATGTTGCACAACAGCATTTTCGACCCACCGGGGGCGCAAGCGAAAAGGCCGCTAAGAGATTGAGCTTTGAATTTCTTAGCGAAAAGGCCCTTCAACCGAAAAGGCCGCTAAGAAATCGAGCCTTGAACTTCTTAGACCAGCGCCACATCCACCCTAAACACCCCAAAGCCTTCCCTTGAAACACCCTAACCGCACCCTAAACGAACCGATCCACCGCATCCAAACCTTGCTCGCCCTAAACCTATGGACCCACGCTTCTGTCCGCACTAAACCCCCTTAACCCCCCTGCCAACTTCCGAGCCCCTAAGAAACCACCCCGCTGAGTCTACTCCAACCCCAACCTATCCAACCCAGCACCAACCTCCCAGCCCACCTTCAAACTCCAAGCCTAAGCCAGCCCAAAGCGCATAAACAACCCTAAACCCTAAATTGGTGATGGGGTGTTGCTGGATAGTACGACTTGCCAAAAAGATGCCTACGGGATTTTCGACAGTCTTGTGAAACACAGAATGTTTGTGCCCGTCAAGAAATCCGAACTGACGATTTGGCTTGGGTAGGCTGCTTTAGCATCAGTTGTTCATTGCGAAACATTAATTTGCTTAGCGTGCCTCCAGTTTGCCTTACTTGGCGCCAATCATTGCCTTTCTTGGCAAGCTATGTTGCCTTCTGTTGCCTTCAGTCGGGTGAAAGCCTTCATGTGTCTTCCTGTTTTGGCGGGTGAACGATCAGGTAACCCCCAATTGGTATTGGAACCCCTGGTTCTTGTAGAGGGTAAATGAGAGGCCTTTCCCCGAAACAACTCCGAACCATGGGGCTCCAAACCACCAGCTAGAGGGAAGCTGAGGGCATGCGTCAAAGGGGAAACCACCACATCTGTGGTTTCCCGTTGTTTCCTTAGGCTATTTGAGAGGCTAACGTAGGCCAAACGGCTGCAGATTAACATTCCCCAAGGCTTGGAGTTTTAAGGGGTAAGGTAACCCTTGGAGGGCAGCTGAAACGATCTACTTTCACCCAGGTCTGAGTCCTGCGACCCTATCTTCTGGCTAGGCCCAAGCGGCGCAGGTGTGGCAGGCCGGCTTGGGGCTTGGAGTGTTCAGTGATTTGGCCGATGAAAGACGACAAAGGGGTGAAAACTGAGTGTGGTTTCTTTGGGTTGCTTTGGTTTCTTGTGGTTTCCTTTGGTTTCTGTTGGATTCTGGTGGTCACTCTTGGTTTCATGTGACTCCTTGAATTTCCTTTGGTTTCCTTTGTTGTCGCGCATTTGGTTTCATTTGGTTTCTTTGGCTTTGTTTGGTTTGAATTGGTTTCCATTTGGTGTCCATTTGTTTTTTTTTGGTTTTCGTTGGTTTGCTTTGGTTTCTTGTGGTTTCCTTTGGTTTCTGTTGGTTTGCTTTGGTTTCATGTGACTCCTTGAATTTCCTTTGGTTTCCTTTGTTGTCGCGCATTTGGTTTCTTTGGCTTCGTTTGGTTTGAATTGGTCTCCATTTGGTTTCCATTTGTTTTTTTTCGGTTTTCGTTGGTTTGCTTTGGTTTCTTGTGGTTTCCTTTGGTTTCTGTTGGTTTGCTTTGGTTACTTTTGGTTTCATGTGACTCCTTGAATTTCCTTTGGTTTCCTTTGTTGTCGCGCATTTGGTTTCTTTGGCTTCGTTTGGTTTGAATTGGTCTCCATTTGGTTTCCATTTTTTTTTCGGTTTTCGTTGGTTTGCTTTGGTTTCTTGTGGTTTCCTTTGGTTTCTGTTGGTTTGCTTTGGTTACTTTTGGTTTCATGTGACTCCTTGAATTTCCTTTGGTTTCCTTTGTTGTCGCGCATTTGGTTTCTTTGGCTTCGTTTGGTTTGAATTGGTCTCCATTTGGTTTCCATTTGTTTTTTTTGGTTTTCGTTGGTTTGCTTTGGTTTCTTGTGGTTTCCTTTGGTTTCTGTTGGTTTGCTTTGGTTACTTTTGGTTTCATGTGACTCCTTGAATTTCCTTTGGTTTCTTGTGTTGTCGCGCTTGGTTTCATTTGGTTTCATTTGGTTTCTTTTGGTTTTGTTTGGTTTCAATTGGTATCCATTTGGTGTCCATTTCTTTTTTTGGTTTTCGTTGGTTTGCTTTGGTTTTTTGTGGTTTCCTTTGGTTTCTGTTGGTTTGCTTTGGTTTCATGTGACTCCTTGAATTTCCTTTGGTTTCCTTTGTTGTCGCGCATTTGGTTTCTTTGGCTTCGTTTGGTTTGAATTGGTCTCCATTTGGTTTCCATTGTTTTTTTTCCGGTTTTCGTTGGTTTGCTTTTTTCTTGTGGTTTCCTTTGGTTTCTGTTGGTTTGCTTTGGTTACTTTTGGTTTCATGTGACTCCTTGAATTTCCTTGGGTTTCCTTTGTTGTCGCGCATTTGGTTTCTTTGGCTTCGTTTGGTTTGAATTGGTCTCCATTTGGTTTCCATTTGTTTTTTTCGGTTTTCGTTGGTTTGCCTTGGTTTCTTGTGGTTTCCTTTGGTTTCTGTTGGTTTGCTTTGGTTACTTTTGGTTTCATGTGACTCCTTGAATTTCCTTTGGTTTCCTTTGTTGTCGCGCATTTGGTTTCTGTGGCTTCGTTTGGTTTGAATTGGTCTCCATTTGGTTTCCTTTTTTTTTCGGTTTTCGTTGGTTTGCTTTGGTTTCTTGTGGTTTCCTTTGGTTTCTGTTGGTTTGCTTTGGTTACTTTTGGTTTCATGTGACTCCTTGAATTTCCTTTGGTTTCTTTTGTTGTCGCGCTTGGTTTCATTTGGCTTCTTTTGGTTTTGTTTGGTTTCAATTGGTTTCCTGTTGGTTTCCTGTTGGTTTCTTTTGGTTTTTATTGGTTTTTACTCGTTTCTTTGGTTTCTGTCCTTATTTGTTTCCCGGTTTCAGTGGCTTCACTTGGTTTCTTTTGTCTCATTTTGGCTTGATTTGGTTCTTCTGGTTTCATGTGGTTTCCTTTGGTTTCCTTCGGTTTCCCTCTACCAGTGGCCAAATGTTTGCCGTTGTGCCAAACTCTTTCAGCAACCCTGAGGTTCCATTCACTCACTGAACGTTTGGAATAAGGCATGCTCTCAGAATAAACTTCCAGCCCTCCATTTGGCGCAGCCTATCTGGTGATAACGATATGCCCCGCACGTGAAACATGGAAGCTCAGTACAGCAATTGAGCGGGCGCTTCGTTGGGACCTCTGGAGGATCTGTTTAAAGCGAATCCAATAAGAGCACCCAGAATCAGTGCGGGTTTTCTTTCGGACACCAAAGTAGAACAAGTAGTCTCGGGTTTGGTTCGTAGGTTTTTGCTTACTCGCTGGAGACGCTTTCAGGTTCCATCCCTGTAAGTGGGCGGGAGCGCACCCGAGTCGGTCAAATGTGGTGGCACATCGCGAATCGGGAGTTTCCGTCTTGGGCGGTTTAGCGAATCGTGGAGGTGCTTGCCAATATTTGTTCCCCTTGCATGGTGTCATGTTCTGCCACTAAGTAGGGAGGCCCCTGAAAGGGTCAGGTCATATGGACCATAAAGCAAGGATTTCTTGCATTTGCGAAACAAATATGTTGCTAGCTACCTGTCGCTATCCCCCAAGAGAATCGCCAATGTGTCGCATGGAAGCGGTGATCTGAATTGTGAAGGCTTGTAATGGTCAGGGCCCTTTTTCGGGGGGGCGACGTCATAGCATTTGAAAGGAACCTGTTGGGTTCCGAAGCTCAACATGAGCAAGCCTGCAGTAGGGCATTGGCTGGGTAGAACATTAGAAGGCTCCTTTTGTTTTGCTCTTCCATCGGTGTTCTACCCTTTGTTTTGCTTAAGACCAACTGCCTTGGCGACGGCCGTGTCGAATGGGTGCATGTTTTGAAACAAAAATCAACCGGCTGTGGACCAGCCCGCTTTTGCACCGCCCGGGCCGCCCGTTCGCCCGCCGTCGCAGCGTCAGGCGGCCACGTCGCGCGCGGCGTCGCCCCTGGAGCTGCGGCAGATCGCGGAGGTCCTGCGACGCTGGGAGGCCAACCGCACCTCGACGAGGTCCCCCAGCAATCGGTGCCCTTTTACCAATGGTTTTTGGGGGAGGGTTCCCCTACTAAAAGGTACCGGGTATTTACCCACCCGCAAGTCGAAGTGGTTTTACCCCCGCCAACATGGTAAGAACACCCTCTCAAGAGCACCCGCTCAGCGCTGCACACACACGCAAGAACACCCGCTTAAGTGCACCCGCTCGGCACTGCACACGCGCGTGCCAAATGGCAAGAACACCCGCTGAAGTGCACCCGCTTTGCGCTGCACACACACGCATGCCAAATGGTAAGAACACCCGCTGAGGTGCACCCGCTTTGCGCTGCACACACGCATGCCAAATGGTAAGAACACCCGCTGAGGTGCACCCGCTCAGCGCTGCACACATGCATGCCGAATGGTACGAACACCCGCTGAGGTGCATTTGCTCTGCGCTGCACACACGCATGCCAAATGGTAAGAACACCCGCTGAGGTGCACCCGCTCAGCACTGCACACACGCATGCCAAATGGTAAGAACACCCGCTGAAGCGCACCCGCTTTGCGCTGCACACACGCATGCCAAATTGGAAAGAGCACCCGCTGAGGTGCACCCGCTTTGCGCTGCACACACGCATGCCAAATGGTAAGAACACCCGCTGAGGTGCACCCGCTCAGCACTGCACACACGCATGCCAAATGGTAAGAACACCCGCTGAAGTGCACCCGCTTTGCGCTGCACACACGCATGCCAAATCCGCTGAGGTGCATCCGCTCAGCACTGCGCACACGCATGCCAAATGGTAAGAACACCCGCTGAGGTGCACCCGCTCAGCACTGCACACACGCATGCCAAATGGTAAGAAAACCCGCTGAGGTGCATCCGCGCAGCACTGCGCACACACGCATGCCAAATGGTAAGAACACCCGCTGAGGTGCATCCGCGCAGCACTGCGCACACGCATGCCAAATGGTAAGAACACCCGCTGAGGTGCACCCGCTCAGCACTGCACACACACGCATGCCAAATGGTAAGAACACCCGCTGAGGTGCACCTGCTTTGCGCTGCACACACGCATGCCAAATGGTAAGAACACCCGCTGAGGTGCACCCGCTTTGCGCTGCACGCACGCATGCCAAATGGTAAGAACACCCGCTGAAGTGCACCCGCTCAAGCGAAACAACAAACAACCCAGCCCACGAAGGCGGCGGATTTCAAGTTCCACTGGGATAGGACATGTCTCCAGCCGGCGCCCCGGCGTTTGGCAGCCCCAAAAATGCGCGGCTTTACTCTGAAATGAGTTAGTTAACGGGATGTTCAAAGACCCACAAAGATGCACGTTGACCGGGAGAGAAACCACACCAAGATTTTGGGATGGTTCTTTCGAGGTACCCCTTGGTCTTTGTGTGCGGTCTCCTCCATGTTTTTCAGTGTTATGTAAGCAACATATGGAAGAATCCAAAAATATGGAAGAACCCAAATGTATGTTCTTTTCTGTAAAGTAGGCCAAGACGTGGGCTGCAAAGCGGCATACCCGCCAAGGGCTTTAGCCGAATTTCAAGTTCTCGGCTGCAGCCCCCAAATGAACCTGGATTCCGAAGGTGTCCCCCAAGAAAGGACCCAATACTCAAGGCGGTGCTGCAGGTTTTTGGGCTCCGTTTCGGGTGCCCTCTGGATGGGGGTGAGGGTTTAGGGCTGGACATGTCGGGCACCTTGTCCAGCTGCTTCACTCAAACCCTGTCCATTTGTTTGAACATCCGCCGCAATCAAGGCAGGGCTCTCTTTCGGGGACAGTCCCAGAGTCTGCGCCAGAATGCCGCCTGTTGATTCTTAGGGTTTTGGGTAGACCTCTTGACTTTTCCTTGAACTATGACCCGAGCAAGTGGTTTATTTTCATCAAGCCGTGACCATGACCCAGGCACAGAGTTTTGTCTTATGTCTGAAGCCCCGGCCCAACCATGTGAACCAGAATCAGCAAGGTGTTCCTTGCTTTGATTTGTATTTCCCGCCATTTGGGACAGATGTTTTGCCAGCCAATTCACTAGGTGAATCGCTTTGGCAAAGTCTGTTCCGCAGAAGGGTCAAGGGGCACATTGGGCGCAGAATGGGTTATGTGGGGTCTTTGCAGTGGTTCTGAAGGATTGGGCAACTTCCATTCAAAGGTCTGTCTCTTTTGATTGAGAAGCCGAGAATCGTCGTTGGTTTTGAATAGGAATCACAAGGAAACCACAAATTCTTTGGGGTTCCCCCATATTAAGACATTCATTTGGAATAATTGGGATTGTGGCCGGTCAATATGCTAATTTTTTTTGACCCAGCTGTCCCCACCAGTGCCAACCTGCCTGTTGACCATCGGTCTTCTCCCTGGCTAGTTGACACCATTCTGGGCGATATACAAAAGCGTACCCCAAACAAGAATCCATTGTCATTTGGTTTGGGGGGGGGGTCCGCACGTTGAGTGAGTTTAAGCCTGATTGGACTGCTTGAGAAGACCTCTTCGGGTGTGGATTGTTTCCTGATTTCCAAACCGATTTTCCATGCACATCTTTTGTTGGCCGCAGATGCTAAGCTGCCTTGTGGCACATTGAATCAGCTTCCCTCCAATTGGTTGGAGCCCGGTGCTTTGGATTGGTGTTTAAATTGAGCGGTTTCCCATGTGCCCGAGAAACACGGGTTCAAAGCCCAAATTAATCAATCTTTCGGGGGCGGCCTGGCTGAACCTTGGCCGTTTTCTCACATGCCGAATCGAGGCTTCCTGCAGGGCGCCGGGGGCGCCGGTCGCGGTCGCGCCGGCCGCTACGCGCTCTTTAGCTGGGCCGGGGCCTGAGATCTCGTCCGTTTGAAAGGCGCGAGGTTCAGCAACCGGTGTTCCAGGCTGAGCAAAACGGAAGGCAAGTTGAAGGCTTCATGAAGGCCAACTTGTTGAGTTGCTTACTTACAAGAGTCCTGGACCTGGGGCTTGTATGTATTATGCCACGTTTTTGGTGCTTCCTTTTTGTTTCTCCGTTTCGCAGTTTGGGACGCTTTCGGGGGTGTCGATGTCAACGTGCAGCCTCTCAGCTCAGGGTTACGTAACGCCCACTTGCACCGGCTTGGAAATGGGATGTTCGAGTTCTGTGGACACAAGCCAGCTTTGCAACGTGAGCTTTAGCAATGCACAGGGGCTGTCTTGGACCGGGCTCAGCGGAGTCACCGACCTGACCGCGAGTGTCACCGACAAAGCCAACAAGCTTTCGGAGCTGAGCTCAGGCGGCGTGGCCCTGCTGACGGCTCGCGAGGAGAACGGCATCGAGTTCATCGATTCCAACAATACGGTGTTGCTTGTGCATTTGGAGGAGCTTGGCAACTTCTTCGCTGGAAAGCAGACGACCTGGACTGTTTGGTCTAGTCAAGGTGGTGCTCCGGAGAAGGCCCCAAACGGCACTATGCTGAGCAAATGGGGTACGGCAGCCACCGTGAAGGAAGGCCTGCTTGAATACAAAGACATGACTGGCGCAGCGGTGATGAGGGTGAAGTTGAACTCCTACACGCAGTGCACGGCTTTGGACATCAACAACCAAGCCATTGCGGTGTGCCAGGGCATGCAGAACTCCAAAGCCGTCACTGGCCGTGTCATCAGTGCACCAGCAGTTGACCCTCTTTTGGTTCTAGCGCTGGCCACGCAGCTGCTGTCAATAAGTGGATGACATGCCACTTTGACAGGATGCACCAAGGATGGAGCCCGCCGGTCTGGCTGGGATCCGAGTGTGTTTCACCCGGCCTTGAGCAAGTAGGCAAGCGGCTATTGGGGATTGGGTAAAAAATATGGCGCCGGTTTTCCGCTTGCTTGTAAAAGGCGTCAGAAAAGGGGTACCCTCAGAAACCACACACACACACACACCCACACCCACACCCACACCCACACCCACACCCACACGCACACGCACACGCACACGCACACGCACACGCACACGCACACGCACACGCACACGCACACGCACACGCACACGCACACGCACACGCACACGCACACGCACACGCACACGCACACGCACACGCACACGCACACGCACACACACGCACACGCACACGCACACACACGCATACACTTCTTGTTATAATATGTTTCTTGGGTCCAACTCGTTAGCTCAAAGATGAAAGCACGCTATGCCACGCCGGAGATGCAGTTCACTTGGGGAATCCCCATGTTGAACAAAACAAGCCGAAATTCTTGGCAAAAGGGAGCCCAACTTTTGCACAGGATCCAAGACCCAAGAAGTCAAGTGGATGTTGCTACAGTCTCCCTGGTTGCTGAATTGTTTAGCCCCACGTTGACTGCCGACTCTGCTTGCGGCCGGAGATGTCGAATGCCCCAGGATTGAATAGAGCCCTGGTTGCATAGGCGTCATGTTTGGCGCAACCACACTATGGTTCAGAGAAGAAAAAAAAAAGACAAAAAAAAAGGGTCAACGTTAGGGGTCAAATTTTGACGTCTGAAATTCCTTCCCCGCCCCCCCCCCCCCTCAGCACGTGGGGCTCTCAGTCGAGAGGCCTCAGGAAGTGGGGGTCGAGTCGAATGGCCCGACAGGTTGGATGGGCAACAAGCTTGACAGGAATTCCTAACAGGTTGATGAGATCTGGCTCTGGGTCAAAACCCAATGGTATCCCATTTTGGGGTAGGTGCACCACCCGTTGTAGTCTATTTTAGTGCTTGGATTGGGATGTTCACTGGGGGTACGATTTGGGTTTTGACCCATGGCCATCTAGCCTGGGATCTGGTTGGCCCAGGCTCAACTTCTTTTTTGGATGCCAAGCTTAGGGGTGCCCAGGTGAGCCTGCTGAACCACTCCTGCCAGCCCAGCGCGATGCTGGACAGCCTCAGCGCCTTGCAGTCGGGCGCCCTGCACCTCGCCCGATGTCGCCTAGCGCACGAGAGAAGCCCGAGTCGCTCAGTCGCTCGCCCCTAGGCTTGGTTCAGTTCCAGGGAACTGGGTTCAAGTCTAGGAGGAATCAAACAATCCTGCTTGACAATCGCAAGAAAACTGACTTAGCCTCCCTGCGGCCTTGCAGCAGCCGGCAGGGTTTGGGTTGACTTTTGGGAACAAACACGGGGCCCTCACCTCTCCGAGTTTTCTTTTGACATGATTTACGTGAGCGAGTCCAGGATCTGGCAAGCAGTGGTTTTCTTGGGCCAAAACCAACCCAGGGATTACTTGCCCAAAACCGACCGTTTTCAACCTGTCTATATATATATATACATGTGTTTGTTTTGGTGGACCCCTCCACTCCCAACATGTTGATCTTTCTGTCGGTTTCCCATTAAAACTAACATATAGTCATCCGGAAAAAAAAGAAGAAAAAAAAGAAGAAAAAAAAGGCCCGCGACTCATTCATTTCCAGATCCTGGCGAAGAAACGACACCCACCTGAGGCCTGAGGACGGCAAGAGCCGCGTCAAGGCGTTGAGAGGACTTGCGCCGGGCGAGGCCAGGGGGGCTAACCCAGCGGAGCCCCTGGCGTCTGGTTCGTTTTGCTATGTTTTGCTATGTTTTGCTACTTTGTGGGCTTCTTTTCGTTGATTCGGTCGCATTTGTTTCTTTTGGGGGGCTGCTTTCGGGAAACGAAATGGCCACCCACCATTTTGGGAGTCCACACACACCCTTCTCCAGGGCCAGTGTTCTTCCCTGTTGATCGGGGTCTTTGGAGCAAAGCTTCACATTTCACGGATGGACATCGAAGGATCCACTCTTTGCGCCAGATTGCGTGACCCCCTGCTTTCGGTGTATTCCCAGAAAGTTGTTTTGGGAAGTTGTTTTGTTATCCCCTGGTTCCCTACTATACCTGTTAAGTTTCCAAATGTGTGACATCCACATCCCCCAATTGATGTACAGGCGCATCCATGGGGCCCAGTTTTACACATATCCTGTGGTTCTGCCTGGGTAAAAGGAAAGCCTCGGGACTTCCATTGGGACTTCCAGTTTGTTGCAATTTTAGCGCAGGCCCGTTTAAACAGGCAGCCACCTGCCGAGATATAAGCCTAGGGTTTTACCTGGTTGACTTAAAGGATACCCCTGTGAGTTGAGTTGCGACTAACTGGTATACCGTGGCAAAAGGGAACACGCATGGTTACAAGGGTTGTTCCCTTGGATTTGCCTGTCAACAGGCGTATGTGGGTGTGTCTTTTTTGAAGGAGCTCTTTTGGGCTAGGTTCTCAAGAACCGGACGGAACCGGGAACGACTTGGTGTCGTGACAGTTCGGTGAAGCCGTGTTAAATTTATCCCGTGTTTGCGGGGATTTTCGGAAGTGGCAGCATTGGTGGCCGTTTTAGGTTAGATGGGTTGGAAATAGATTTCACTGGTTTGGATTGGCTTTATATCCATTGACCAGGGCCATCTATTTTACCAAAAGGACACCTACGATTGGCAGGTTCCGAAGCTCGGGATACTTCTTGGGCTTCGCTGATTCTGCGACGCCGTGAGGCGATTTGCATCAACTACGGGCCACCTGAGTTGCTGGAATGGGATGTAGCGCGCCGACGGGAGTGGCTCGGCGCTGCGTCCAAATCGGTTTGACCGCACCGGGCATGAACATACGCCACCTACAAGGAAGATACAATGATGGTTGGTGTAGAAGCCATTTTCAGTCGACCGATTTGGGCAGTTGACGTTGCTTAGTGGATTGCCTTGTTGTTTGGCGGCTTCACCACTTAAATTAATCAGCCGAACAAATAATATGGTCTTTATCAACCATGGGTGGGGGGACAGTTCCAGCTAGAAATAGCACGGGTTTGCATCCTTTCTTAGTCTTTACAGGGTTGCGCGTTTCTTGTAGGGTACCCCCTTTTCAGGTTGGTTTAAAGGGAAGCCAAAATGTGAGAACCACGTTTTCGCGGTATCCCTTATCCTGACATGTACCGTAATCGTATGCCCACGTGGTTTCTGGATGACTTGACTCATGTCAGTTCTCTGGCAAAGCCTTCCTTGTTCTGCAGAGCCAATGGTGAATGGTGTCTCTTCGGCAAACATGTTGCCCTAGCCATTCTACCTGCATTTCAGGTGTGCTACTTGCAGAATGCTGAAGGCCACATCAAGCGTTGGTCCTGGTAAAACCACACATCGGATTTGGGGTGCTGCTCAATGCTGCGATTCTGTCCGTGGTTAAAGGGGGGGTCCTCTCGATTTCGAGAGCCCAGTGCTCTGTCAGGTTTCCACGGCGTTTGTCAACAATGGAAGTTCCATGGGATTCTATGGGTTTTCTAGGGTGCAACGTCTTGCCTGCGATGAGTTTGCCCTTTGCGGCAACGACGGATCCACTGGTTTGAGTCGTCGGCGCAAAACTGCCTTCACCGAATACTGAAGGGGAGTTGTGGTTTTTTAGAAATTCATGACATCTACATTCAAACACTGGAAAGTTAACCAACTGCCAACGGGCGAGGGCCACCGGCAATGTGCAGCATACATGTTTTGTTGAAGTAGAATTGTGGCTTGCATGAGCATGTTTAGATGCTCGAAATTGAAAGCATTGTGTGAACATCACTCTGTTTTTGCTGGAGTATGACATTTACATGTTCATCGGTGTTTGAGGCTCCTGGGAGTAAAAATTTCCAATGCGGGTTCCATGTGGTTTTGCTCATAGGTATGCTAAACCGGTCACGCACGCAAAGTGATCAATCATTGCCGTGTATCACCGTACTTTCGCCAATTGAATACAGATAACCCCTTTGCATAACCCTTCTGTTCCGGAGCAGAACAAGCTCACGCGGGAGTAAAAACAGGTGATTATTCCCATGATGAAGATCCTGTACTGGGGGAGGGAGGTCCAACACTTGTTTCCAGTATGTTTGTAAATTGTAGTATCCTGTGAAGATGCATGCAATCCCAAGTGCAGCAATCCTTGCGGCTCCGTTTGCAACCACCCCCTCGCGCAGTACTCTTGTACGCGTTTAAGCAACCACCTTTGCTTGTCACTATTTGTACGCAATGTCCTCTCTCTAAAACCTGACATACTGCAACCTTTAAAAACACACCCCAAAACTACTGGCTGCTTGGTTTGGTCCTGCTCAAGCCGGTGCGTGCGTATACCCTCCTTGCACCTTTGGCTAAATAGGGAACCACCTCAAGAGCGTTTAGTGAATCCGCGACCATTGCGCAGGGTGCTGCCATTTTCGAGCCTAGCAGAACTGTGTTGCTGCGGCCAGGTACCTCCAGCGGCAGAATGGCTTCACCTGCCGCTGTCCCCGCTGCCTCACCGAGGCCAAGGCCAAGCCACAAGGGGAGGAGAAATCAGCGGCGGAGGCGAAAAGTCGGCAAAGCCATGAATTCGAATGGTGTGGGGGGAGAGGGGGGGACAGAGGGGGGGACAGAGGGGGGGGCAGATGTACAAAAAAACACCGGGGCTTGATCTCGCAGCCATGGTCCAGGCGTCTCGGGACCACGCAGCATTTTAACCGCCACTCCAGGGTGAAGACTTCCCGCCAGACTTGTATTGACTGTGGGTGTGTGCAAGCCATTGAAGCAGCCGCACGCTTTCTCGTACTTGTGGTGGACCCCATAAGAAAACGCGCGCGCACACACACACCCACACCCACGGGGAAGAGCTGGAGGTGTGTTTGCGACTATATATATATATATATATTATGTGTGTGTGTGTGTTGAAAGGGTCGGATTGATTTGCAACACACGTGGTTGGTATCGGGAGCCTCGAGCCTCTTCAAAAATAGTTGGTGGAGCTAAATCCCTGTTCGGTCAACAACTTCAGTCTGTGGTTGACTAAGGGACATGCAAGCGTGCAAAGGCACCGACACACAGGCAAATGTTTGTGAGCATGTTGCTTCTGAGAAATCCGGTATTGTGTGAGTGGCTCTTTGGGTAATTGGTTTGTTTTGAATCGGTAAAGCGATAAAGCAGCTGGTCAAACGGGAATCAATTTGGTATCGTGGAGGTATCGCAGATTTCGGGACAAATGCGCAGACATGAGATTGGTTTGTACAAGTTTACCCCATCCAGAGGATTATGGGGTCCCCAATTCAAGAGGGGGGGGGAGGTGGGGGCTCCTTAAGGAACCCTAACAAGCCCTGGGCCCTGAGAAACCCGAAGAAACCCTGGCAAACCTTCAGGAACCCTAGGCTCTCAACTATCCCCCTTGTACCTACCCCACTTAGGGATTCCAGAACAATAGTTTCATTCACCAGTTGCGTCGCCACAAAAAGGGAATTGTGAGATCTGCTTTCACCCTGGTATGCTTGGAAGTACTTCCGGGGTCCTCAAAGGGGGCCATCAAACTTTCGCCAGTCAAGGACCTTGTTTCCTCTGTGGCGGAGTGCAGCTACACGTGACGTGTTGCCATCACTGAAGCAAACAATCGAATCTGCGGTTTTTGTAGTGGGCCAGCTCCACTCATATTCGGAAGTTAAGCTTTGGGCCGCAATCAACCCCGGGGAGAGCAACTCATGATCCTAACCCGCGAATCCGGATAGGCTCTACTGGTCAATCCGGGACAAATTAGGCTTGCCCTTCCGGAATATGGGCCCAGCTCGGGCCCCATGTTTGTGCAGAGGTGATTTGGAAGGGCTGATTGTTTTTTGCTCCCTCCACTAAGTGCATTTGGCCCTGCTTGAGCTCGCTTCCGCCTAAACCGTGCGCTTCCGCCAAGTCTCAAGCAGAAGAGCTAGGGCCATGTGTCAAGCCGTCTAATTGATGTTGACCCCAATATCCTGATTCAGTAGGAAGAGATGTTCTGATAATCCAAGAGAAAGCAACTCATGAATTACAGGGGCAGACTAGTAGCAAGGGTCAACGTGTGTGGTTTTCAGACCAAGCCACCGATTATAGCGAAGTCTTAGTTGCGCTTCCAAACATGGCTTTGTGCACAGTTGCTCCCGCTCCACGAGGATGAGTCTGTAAGGCAGTTGCACACTTCCCCGTTTGTTGTTGGGAGGGTCGTCTTGTTGTTCTTCAGAATCAACAACCGACTGTGGAGCCTTCGGCATGTGCCCAATATGTGGGTTTGTTGGCCATTTTTTCCAAAGCAGTGGCTTTTTGGTTTGCAGCTTCTCGCAGTCATCTTTGAGAGGGAGGCAGCGCGGAGTACCCTGCGACTGCGCTATCCTATTCTGGAGTTGTCAACATGGACAAGTCCTAGACCCGTTGCGTGGCATCAGCAGAGGTTCAAGTGTAAATGTGTCGAAAGATCGGGTTGTGTCTTCCGAAATGGTGGCTTTCCTTTTGGTTTCCCTTCAAACCCGCTGAGCCACAGTCAAAACCCCGGGTAGATGAAGGTTGGTGAGGGATGGTCCCAACCATATCTAGGTGATGCCGCCTGAATTGTTTGCCCTGGTTTGGCCTACGCCATATCTGTTTTCATCATGACTCACCTCTTAAACTTCCACACAACCCAAGTTGAGCATCCGCGTCGCCCTGTGCCTCTGATGTGCCGGCGGCATCGCTGGCAGGCCATTTTAGCCGGGCGTGACTGCATGACTCACATGGGTGTCCCAAAAGGGTGGCTCGTCTTTTGTTTAGTTGGTACCCCTTTTCTGGTGGTTTTGGAGGAAGCCAACAAGAAAGTCACCAATTTGGGGGGGGGGGGGTCCTAAAAAAGATGCGCCACCCATGTTGAAACAAGGAGTCATGCCCTGGTCACTCTTGGATTTCACCGTTTTGGGTTTGCTGGACTCGTATTTGCAGAGGAGCCTTCGGGGGAGTATACGGAGTATACTTGTGTTTCTCGAATAGAACTCTGGCCTCAAACATGGTGCAATGTATGCACGCAAACAAGGTTTTAGCACGTTTCGTCATTTGGACACCCCTTCCAAAGACGGCACAACATCTCCCTAGCTGCAGCCGTTTGTGTCAACGTCTCCGATCACCGTTGTGTTTGTTTTGACGTTTCTGTGCTTAGGGTTGGTGGAAACGGACACCCAAAGGAATCCAAGCCTTTTTTGGGTCCACCATTTTGAGTACTGGTAGTCCGTGGTTGGTTTGGGGAGGACGTGGAGGACAACCCAATTTGCCACAGACACGACCCAATGTCCCAAGTTCTTCAATCATGATTGTGCGAGGCTCATGTGAGGTTCCTTGAGGAATCTCGGTGCCCCATCTGGGAGTCTGGGAGTTCCCCCCTGTTCCTCCCAAACGAACCGACAAGAAACATGGGTTCTTTTGCGCAGGCATGGCATCCAGGATGTATGCCATCAACAAGGGCTCCGGAGATGTGACGAATCGAGGTCACGCGCAGGCAAGGACTTGAGGTGGGTCCATGGGAGACATGGGTTTCTTGAAACTCAAGAGTATCCATTTGAAGCAGACCAGGTTCAACCCCTAACGCCCCCAGAAAAACCTGGAAGTAATGGCCGGGTTCCCTACCTCTCGCTTCCTGAGTTCTGTTTCGGACTGGAATCACTTTTTGGCTTGGAGGGACCATTCAAATGAACCAATTGGGAGCTTTGTTGGTTGCGATTCGCTTAAGTCAGACAGACCTTGTCATTTGTGTTTGAGAAGGAAGGACAGCTTGCAAAGTAAGCTTTATCATTCCGTCCGAGCAGCATTCCTCCCCCAGGGCAAAACCCCACACAATGCCTTTTCTTTCTCGGGGTGATAGGGGGTTGTTTCAAAAGGGAGCCTTGGGAAAGGAAAGTGAACCAACACAAAGGCAGGTCTAGGCTTGTAGGCTCCATGATCACAAGTTCCATATGTTCACTGGGAGACGCCAAGTATGGTCAATCGATCACCTTGCACTAAGGAGTCTAGGGAATCATGAGAAAGAACGGTCACCCACATGGCATTGAGACAGCTAGTTTAAGGGTTCCTTTCAATCAGGCAATAACCATGGCCCACATAACATTTTTGTCATGGCGCATCAACGCACAGAACATTAGAACATTGCCAGGCTGAAGCTTTCCTGTATAACGTTTCGCTTTTTGGGTTTCCTGTTTTTCCTTGCAACTATCAGCAAGTCAGCTTTTTGCAGGGGACATGATGAAACAAATTCAAGGGGTTGGACCCATCAGAAATGGGTATTCTCAAAATTGGGGGCCGATTCTTTGAGGTGGTTGGCTTCCTTTTGGTTTCCTGCAAAAACAATGCAAGCAGGAAACCCCTATGTTGCGAACCCCCCCAAATACCGGAGGAGTTTTCACCGATGGACTCCAGGCCACGGCGCGGTTGTGGCGTCAGATGCATCCCCGCCTTTGGGCGTTTCTTTTTTTGAGGGAAGCCTTTTCAAAATGAATTCAACAGGAACCCCACCAGTTTGGGGGGGGTCTATATTTTAAGACACACCCATTTTGACGTCCGCCTTCTGGAGTCAGGTGTTCGACTCTTAGAACAGCATTGAGAATATCATGCATGAGGGAGACCTGCAGCGAGCACACATTGTGGAGGTGACACTTTGTGCACAGTGAACCATCCCTTTTCACCTTTGCTCTGACACCAAAGTAAGTCATTCTTGCGACTACTTTGTCACTTTGGATGAGGTTCCCATCAAAGAACATGTTTCTCCACAATTCAATCAGGTCGAGTGTTGAAAATAATTGGATTAGCCGCGGCTTTCCGAACAAAAACCACACATGAAGAGCAACACAAAGCATGTCCCACAATCATACACAGGTGGCTGGTTTAATACAAGGAGATACAAGGAGCCAACATAGTATAGTGTACTCATGGCTAAAATTGGTTCACAAGCAGCCCCTACGCCTAACTATTAACCCCTGGATCAATAAGCCCGTCCGATTAATAGGGAGTGTTGCCCTCAGCTGATGAACCCCCACTCAAAGGCCTTGCTCCCCCAACCCCCCAAGCTGACCTGTGTTTGGTCTGATTGGCTAAAATCCTGGAATGCTGTTGGGAGAATAGATGGCTTTGGTAGATGAAACCAGGTCAACCGGGCCATCAATCGATTATCTACCAATCTGGGGAGTATTAATGGCAATCCCGGATTCTCATGTGCCCATTTCGACTCGGCTCGCTCCGGCTTTTTTCCACGGGATCGGATCGCAGGGCAGCGGCAAGGGCTGGCGGCCTTGGAAGCCTGAGTCCACGCCCCGGCGGAGTTCCTTTTCTTTTTTTGGAGACCGAGTTGAGCCATGGGTAGTGTGAAACCCGCTTGGCCAGAAAAAAAAAAGCTCTGGGGGGGGGGGGGGGGCATTTAAGGTAAAAGGTTCTGGGGGGGGCATTTCAGGTATGGGTTTTGGTGTAGAACACACCACCAGAATAGGGTGGTAAGGCAGTATATAGATCTTATATGTGGAAGTAACCTCCATACCTCCAAAACCCGTGCCTGGAAAAGTCCCCTGAGGCAATGTTGAACCCGGTTCAACAAACCTGCCCTATCAACTGGGGGATGTTCCCTCCAAGACTGGTCCCGAACCTCATGGGTTTATTAATTTGGGCTTAACATTAGTGGGGTTAATGGAGTTTGGCTTGGGAAGAGCATTTAAGTGGTATCAAAGGACATGTGTTGGGCAAGCCATTCAGGAAGTGAAGGATAGTCTCAATCATTCTGCCCTTCTGTTTCTTCACATGCTTAATGGTCTTTAGACCATTTTAATGTCCATGTTTTGAGTGTGACACGGATGCCCCATGACTTTGTGAGTGCTAAACCCATGACGGGAATCATCGACTTTGGGATCAGGGATTTGTGTCCACGACTATTCTTATGTTTTCAATCAATGGTTTCTTGGATTGGTATGGATTTGTTGCGGTGCTTCCCCAAACTGGTTGCGTTGTGTTTTTGTCCCCACTTCAACATGGAATTGGACGCGGTGACCCGGTGACCCGGAAGAACCCCAGTAGCTACATTTCCCCTTCCACTCGCGTTTCAGGAGATACATATGTTATTTCCCTTGTTGGTTTTAAGGGATCCATCGCAAGACATGTTTTTCTCCTTTCCAGGGGGCGTATCCGCAAATAGATGCTGACCACACAAATGCGACCTCACGCCCCCGAGTGCCCACGGAAATTGGGATACTTCATGACGACTTCAGCACTGAACAATTCGCGAGCGAGCTTTTCTACCGATTCGAGAACCGATAAACCGCCTCGCTTGGGCCTCATGGGTGCGTGATTTTTTAGGGGGGCCCCGCAAAAACCCACCGAACAAATGTGATTTCCTCTACTTGTGCTGTTCGGCCCACCGTGTTCCGTGAGTTTCCCTGGTTTGCTTTGAGGCACCAAAGGCAAACCGGAGCGAACTTCGGGTTGAATCGCCTCCAAGGTGCACTGTGGCCATCACCGGCGTGACTGAGAAGACCAAGAAGACGGCGCTGCCGGGGCGCTTGGAACTCGCTGGAACCGCTGGGCTGTTTTTGTGTCCGGGTTGGGGGCGGTTAGGGGTGGA